ATCAGTTCGCTTGCTTGCTTTGGTCTAAGGTTATCTCTCAAGCGCAAACCGAAAATCATAATTTATCATAATTTCTCTTCGTGCAACGCGTCACAACTTCAAACCCCCGACTCTCCATAACACCTCATAAAAACTATGGCAGATTTAGAATTAGCGGCGCGTCTGCAATATTTGAATGAGGCGGCACATTTCCTGGCAACATCGGCACCTACGACATCAAGATATCTAGGGTCGCAACGCAATTCTCTAATGTTTGATCACGAAATCGAACAACCAGATTTGTCAAAACGAGGATCATGCAGTGCTTGCGGGACCATTATGATATTGGGATCCGAAGGCAAATTGAAAGTCAAATCGCAAAGCATTAAAAAGAAGCCAGTTCGAAAAGGAGCAAAAGGCGCCTCTAGTGTGGAAAAGGCGATGGTATACACATGTGGTTCTTGCACCAAGATTACCAGACATCGTTTGGCTCCAGCTCCTGTGGCATCTAGGTCTAAGAATGGTACAGTTCAGCATGGAGCTGTCTCTAAATCCAACCCCTTAGCAGCACAGAACTTGACAACTGCAAATACCATGGGTACACCTTCTACGAATGCAAGTAGCAAGAAAAGGGCCAAGAATCGCAAGCTCGGTGGGCTTGGAGCATTGTTAGCAAAGCAAAAAGCATCACAGACAAGCTCATCTGGGTTCGGTCTTGATTTGATGGATTTGATGAAGAAGAGTTGAACATTCCAAGGTGTCTCTTATTTTTCTTGAAATTGTGATCAAGATTCAATATGCATCAGAATGGGCGCAGACATCGTCACTGTGGGATATCCGTACTGTATACCCAGCGCCATGGTACTGTCACCATGGACATTTCCATCTTTGGAGCCAGATACTCATCGCAGTATTGAGTCTTGGTCATACAAACATGATTCGAATATATGCGGCATTGTGTGTATACTTACCCCGAGAACTTTTAAGCTCTATCCGTCAGAGCAAATTTTTGGATTGACCACATGCTACGACAATGTGTGGCTCCCTATGATGGACGTCAAGTTCTTAGTTCAGTCGCAAGGATCCTATACATCAACAAGACGACGAGAAAACTCGAAATACAAACTCCCCATCACCATATAATGAATTTTCTTGGACCCCTTCATCAATGACAAACCAGACCTTCCACTGCTTTCTCGGGCTTTCAGCCTGACGCCTGATGAGGTAACGCGCCCCGCTAAATTTTTACAACCGGGGTAGAATCTTATCAGACAAATCGAAAAATATAATTTCTCGACCCCTCATAAACAATTGCCCCTCCAACTTTTTACAATCATTCTTGTGCGTCATATTAAATTTACACAAAATTAATCAACAACAAAAATTCAGATATTATGGCCGATACAAACCAAACCGAAACAAAGCCAGACGGTGCTGTCTTCGACGATTATTTTGAAAACTTGGGTAAAAAGGCACAAAATCTTTCAGCCAACGACCAAAAAGATGGTGTCGCAACCAACAGCACATTGGAGTCAGATGAAGAACAGAGAGTAGTGGATGAAATCGAGTCATTGTGTATGAACTGCCATGAAAATGTACGTTCTACAGCTATCTCCATCAATAATATCTACTAATTCTTCACTCTTAGGGAATCACCCGATTACTCCTCACACGAATTCCTTACTTCCGCGAAATTATCCTCATGTCCTTTTTCTGTCCTCATTGCAACTTCAAAAATTCCGAGATCCAATCTGCTGGAGAGATTCAACAGAAAGGATCAAGATTTGAATTGCGCCTCACCACTCTCGAAGACTTCGCCCGACAAGTAGTAAAATCTGATACTTGTACTGTAAAATTCATTGAGTTGGATCTTGAAGTCCCAGAAGGACGAGGTCAGTTGACCAATGTGGAAGGACTTTTGAGCATGATTCTTGATGATCTTGCTCTCAAACAACCAGAAAGAAAGGAGCAAATTCCAGAAGTTTACGAAAAGATCGAAGATGTTATTACCAGAGGCCGAAAGATGCTCGCAGGCGAGGCCTTCCCTTTCAGATTGTCTCTTGATGATCCAGCAGGAAATTCATGGATTGAACCAGACCAAAAGGATGGTGTAGGAAAGCTCGCTAAGGTTCAATATCCAAGAACCCCGGAACAAAATGAAGCTCTTGGTCTCAGTGGTGAACAAGCTACTGAAGCCACAACTGGAGGACAACCTACCGCCGCAAGTTTTGAGGACGATGATATTATCCCCAACGAAGTTTATTCTTTCCCCGCTACCTGTCCTGGATGCACGAGGCATTGTGTCACACACATGAAGATGGTTGAAATCCCACATTTCAAACAAGTCGTCATTATGAGTACTGTATGTGAACATTGCGGATATCGTTCGAATGAGGTCAAGACTGGAGGTGAAGTCCCAGAGAAGGGTAAATGCATTACTCTTAAGGTAGAGAGTCCCGTAGATCTAGCCAGAGATATCCTCAAGTCAGAGTCATGCGCATTGGAATGCCCTGAACTCAAACTATCAGTCAACCCTGGAACTCTAGGAGGAAGATTCACTACCGTTGAAGGTTTGCTTACACAAGTACGAGACGATTTACATCAACAAATCTTCGATGTTGGTGATGCTGGAGAAGGTGGAGATGGCATGGAATCAGAATCTAAGAAGAACTGGAAGATATTCTTTGATGGTATTGACGAGGCCATCAAGGGCGAAAGGAAGTTCACCATTATCCTCAGAGATCCGCTGGCTAGTAGTTACGTACAGAATTTGTATCTGCCGGATGACGATCCATCGATCACGACTGAGGAATATGAGAGGACAGCGGAGGAGGAGGAAGATCTAGGTCTCTCTGACATGAAGACCGAAGGCTATGTAGATGAAGTTGGAGACGAGAAGAGGAGAGTGGAGGCTGAGAAAGCTGCGACGGAGGAGAAAAAGGAGTAAACATCTTAAGATGCTTATTCAAAACAGAAAACGTCTGATTTTTAGAATAATGATATCCACCAACCACAAAGCCTGGCTTACACTACATTTCTGTTTTCTCACCTGCGCGTATGGCGAGTGCCCTGAAATTTCACAAATTTGCATGCTTATGGCGGTTGGTATTTTGATGCCATATTTATTATACCTATGCACTTTGAGACGAGTGCGTAACACGATTCTGTATCAAGGTCTATTCCACTCTCTGAGCCCAACTTGATTGATAGCCGCAGCTACTGCAGTAGCGCAATTAAAGATAGCATTTTGCCCTGGGGGCCCGCTTAAATCAGGTCTACCAATCAAGAAGCAGTGGAATGTCACTAGTACCGGCGAACGCTTGGGCCAAGTCTAGACGAAATCCCCTACAAAGTCTGAGATATCTTCCTACGTATACCTATTTTGCAATTCCTCCTACCACTTGATAGAATAGCTCTTTTCATATGAATCTTTCTTTATATACTCGAAAATTTCTACGGAAAACGATATTTGGAAGATCAACACTTCAAATGAGTCTCCTTACTCCTATCTCCCGGGAGTTTCGAACGTTAGCGCAATGTCCGCAACTTGCCATTGCTGAAGCAGAGGATGATATCGATATCAGAACTAAATATCGACCTTTCTTACTGGATCCTGAAACGGAAGCTACAGACTGGATCTCCCAGTTGGAGTTACACTCTGTAGTTACCCAAGTGGAAGAAAACTTAGCAAAGACTAGCTCTAGACTAAAAGTCTTAGTTCTCTATGGGAGTTTACGGCAACGGTATGCTTTCATTTGCTATGTTTGATGTACAAAACATTTCTAACGAGAAATCAAGATCCTATTCAAAGTTAATGGCTTTCGAGGCTTCCCGAATTCTCCACCGTCTCGGCTGCGATGTTCGAGTGTTCAACCCAAAAGATCTTCCCATTCGCGACTCAGTCGATGCCTCTCATCCCTCAGTCCAAGAACTCCGAGAGCTATCCCTCTGGTCAGATGGCCACATCTGGTGTTCCCCCGAACAACATGGAAATTTAACTGCTGTTTTCAAGAACCAAATTGACTGGATCCCACTTGCCACTGGCTCAGTTCGTCCAACTCAAGGTCGCACGTTATCAGTGATCCAAGTTAATGGCGGCTCCCAAAGTTTTAACGCGGTTAACAGTCTTAGGATTCTGGGAAGATGGATGAGAATGTTTACATGTCCTAATCAGAGTAGTTTGCCGATGGCGTGGAAACAATTCGAAGACGAGGGGGGCGATGGGAGTGGAAAGGCGAGATTACTGCCAAGTGGGAACAGAGAGAGGTTGGTGGATTGTATGGAGGAGTTCGTAAGGTATACGATTATTATGAAGCCTCACTTTGAGATTTTTGGGGATAGATTTAGTGAGAGAAAGGAGAGAGCAGAGAAGGAGAGGAAGAAAATTGAAATTCCTGTGGATAAGATTTGAGGTTTAGATTTCGCTTCAGTACAGCAATTAGAGAATGAGCTTTGAGTTTCTCGTTGCTTCAATGTTTTTTATCGTCCCACTCTTTCCAAGCCAAGCCCGTTATTCTACGCCAGCTGTCCACTCCTCATATCAATCTTGAATCGCCCTCCCCCCCTTCGTTATTACTCTGTTGTGCTTCTCCCACTTCAAGACCTCTCAATACCTTATGACACGTCATTCTCAACTTTACAATCATCAGAATCCCTATTGCCTCATAAATCTATCTTAACGAATGGTGGGCTCCAAAATGGAGAACCAATAACGAATACACGGATTTGTGAGACGATGAGAAAGTTGGATTTGGGGATAAATCTTGAAGTATTGTCTCAAGATTTCGAGTTCTTGTATAGGTGGCTAATCGATATTAAATTACCAGGATGTACACTTTCAATCAAAATCAAATAATTTTTATATTACTTATGATTTGTTACACTTGGAGAGGATCTTACGAGCATGCGCACCCATTGTTGAACGATACAGCATATATAATATCAAGTTCAAAGAAATCAAATTGAAGTCAATTGCTTAGATGTGACCGTAAACGCTATCTATTATTCAGAAGCTCACAATATTACTTCCAATACATGTGTACAGGCGAAAATTCATTAGCTGTACCAGCCCCCATCGTTGGGAACGCAGGCTCATGCCAATCGGTCGAGAATTCATTTCCGCCGCGTGGAACCGAACGTGATAGTCTATATTCGGACGGGTATCCGCCCGGAGCGGTGGATGCACTGGATTCTGTAGCCGGCGGAAGACTAGGCGGAGGTCTACTTGGACCGGAACGCACGCCAAGAGGATTCTTGGAAAAGCTCAACTGAATTCCGCCTTTGGCACTGTTTGGAAGAGACGTCCCGTTCAAGACCCGGAGACATTTTGTGGCGTAGAAAATATCCTCAAATTCGACGTAACACATTGGACCATTCTGCTTGTTTGTAAGGCACAAGCGCTTGAAGCCTTTCTGCTCAGAGAACATTGTCATCAGTTCGTTCGCGGATGTATCGCTCGGAAGGTTTCCCACAAAGAGAGTATTGCAAGGGGAATTTTGTTCCGCTGGTTTCGCCTGCGGGAGATTATGAGGCTGGTAAGGAATGCGCGGACTTTCTTTTTGCTTGCTGACAGATGGACCAAGATCAGTCAATGCACCATCAGGATGATTTCCGATGGGAGATTGAGGCAAAAGAGTAGTTTGATCATGTGCGCTCAATGAACGATTTGGGAGTTCGCTGCTTGTTCCACTTTGGATAGCGCAACTAGGACTCGAATACGAGTGATGATCTTGTCCACCTAAAGAGCCTGATGGAGACGTGGAACCTCTCACTGGTCCTTGCGATTCATCATATAGACCAGAAGCACCACTTTCCACACATTCCATACAATACCAGTAGCCACCAGGAATATTGTCTAGATCGATACAACGTGTATGATAAGAAGCATTGCATCCAGTGCATGATAAGAGAACATCTTTTTGATCTGATTGATCGCACATTGGACACAGTCTTTCTCCTTCTGGATCTTTCATTGAAGCAAGAACTTGTTTAGCCTTATCTGCTACGCCACTGTCGCCTTCTTTGGAGTAATGAGCAACAAGTCTCTCCATAAGTAGCCTTGGATTGGGCAAAGATAGATCCTTCGCTCCAAGAGTATTGCTGATTTGCTTGAATGTATCTTGTAGAGGGACTACATAAGCTTCGCCAAGCGGATTCGATGCGACTACGTGACCATACACCTCTAACGTTACTTGATCTACGATCAATGATCCACAGTCACCATTAATGACACCTAGACAGATATCGTTAGCTATAATCTCCGCCGAAAGATTCTCAACTCACCGTTCGAGTCAGATAAAATTACGTTCCATGCCTGACAGAGATTTTCACCTGGTTTGCCTCCGATGTAAGATTTGCTGTTGAGCATTATACCCTTTCTTGTTCCGCTCACGCCAGATATCATAAAAACGTTAACTCCACTTGTTTTTGGAGCTGCTGAAATGTTCCGAAAGAACTTAGGATTTGTGGGGTCATCCTCCGAATAGAATGCGTTAGGTCGCTCATAGTATCCATCATCAAACTCAATCAAGGCCCAGTCGAGGTAAGCCGTTGCCTTATCTGTTACGGACGACAAATCTACCTTGTGGCCGTTTATGGATGCACCATGCGGTTCAATCAACCCGAGGTCCATTGTTGCCTTGAAATTGGATCTTACGGATGACACTGACTCAATATCCGAAGCCAATACGTCATTCTCAATGTCTTCATATTTCACATCATCAATCCATGGCCACTCTGATTCACTGTCTTCGGAGTCGTCTTCTTCATGCGAAACTTCCGGTTCGTTTGCAATCGCTTCTTGTTCTTCGTCATTCTGCTCCTTGAACAAATGATCCACAGTCAAGCCGTATAGCTTAGAGTCCACACTAATAAGTAGTCCTAGAGTCGAAGTACAATCACCATACCTTACCAATGATCCACACATTGTGAGGAATGAATGGCTCTTGGCAACCACTTGCTCCATTGTGGATTTTAGTTGAGTGGGCGTAGTTTTTGTTCTCCAGTACACGATTTTTAATCGTATCACAGTAGGATCAGATGCTTCTCGATGGGGCTTGCTAGAGAGAAATCGAAATTTGTCCCTCAAGGAGGTATTTATCGGCCAATATTGTTGACGGATGTGCTTACGAGCTAATAACGGGTTTAGGACCTTGAAAATATCATTGGTGCAGTAGATGATGATCGAGACAACTGCTTCCAATTGAGTGCTTCCACATAGACGTAGCTCATAGTTAATACTCCTAGTTTTCTCTTTCAGAAAATTGTTGCCATCAACAGTCCGCTTGAAAAGTTCGACGAGGTGTGTATATCGCTTTTCGAATTCCGGCTCGATTGCTGCACGGGGATAGATATTTTGATTTGTATAAGGCACCCTAAATGGGTCGGCATAATCAATAGTTGATATCTGGGGGTGTTGGACAGTCAAATTTGTTGTGTTAGTGTGAATAGGATTCTGCGAGGTACTCGAGCTGTTTTCCGGGGAGAAGTTGCTCTGCACAATAGAAGGTGCATTAACACCCCGAGAAGGGTTTTGTGAGGCACCTGGGCGATTTTCTGATACGAGGCTCTGCACGATGAGATGATTATGGGATCTAGTGATAGCCCCAGTATGATTTTGCGAGGCGCTCTGGAGACCTCGTGGTGGGGAGCAACGATGGCCTTCTCTTGCTTCATCACCCTCGGATTGGCGATGTGCTGTAGGTGCGTCTGGTATAGAGGTTTGTGGCTCAATGTATCTTGGTTTATTAGCATTGGGGTCGGTGAATGGTTCTTGCCACATGCTGTTCGCCCCCGTTGGGCCGCGCTCAACAAGAGTCTCAAAAGGCATCTTGTCAATAGAGTCAAAGTATATGGAATATCTACTTCGACACGATATGGCTATAGTAGCAGCGAAAGAACTGTTTAAAGATGAAGTAACTTTGGGGAGCGAGGAAAATTCAATTTGCGAGGTTAAAATGAGGCAGTGTTGAGCGGTAAGCTGAGCAATATCCTGCCGCATTGTGGCTTGGGCTGTGCCAAAGAACCCTCCAATCAATACAGTAAAACCAATAAACCAGGGTTACTTATATGTCATCAGCTCTCTCTTGCCATTGTCAGATTATATTTTCCAAGCTTTCTTTTCGAACTACATTCTTTCATCTCAAAAATTACACAGTCCAAAATGCAAACCGCCACACCGTCTGAGAAAAGTTTGATTGCGAAAGATCTTTTCAGTGCTGAAGAAAAGCTCCAATCATTCAGCACATACTTTCAGCTCTATGACTCTTTGACGAGCCCTCAATATGTAATGGTGCAGATAGACCCCCCTGCCCTGAATACCCATGCCGATATTCGAAGCTTGGCTCTCAAATTAAGGGAAGACCCTGAAAACACCCGCGAAGAGTTCCAGAAAAAGGCCTTTCCCCAAACTTCGAAAAATGCAGAGACTGTGAAAGACCAACAGCGTGCCATCAATGTCGCCGTGCAAATCATGTTGATGATTGATTGTTCAGATAAGGATCGCCATCATCAAGGCTACGAGATCGGCGGTTTCCGACCCGTCAGCTGGAATAAGTTGGAGAAATTCACCGACTTTGTCAAAAAGGTCTTTCCTATGGATTTTCACGATCCGGAGAAAGTTCGAGTGGCATTGAGGGAGAAGAATGAGTTGAAATGCTGGAATCTAAAGAAGCGTGCACATGTCAAATTCATCCCGACAGACAACTTAGCAGAGCACCTTCTACATGACCCCCAAGACAATGTTGTCCGACTCTTCCGCCAAACGGCATTTTTAAAAGCTCATCTCCAACTCTCTGCCGGACAACCCCCGGACCTCGGAATCGCTGACAGTCTTAAATTGTGAGACTTCAACAATCTTGAAAGACCTTCCTCGATTAGCTTATTCTAACTTGTGTTTCTAGAGGGACATTACCACCACAACTGCTCCAAGAGACATTGCATTCCTTGCAATACATAATATTCCCCCTAGTCGATAAAAAGTCGTCCGAATTTTTGGGGAAATTCATCAGAGACAAGGAATCGAGTTTCGACCCAGATTGCAGCAACTGTGACACAAACAGTATACAGCCACTGGAAGACTTCGAATATCATTACTGGGGCGATAGGCTTGCCAAGTTGAATCATCTTGTGACACACCCAAGACCGAGTCATCGTATTGGTCGGTGGATACAACGAAATGCTTCGGAGAGAAATGCCATGTTTGTGGCGATCTTGTCACTTGTTCTATCGGCATTGTTTGGATTCTTAAGCGTTATCCTTGGAATATTTCAAGCATGGGTGGCATATATGTCTTGGAAAGCACAGGTCAATGCTCCGCAAGCTCCGTAATACGTTGACGTTAGATGTGTAGGAGGACCTGTGAATTAATGAGAATTGCCTCCAAGGCAACAAGACTTCGACATGTGTCTTCGAAAAAGAATCGATTTGACAGTCTCTTGAAATTGGTGGTGGATGAGAGCGAGCGTAATGGGGGACTCAGTGGAGCAAAGGGGGGTGATGGTTCAGAGGGCGCTGGGGTAATGATGATCGATATTCATGGCAAAATGATGGAGACGTTGAGTTGGGATAAATGAAATCAAGAACCATATTGTTTGAAACAAAATTAAATGCTAGAATCTTTCAACTCAGGATCATACCTTGTCGTATCTAACAATCCGCCAATACCCATCTCGCTACCCCTTTTCCAGGCCCTCTGCCCCACATCTACTTTGCCGGAGAAGCTCACTTGTAAATCGTGAAACTATATATGCTCTAGCGAACCATCTAAGCAAGAACACATAGGTAGAATCAACAGTCTACAATAATTACCCAAATCGAAATCAGGTAGCACGGAAGTGAGACGAGCGCTTTACACCCCTAAAATGAATAGCTTACTCTAGTCCGAAAGGCTCGATGAAAAGAGACCCGATGAGAACTGGCTTTAGGAGTCGATGCAAACTTTAGGTGGAAAATAGATATATGGACAAACTCACATGCGACTCTGATATATGCCCTCGTCCGGGTACTGTGTTTGGATAATACACAGCTTTGTGTTATGACTGACAAATGCACCACATGCATTTTCACTCGCCTGTTATCAACTCTTTCGCGTTCATGATGACTTGAACCATGAGCTCGCATCGCCGATTCGGGGTTATGTTTTGGGCTGGATTAGTCTCTAGAGGGTAGATGGGAAATAAATTAACGTTGTTATATGAATGTTCGTGAACTTTCGAGCTTTCCAAGTCTTGACTTAAACATTCGGTATTCTATGGTTCTGGTCCTCAATTAACCTCCAATGAGTCTCAGTTATGGAGTTAGTAGGTATTATATCGGTCAATCAATGGTCTGGTGGTTAATATATGTCAAGGTTTTAATGTAGCGATTCATGGCTTAGATCATGGAGCCAAAGTGTTTGTACTTGAACAATATTAAACGAAAAGCTTCACCCCTAGCATTAGGCCTTAGGGAAGAGGTGGCTGAGAGAAGATAATTGCTTCGGTCAAGTCCTGCAGATTTAAAGGGTATATACATGAGTTGAAACGTTCCCCTTCCCGACTACAACCTAACCATCGGTCGATTCTGTGAAACCCGTAACTCAAAATCCAAAGCCATACATAACCTCAAATCTAAGATGTCTGACCCATGATCCATAACCCGCGACCCCTAACACCATAAAATCACTCTACTATAGTTAGCCCGCTTGCACGGTTCTGCTATCATCCTTATCATCATCACCGTTGCACGTCTTTTGCGCTTTCGCATTCAAATCAGCGCCACTTGCTAATAACAATTGAACTCCAACGTCGAAGCCCTTTTCAATAGCAATATGCAGGGCAGTCCAGCCCATGTCATCATACGCATCAATGCCTTGCTCCCAATCTCTCTTATCGTATTCCCACAAAAGCAATCGTAAAACACCTTGATGCTGATTCATGGTAGCCCAATACAATGCCGATCGTCCCCGTCGGTCTACATCACTGATGCGAGCGCCGTGGGCAAGAAGTAGACTGACTACAGCTTCGTGCCCGTCTATTGACGCATGAATTAAAGCTGTTCGCATGTCGCTATCCTTTTCATTGCAGTCGATATTGTGTGAAATAAGGGTGCGGACGATCGGCTCGTGACCTCGGCGAGCGGCGATGTGTAGCGGACTGAGCCATCCTTTGCTTTGTGCATCAGCTTTGGGTAATACTGAGGTGGGCTGTTCCTTCGTTAAACTCGATTGACTGGAATCGCTGCAATTGTGCGGTATCAATGCTATGCCCGGATGAATATGCGTTTCATGTTCAGAGCCTTTATGCTGTGCATGATTAGAGCGGGTGGGTGAAAAGACACCTCCTAGGGTCCCATAAAAGTTGAAGCAGTCTGAGCTCATAGGGCTAGCCGATGGCGTCCTTGATGTTCTCAGAGAAATGAAGTCCAAATTAGGGTCGAAATTAACTTGATAGTCGGTTATTGGCGGTGTCGAAAATGAGCTCTGGCTGCCTAATATTAAGCTGTCCATGAAATTGATATCGTCTAATTCTTGAACACCATTATTGGGTGTGTCATTTGGGGAGCCGGCCATTGAACTGCCAGATGTTTGTGCAGAAGTGGCCACCCTGGTGAGATAATCGGACGAATTGGTGCCAAGGTCTATGGAATCTTGAAGGTCTGGGACCTCTATCAGATCCATTTCAGTAATCGAATGAGAATCCCTACTGGATACTGACCGATTGCTATCGTTTAGCGCAAATTTCGATGTTTTGCGCGACTCTGTTTTCCTCATTAGACCGCTGCCCACTGACTGTAGGTTGGTAGATAATGGTAATAGTACTCACGACGAAATTTGCGTTGGGCAATGCGATTCTGTGATCTGCGACGATGAACAGGGTCAATCCTCCATTCAATGTCCACCTCGACCATTGTTGCGACGCAGAAGAAAGCCAACTAAATATTCATCCCAGGCCTCAACAGTCTTGACGTTGTGACCTTAGGGAACCTCAGAACCAATATAGTATTTGCTTGCATTGATCGTTATCGGCCTTGCACCACATTTGCTGACGGGCAGGGGTGATCCTAAAGATAGGCATATAAGATATATTACCCTGGAAATCTCGGAGCTGGATGTAAGATGCTATGCCGGGCCATGACACCGGGTACACTATGGCTATTTGCCGTCCACAATTAATCTCCATTCTAATTGGATGACGAACTTATTGGGAAACCAGAAAAGGTTGGTCGGATGGTACGATCTATTTTACGTAGGGTAGGGGAGTAAATAGCACACAGGCTTGGCGTGATACGGGAAGAAAAAGTGGACCTAGCTAGGTTTAGGCGGATGAAGATTCAAAAGACTAGCTGTTTAGCGATGACACAATATTAAAGCTTCTAGAGATATCTACACCCTTGATTATTTACAACGTATGCGTGTAGTTACTATAAGATAAGATGGAAACTCAAGCAAAAATTAGATCACATGACTGAACATTTGACACTAGTTAGTTCTTGCGGAGGTTGATGGCGTAAAACCCGTTAAAAAGCAATAGAGCTTTCGGTATTTTAATAATATAGTCTAATTATGTTGTTATGATGACTGAAACGTGAAGGTTAATATAGCAAACTCTAGATATCTAGTAAGTGCATTATAAATTATTTTTATCTTTAATGAAATCATTAGAATTATCAAAATTATTAAAATCAATAAAATCATTAATTCTCGGATAATAATGTCTTATCAGCCTCTATATGTACCCTATCGCCGATTTTGTTGCCGCTTTAAATTCAGGATGCACTTGATGAAACCATGCAGGAAAAGACTCTAATTTATTGGAGTAGAAGCGCCAAGTAGAAATTGCTAGGAATACAAAAGTGTCAACAACGTGTACCTGGCTATAGAAGCTTTGACACGAGTTTCTCGCACAGTGCAATAAGTGAACTGGCATTAGTAATGTCAAGTGTCGTTAGTTCGGCCCCAAGCTCAATACGAATCCAATTCCGCAGCTCGACTGCTGCGAGCGAATCCAATCCATATGATATCAGGGGTTTGGCCGTTTCCATCTCGGTTTCCAGCCGTAAGATCTTGGTAAATTGCGTTGCAATCACCTCCACACATACTTTGGCTAGGGCTGCCTTGTCAGCTCCTGATTTGCGTATCATCCGAAATGCTTCTATTGTCTCATCGCCCTGGCTACTTCCGCCATCTTTATTGCCACCTGCCGCACTTTGGAAAAGATACCCAAATCTTCCTTCGTACGAGAGATCTGAATCTTCGGGCAGTGGAAACCCAATACCAGCAATCAGTTGTGTGTTGCTACTTACATTAATCGGTGCTTTCTCATCTTGCTGCAGGATAGAATAGCTCAATATCTTCCGCAATGTATTTTCAGTTACTGGTGTCCACTGTCTCTTGTCAAAACGAGAATCAAAACCCTCCTGCTCGGCCACGTAGCCAACGTCCTCTATGAGGCCGAGATCAACAGAATTTGCCCGAAGACCGAGCGTTTCACGATACTGGGCAAATGCATCCAAAAATGTGTTTCCTGCAGCATAATTGGCCTGCCCCTTGTTTCCAACAATACCGGAGATACTCGAGAGCAAAGTGAAGAAGTCCAGTGGCTCTTTTTGTTCTTGAGAAACATGATGCAGATTCCATGTTCCATTGAATTTGGCGTGAAGAACAGTGTGATAATCATCCAGTGTCATGGTTTCAAATGGTTTATCTCTGAGTATCATAGCCCCTTGAATGATCCCGGCAATTCGTGGTGATGCCTCCTTGAAGACTTTACTCATGAAACTCACGCTCGCAGCGTCACCCTGAGCATCTACAACTTCGCATCCATATGCAAGGCAGTTTTTCACAATCTTCTGTGACGCAACATCGCTAATGCCACTTCTACTACAAGCAATGATACGCTTAGCTCCATGTCGCGCCATATGAATAGCCAGGGAACCACATAAGCCTTTCAAGCCACCAACGATGAGATAGGAAGCATCAGGTCTAAGGTTGAGTTTGCGTGTTGCTGGCCTAATAGGCACCTGAGAATCTATCTCTTTATCGGAGATAACGACTTTCCCTATATGTCGACCGCTACGAATGTAGGCCAGTGCTGCTGGAATGTCGTTAAATCCAAATATAGTAACTGGGTGAATGGGCTTCACATGGCCACCATGAACCAACTCGAAAATCTGATCTAGCAATCTAAATAGAGTGGCACAAAAAATTAGAATCTGATTGACCGAAAATTACATCTTACAGGAATAGGGATAGAGGAAGTTCTGGGCGAGCGCGAGGAGGACATGCCTTGAAATTAATGGATCTACGATGTTTTCTGTGTAAGAAAAGTCCATCGCTCTGTATGAGCAGTTGCGATCGAACGGCTCCATAGATAAAGTGTTACGGTCAACAATGTCTTTCTTTCCAATCTCAACCATAGTTCCACCATCGGCGCAGATTCGCCACGAGGCATCGAGCAATTCTCCAGCGAGGGAGTTGATGATCACATTGACACCGCGACCATTCGTTGCATGCATTATCTGCTTAGCAAACTTTGTGTTACGCGAGGAAAACATACGTGACGGTGGAATGCCGTAGTTTTCGGTGAGAAATTTGCGCTTTTCCTCTGTACCAACTGTAACATAAATCTCGGCCTTCTTGTATTGGGCTAATTGGATGCATGCAATTCCAACACCACCAGATGCCGAATGGATCAGAACAGACTGTCCTTCTCTCAGATTGGCAATGTTGTAGAGAGAGTAGATTGAGCACAAGTACACTGAAGGTATAGTTGCGGCATCCTCAAAGCTCATTGAATCCGGTATGATATGAGCTCGTCCGACGCCCATTTGGAGACGATTTGCATAACTGCCTCCGTTCAAGAAGCAGACGCGGTCTCCAACCTTGAACTCTGTCACACCGGGTCCAAGGCGCTTTACGATACCAGCTCCTTCGTATCCAGTGGTGTACTCGTTCTCTGGAACAATCCCCATTGTCACAGCTACGTCCTTGAAGTTGACACCCACAGCCATCACTTCCACTTCAATGTTTCCTGAATCTACCGGCACCTCTCCAACAGCAGTTTCACACCATGTAAGACTCTGGAAAGTTCCAAGACGCTCGGCTCTCAATTGAACGGCTGCTTCAGTTTCGTGTAAATTCTTGAGTGCAGGCTCTGCGCCTTCAACCTCGGCTCTCTTGAATTCATTCACTTGAAGATCTGGAACAATTCTTTGCACATACAAAGTCCCGTTGCGTTCTACAAACTCTGTCTCAATGACGATCTTCGAGTCTGGATGGTTGATTTCGAGCGAATTGAGAACCGCATCGATGGCATAGTTCGTGGCAGGACCAGCGCTCGACTCCACGTCTAGAACGCTAAGTTTAACGCTAGGATCCTCTCTACGAGCCACGCGGAATAAACCATGAACGAGAGCATTGTTTGGGTCTGTCACCTTGTATTGTGCACCTTTGGTGACCCAGAGCAGTTGGTTACCAGAATTGATAAGCATCTTAAGGCTTTCCCACTGAGTTGCGTTAATTTGGGTTAACACTGGGTTATGAAGTTCATCTAGAATCAACACCACTGTTCCTGTTGCAGCAACATTGTCCGGCGAGTAAGTCGTCTCTGTAATTGTCCATCCAGATACTTCTAACACAGCTTTGAGCGAGGGATCCAACGATGGGGTAGTCTCCGAAAGCCGCACGACAGATAGGTTTCTAGGTTGCGAGGTAATTTTGACTTGATTAGTGTATAATGACCATGCCGGACTGTCATTATCATTAGCGATCTGCAAAACAGAAATGATCCCCTTCATTTCCATCGCTTCTCGTATCGCTGTAGAGTTTGAAAATCGTTTTGTAACACCCGCAACGGACTGGAGTAGCTTTTCTTTGAGCTCGTGGACTTCATCGAGTGTTATTGTTTCGGCCGCAATGGGGATTTCAGAGTCCCTCACAGTGATTTCGGAAGATTCATCCACTGTCCCTGGCGTCTCAGGGGACCTTATTGACGACGGGGATTGAGACTTCTCGTCAAGAGGAGGAGTGGATACAGAGCTATTCCTTGATTGCAAGTCACTCTCTTGCACTACAAGCGCAAATCCTTTCTCGGATAGATGAGACTTGATATAGTCGAGAGTATCATTCAAGCTCTGGTCAACCACCGGGTTCTTTGCAACTTTGAGAATCACAAGGTCATAAATCGCATCTTGTGGCAAATCCAAGGCATCTTTAGTGGGATTTACTAGAAAGAATGATGAATTGCTCTTTGCCTTGTACTTGTTTTGGATAGAGACGAGACCTTTCGCTTCTCCCGAAGCAAAGTCGTACTGCAGATAAGCCGATCTTGATAATGGATCTTCAGACTCAAACCAAATAGATCTTGTCTCACTATGGTTGAGGCTGACCTCAAGAATTCTCAAAGCAGGCCGCTTGTGCGCAATCAGGTTTATAACCGAATCAAGTTGAGTCTCGGAATTTTCAGCATCCAGACTACCGAACTTTTCCTTGGAAAAGAAAGTGATGTCTGGCTTCCAAGAAATACAATCAAATACATGTGGGTCGGTTTTTATTCCCGTATCTAACTTAGCGAAGCGTAGTGCAGACATCTGCATAAGGAGAACACCAGTGTCTGGGTGATAGACTGAACAATTAGCAAAGTAGCTCTTAGCTTCTTCCAGACGACCACGGCCAGAATATTCCGCGGAAGCGAGAGAGAGACCCTCCTGGAGACCAGCAGGCACACTGTTGATAATCAGGTCATCGATTATGGAAGGTACCAGGACAGCATTTACTGAGCTGCGTTCTCCTGCCCATAGAGCAGGTGTGACTGTCTGGAAGCATCCATCAAGAGCTGCTGGATGGATTGGATAATAAGATTGCGGTGACCATTTCGAAGCTGGCTCTGCCAACAATACTTGTGCCCGAGATTGTCGTTGACCGCTGCTGGACTCGACTTTCAGTAGCTTCTGGAAACTGGGACCGAAGCCATAGCCGGCTTCCGCCTGAGCCTTATACCAGACCTTGCCAGACGTTGGGTGCTGCAGGGGTGTATTATAAGACTCTGCCAAATGCTCATCAACAGGGTCTTGTATGCGGATCAAACCTGAGCAATGCTCCATCAAAAGGTCTCCCGTGGTTGAAGAAATGCGAAATTCTTGCCAATCTTTACTACCATGCTGTTGAGTCAGTGATAAAAATATGGCGGAGTCTTTATCATCTTCTAGTACTAAAGCTTTGTCGAAGCGGATATTTCTCAATCGATAGCATAGCTCGTTGGGCGAATTAATGATCAGATCCTCGGTCGCAGTGGCGCGTGTCTTCTGGTACAATGCTTCTACAGCCATTACTATGTATCCAGCACCAGGCATCAAGACGTCTGAACCCATCTTGTGATCTTTCAGCCATGGAACATCAGTAAGGTTCAGAAGCTTTCGCCAGGTTGGTGACTTCCACGTGGTCCCGATGACTTTGCTTCCAAGTAAATCGTGATTCACGAATTGCTTGAACCTCCAATCTTTGCTTGACGCATTCTCATGCCAGTACTTGACGGAGTGATTCCAGGTGTAATTTGGAAGATCAATCAAGGTTTTAGTATTGGTATACTGATTGACACTTCTCAAACTAATGTCATGGCCCGCGACGAATAGACGACCTGCCAGATCGAAAATAGCTTTACCCGCAGCCTGACCTCGAGCCCATGAAGGACTGTACGAAATGCCATCACTGTTAGGCAGTGCTTTCAAAATCTGCGAGATAGGGCCAGCAAGCGCCCCCGATGGACCAATTTCGATCAGGTAGTTTGGAGCTTTCTCGTCCGAAAGCATTTCGTTGAGAGCCTTATCAAATCGTACTGGTGATACCATGTTTATTTTCCAATACAATGCGTCGGTAGTAGTAGTCTGCTTCAGTCCAGTGACTGAAGAAAACATCGATACATCTGATGATCCACCAAGGGAAGCGAAGCCCGATTTCAAAAGCTTCTCATACTCTTCACCAATCACCCCCATAAGCTCAGAGTGGTAGGCAAGGTCAACTTGGAGAAGTCTAGCGAAATGACCGTTGGCTTTCATTTCCTCAGCCAGCTTTTCGAGCGCCTCGCGTTTTCCGGACACAGTCAAACTGCTGGGACTGTTGAAACAAGCGATCCAAGCTTTTCCGGCATACTTTTCTAAGAATGGCAACAATCCTTCTGTTCCTAGACCCACCGCCAGCATCCCAACATCACTTTCAACTTCGTTCTTTCGATTCACAGCAGCCCGACCTCTGTAATAGGCTACTTTGATAGCAGTGGCTTGATCGAGAAACCCTGCTGCATATGCAGCCGCAATCTCTCCAGATGAGTGACCAACAACGCTTTGAGGTCTGATACCCCACTTTTGAAGAACGTCGATAATGCATAGTTGAAGTGCTGTGACCAGAGGCTGCGAAAATTCCGGTTGACGAAAGTGTTCGGCGCTGCGAGATTTGGTTAACTCATGTATCAACAACCAAGTTGGAGGCTGTGGAAGACTCTGTAGAGCATCATCAAGGTTGTTGAGTATATTTCTTGTCCATGGAAAGAATTGCAATAAGTCCTTCCCCATTTGAGGCCACTGGGCACCCTGACCAGTGAACACGAAGCCGATCCTTAGGGCTTCTGGATTCTTCTTTCCAACAACAAAATCGTTTTCGTCAATTTCTGTGCTTCGTGTTGTAATGTAGGCCCGGTGCCACAACTTTGTTCTCCTCTCAGAGAGCGTATATGCGAGATCCTCAAGATTGACCTTGACACGAGGGTTGATCAAGTGGTTGCACAATGCCTTGATGTTAGCCTTAAGCGAAGAATTATCGTTTGCCGAGAGAACGAGTGTATATGGATGCCCCGAGTCATCTTCATCCAAAGTAAGCTCGTCAGTATCAGGCAGGTATGAACTAATGTGATGCGGGCCATCTGGAAATTTGGGCTGTTCCAGGATCACGTGTGCATTGGAGCCTCCATATCCAAACGAATTGACACTTGCTCGGCGAATAGAACTTTTAGGCCATGGGATTGAAGTACGAGTAGCCTTCACTTTAAGACCAGCAAAATCAACTATCGCCACATTATTATTAGCGATGGAAATTTGCAATAAACACCATGTTTGGGCTGTGCTTACTCTTTGGACTAGGTTTTATAAAAGTTGGATTTCCTGGGATGATTCCATTTTCGATGGCCATAACAGCTTTCATAATTCCTGAAAGACCCGCTGATGGCTCAGCATGTCCTAAATTACTTTTGATCTTGAAGATAATTCAGTGAACGCTCATGTTTAATAACCCCGTAAAAAGGGCCCGACAGGTCACTTACCGAGCCGATGATGAGCGGCTTATCTGCTGAGCGCGTCGCACCAAATGCGGAAGCGGCACCCTTCACTTCAGTGGGATCTCCAGCCTGTACAAATTGGATTAATCAAACCGTTTTTTGTACACTTTGAGGTTAATCATACCTGGGTTCCGGTGCCATGGCATTCGAGATACGCTGTATCATTCAAATTAGTAATACCTGCATTAGCATAGGCTGCTCTAATAGCAGCAGACTGAGCTTCGGCGCTAGGACTAGCAATGCCTGGTGTTCTTCCGTCGCTATTGGTAGCAGAACCTCGAATCACAGCTCTAATGGGGTCTCTATCGCGAATAGCATCGGAGAGTCTTTTGACGATGATACTGCTGACCGCTTCAGCCTTTACGTATCCGTCGGCATCGATATCGAATGTATGACATAGCCCAGTAGGCGAATGTGCATTTCCGACCGCTCCGAGATCCATTACATGCTCAGGATTCAAATAAAGATTGCTAGTTGCGATGATAGCCGCATTGATCTCTCGAGACTGTAGATATCGGCAAGCTACATCAAGACCCACAAGACTACCAGAGCAAGCGGTGTCGATAGTCATACTGATAGGCATAAAGTGTCAGGCTCAACGGTACAGTATAATGCAAATTCATATTCTTACCTCGGTCCCTTGATATTCAAGAAATGACTTAGTCTGTTAGCCATGATAGCACGCCCAACTCCAACAGTAATGCTTGCTGGCCTATCTTCAGGGTCTCTATTTTGCATATCGCCATAATCTGAAGTACTTAGTATTCTGATTTTAATTTTCACGTGGACAGTAGCTCAAGAACATGCTTACTTACCTGATGCATATGAACCAACGAAACACCCGACAGGCGCCCATCAAGACTTTCTAGTGGGATACCAGCATTTTCGAGTCCTTCAAAAACAACTTCAAGCATCTGACGCTGGTTTGGATCCATTGAGATGGCCTCGCTCTTCGAAATCTCAAAGAATGAAGCGTCAAAATCCGCTGGGTCAATATCTTCGAGAAACATGCCACCACATGGTCTCATAGTGCGTGGCTTTTGAGACCCATCCCAATGTCCCTCAATATTAAATCTCGATTTAGGCACCTTGTTCGAAGCAATATCTCCTCTCTCGAGAAACTCCCAGAGTTTCTTTGGTGTGGTATTACCTCCTGGGAGGCGGCATGCAAAGCCAATGATGGCAACTGGCTCTTGAGAATGTTGAGACATTGTAAATTTGATATGAAGTTTATCGTATTTAGATTGATAGAAATATTTGAAGAAGGTAGTTGATCATGAGTTGATTGTTCCGATATCATAGCATCTTATATAGAAGGGAAGCAGATAAATACGGTACATATTCTGGTCATTCTTTATCTTCAAACCCAATCTCTATACTCCTCAAAATTCAAAACATCCAGACTTGATGTCTCACCATATTACGAATATCCCTTATCTCCGTTCATCGTAAGTTCGTAACCTTCAGCCAATATCTCTACATTCTCACTGATTTTCAGATTTTAGTTCCAATTTTCACGCAAGACATGAATCACGAGAAGTTGTGATTTAGACTTTGTCCTAAGATTACAATGCAGATCAACAATTCTCACACCAAGCACGTGCTCGCTTGAATCAATCCATGATGACCTTGCATATAGGAAACTGCAGGCAAGGGGCACACAGCGCTTACGACCCCCATTATTTACCCAGACCCATATCTTCTGCGATATGGCATAGCCCGCTGCTCCTAGCCCTGCATTGACTACAAATTTATCTTCAACAAACGACTCAAACCCCGCGGTACGCTTAGTGACTGCACGGTAATTTAGCAGGTCAAGGGATTCATACCCCTCCATCTTTACAGTAAGCCCTACAGCTGCATGTAAGACACCTTGTATCATGAAACACACGTTGAAGAAACCGTTAGACGATCACGCCACATATTCAAGCTCATTGCACCATCTCTTAAACGTATGTTACCAGCTTCTTCGGAGATTGAATAAGGCCGATCGACGTTGCTATTGCTTGAATCCTGATAAAAGTCCCAGCAAATTTAGGCAGCTTTTCGGTTAGAGAATTGAGATAGTTCTAGATAGGTTGATTATGCATATGCAATGTATTGAGCTAAGAACTAGGAGAATGGAGTGCACGAGGTAAGACGTAAGGAAGAGCCCCTTTTTGTTGCTGTAGAGCAAATAAGAGTGAGATGCATATTGACCGGCTACGTTTACACGAAGTCTTTGACGTTGTAGGGGTCAGTATCACTGCAGAAGAAGGGTACCTTTTACTTCTATTCGTAGACTCCTCTCAGATAGATAGTCAAGGCCAGACCGTCATACATGATCTTCAGTTTGATTATCTTTTACGTACTATATTCCCTCATCATACAATTATTGCCAATTCTTTCACTTCGTCTAAAATCTATTACATTCCACTTTCAATCAAGTTACCATTTTAACTCTTCAGAAGATACGCATTGAGATATGGCTCTGCCTGCGGTCAAAGTTGAATACAAGACGCTAGATGGCATTACCCTCCGAGGATTGCTATACCCTACGGAGGTGAAGGCACCTGCCATTATCATGACACATGGAGTGAGCGCTTTGCAAACCAGCATTCAACAATTTGTCTCTGTTCTTGCTACTAACAACAATTTAGTTCAACTGTGTCAAAGAAATGCTCTTGCCAGAGATAGCTCGAAGATTTCAGGGTATAGGTTATAACGCATTGATCTATGACCCTCGAAGTATCGGAGACAGTGATGGACTTCCTAGAAATCAGATCAGCCCATTACAACAAGCCGAAGATTTATCAGGTTAGTCCTAACCAAAAGAAACTTTTCCTGTACAGTTCTTGGCTTACGATTTGTTGTATAGACATTATAACACATATCTCATCGTTGCCAAACGTTGACTCGCGTCGAATCATACTTTGGGGTATGTCCTTTGGAGCGACTGTAAGCGCTTGCACAGCAGCTGTGGATAGGCGAGTTAGGACACTCGTGATGGTGTGTCCCCTTTTTAGCTTTTTCCAGCCAGAAAAGCGAGAAAAGGTTTTTGCACAACTCATTAGAGATCGGCAATCACAACTGCGAGGTAATGAAGCATTCACATTGCCTCCATTTAATAGCAAAGGAGAAAATCCAATGGGGTTTGGGGGATCAGGGGGGCCGGGCGGAATGGAAGCCTACAGCTTCATGTCTGCAGTCATTGATCACGGTGCCCTCAATTTCCGTGATCGTATCACACTACAGACATACCAGAAACTGTTTATGTTCTGTCCCAAGATGCTACTCGACATGGTTCAAGCGTCAACTCTAATGATTGTGCCCGAATTAGACGACATTTCGTCGCCCGAAGAACAGATTGGAGCTTTTGGGCTCTTAGCAGGTCCAAAAACTCTGTATATAGCGAAGGAAACAGGACATTTGACTGTTCTTAGTGGAGATAAGTCCGAGGAGATCTTGAACACCATGACAAAATTCATGAAGACGGCTAGTGAATTGGACGCATAAGGCACCGACGCGTTTTGACTTTGCGCGAGTATCTGAAGACAAATAGTTTCTGAATGGAGGAGTTGGCTGGAGTACAATACTTTATCACTGAATTTTCAGGGAAGCAAAAGTAATATCATTCTACTTGACGCACTGTGCTATTCTGAACTTTCGAATATCTAGCTTGGCTATAGAGGATATTGTACTAGATGACCTATTATTCCACTCAAAGTGTCCACAAGCCAGACTATCAGACCGAATGAAGCCATGACGATTTAGAAGTGATTCAACACTAAAGCTATGTCATTAGTTGTTGAAAATCTCACTATTCTAGTTAGATACAGAATAATACAGTGTTGTACTCTCGGACTGCAGTACGGACTATTAGAAATCTTCCTTGTAATGATGTATGCCGCTTGGGATCATGATCCAAGACCTCCAGATAATGATCCGTCAGCTGACAGATACTTGACCCTCTGCCAGGCTATAATTAGGCAGCTAGAGTTTAATAAACAAGGTGCATGAACATCAGTCTATGCCGCAATTCACCCAAACGGAAAGAAAGATAAGCTTCGCAAGCGTTCAAGTGAGCACGAGGCATACAGCTAAATCTGCAATGTAACCTACAACACAGCTTACAATGCATAGGTTGGCACAAATCGCGTGCTCATATTCCTAGTGAAATTCAGGAATCAGAATGGGTTTAAAGCCGTTGATATAATGCTGCAAGTAAGATTGCTAATGAGCTCAAAAGTGGTGGCATATTTGATGCTAGCCTCTATTTGAGTTTTATTCCGTTAAGATTCTAGATATTAAGCAATATGAAATCCGCAATCTTCCTTTACAAACCTCCAGATACTACCACTATGGCTGAAACAAAGCTCCCCAATATCATTTCAAGTTTCGGTGACTTTTTCCGCAGCTCTGTAGATGGTTCCAGAACGAAAGCTTTGTTTGATTCAAATGTATGGAACATAGGGAACTATTCGATCCTGACACCTTTTTATCTCGTCATTTCACTATGGCTCATCTACAGTATTGGTCTTATAGCATATCGATGTATGTAACCCGAGGACCTAGCAGATTTTATTAAACAATCTCGCTGACAATTCTCTTGAAGTAACATTATCTCCCATCGCCAAGATACCGGGACCAAAGATAGCAGGTAAGACTCTCCGAAATTCTCAACGATTGTTGTAGACTAACGCTTCGATTTTCTCTGTCGCAAGCTGTGACATTTTGGTATGAGATTTATTACGATATTTGGCTCGGAGGGAAATATTACCGCAAGATCGACGAGATGCATAAAAAATATGGTATATTTCCCACACTGTTCACATTTCAACTTACTGATATGGGAACTTCAGGCCCTATTGTCCGTATCAATCCTTATGAAGTTCACTTGAACGACCCAGATTTTATCGATTCGGTCTTTCCTGGACCTGGGAGACAAACTGACAAGTATTTCTTCACTGGTAGAAGAACAGGAAGTAAGAATTAAAGATGCTTTACCAACTTTGTTCGAAGTCTTGTATCCGCTTCTCAAGCTAACTGGTATGTGTTTCATTGCAGCTCAAAACTCTATCGTTGCAACCATCGACCATGATATGCACCGCAAAAGACGCAACACAATCACCAATTTCTTCTCAAATGCTAGTATTCGTAGACTAGAGCCTGTTATGAAAGAACATATAAATACTCTCCTATCTAGAATGCAAGTTTCTGGAACGAAGGAGCAAGTCTTACCGATGCATTTTGTGTTCCGGGCTTGTACAAGCGATCTTATTACTCAGTATGCTTTTGGCGAATCTTTTCATTTCCTAGAACAGGAAGATTTCTCCATGCCTTATATGGAGTCCACTGATGTTTTCTTTAAACTCAATCATACCTTCTGTCACTTTCCTTGGGTTGGTACATTGCTTGCATTGGCACCACCTTGGGCTATTAAGACCTTTATTCCATCTCTAACCGAAATGTGGGATAAAGCAGCTGTGAGTTGCTCAATCACTGAAGATACTTTAGCATACTGACTTCGAGTGCGTCAGATTTGGATAGAGCGTGTGGATGAAGTTAGAAATTCTCCGAACCCTGAAAAAATCAAGACCACGATTTTTGAAGGCGTACTGAGTGGTAAACTTCCTGATGAGGAGAAGACCAATCTTAGGCTAGCCCATGAAGCACAGTTAGTTGTCTTTGCAGGAGAAAGTACAACAGGTATGTGTCAAACATATATTATGAGACAATCTTTGGAGCTGTTGACTCGAGTTAACACCAACACAGCCTATACGCTTCAATCTGCTCTCTTTCAGCTACTTGCCAATCCCAAGGAATTCGAGAAGGTAAAGGAGGAGATACTTGCGGCCATTCCAAACTCAAACAGCCTTCCATCTTTCTCTGAGGTAGAAAGCCTGCCATACCTCAACGCAGTAATTCAAGAGACAATTCGCATTCACCCTGGCGTTGTCTCACGCTTACCACGAGTCTCTCCCAAAACTCCGACTTTGTACCATGACAAGAAAAACGACAAAGAGTATATAATTCCAGCCGGTACTTCAACGAATATGACAGCTCAAATTGCACACATGAATGCAGATGTTTTTGAAGATCCATATGAGTTCCGTCCACAGAGGTGGATTGACAATCCAAGACTCGACAAAGCCTTCATTGGTTTCGCTCGAGGTACGAGGAACTGCATTGGGTATGTCTAAATTCATAGAATATTGTTTTGTACGTGTCAACTAAAACGTGTGTGCAAAAATAGGATGAACTTTGCACGTCTCGAAATGTCTTTAGTTCTTGCAGCTATCATTCAGAAGTATGACATCTATCGCGGACAAGACGGACCGACGTTGGAATTGTTTGACACGCTCCGTGAAAGAGACATTGATTTGAATCACGATTATATTATACCTTTTCCTGCTAAAGGCAGTCCCGGTTTACGCGTTAAAATAAGAAATTAGAAAGTATCCCAAGTATCCTGGAGGGGGAAAGAACAGTTGCTGGATTTCAGGGGAGAAGAAATGGGGTTTGAGTGTAGATTAAATAGTTTTTCTAGGGTAAATTAGAATATGTTTGCTCATAAGAGCAGAATCAAAGTCTCCAAAGTATGGATTAGAAGCTTGCATACAACATGTAAGGTATTCATGAAATTCTAATAACATCATTTTTGGTAAGGATTTAACGGGACGAAGTTCGAACAGGTGCATTGATTGATCTTACAAAAATGGCTGGACCTACAATAGCTATGGTGCAAGCAAGTGATTTATTACTTCTTATGATGTGGTGATATGAAATGTGTCCTGCTTTAGTTCTTGTAGACTTGCGACTCTTTATGTGACTACAAAAGCCTTTTATTATTCTTAGCACAGTTGCGCCTTTCGAGTAGTACTTGACAATAATACAATATGAGAATGTTCAAAACCTTCCCAAAAGTGACATATATGGAGTATTAATTCCTGACTGGTCCTCCAAAGACATGTCTCGGCACTATATTTGCTATTAACTGACCGATGAGCGGGGATCAGCTTTAACTTCCCAGGGTCACTATGAAATCCAGAGCTGATTTTGAATGTAGAATAGAGTCCCCACCGGCTTGTCAGAAATTTTCAAAGTATATAAATTGGCTAGCATCTATAAATAGCTTTTGAGAATAACATAGTTTTCGTGTCCTTGGAATCGCACACGAGGCAGCATATCATATATCGTGAGTGGCTACTAGAAGACTACCTCTACCAAGGGAGAACCTCGCCATCCCACTTATAAAACTTTCCTCCATGGGTCTCTCTGGTGCTCTCAGCTATAACCCTATCCAACCCAGAAGCACATTCTGCCACTCCCAAAGGAGCTGCGTCAAAGCCGAAGTGGTTAGCACCGATATTTCCCAGGTCGGTTTGGACCCATCTAGATAGCATGTTAGCAGGATTCAAAGACGAAGATAATGCTCCACTACAAGGACCATGAGATGAAAATTACCCGGGATCAATAGGGAAAGCTATAAGAGTTGGCTCTTCACGATGGATAGCTTTTGTAAGCCAATGTACGGCGACTTTAGAAGGCGCGTAGGCGGAATTCGGCATGTCTAATTGGTTACTGTAAAATGTCAATACATATTATTCATTTTAGTTACTCGTGATTATTGTTAAAGAAGAGGATCAATTACTAGATGAACATTTTTAGCCAATAATTACGATGACGAACGGAGATTTGGGAGTGTACTTACCGTGAGATATCCTGCGGAAGAGCCAATGGAGATAAATTTTCCGAGTTTAGATTTTTTCAACAAGGGAAGTGTAGCTTGATACAGCCAAAGAAAACCGTGCACGTTTGGAACAAAATGGCCTTGAATATCTTCGACCTTTACTTCCGAAACTTTAGGCCAAACGTAGCAAACGCCAGCATTCGCAATCACAATATCAATGTGATCAATACCCTGAGCTTCCAATTGCTTCACAGCCTTGAGAGCATCTGTGGAGACAGTAGCATCAACTTTGACCATGACAAGGGACGAGCCTTCGGCCGATGGTAAATCAGCGAGGGCTTTGGAGGAAGGATGGTTCGGATCGCGGTTTGCGGCAACAACAGTGTAATTTGGCTTAGAAAGATAAAGTTCGAGAATTCCCTTGCCAATGCCTCTATTGGCGCCGGAAATGAGAACAATAGTTGGTGCCATGATGACTTAGTATTGGATTGATAATGATGCAAGAGACTAAGTTATAAAAAAGAAGCGATTGACGATCTGATTGTTGATGTCGAATCGCAATTCAAAAAGTCAGAGAAGCATCTTTATATCGCTAAAATTTCCACGGTGGCAGTTTTCAATCAAGCGTTACAAATGCAAGTGGAATAAGAAATCTGTGGTATTACTCTGCATACTCTAGATTACCGATGCCATCGCCTTGAGTGCTTGACTTCCGCAGGTTTATTATCAATTCAGTTCAAGCAAGTGGTGATAGAGACCATGATGACAAACACCATGAAGTAGATCATATTGTAACGGGAATGTCAGGTACGGATCGACGGGAAAAGCTTCATGCAAGGTCAGCAAGTTGCATATAAACGCTCGGTAACATGGGTTAGGAACTACCTGGGAATAATTGTGGGGTTAGCGAATCGGCTAGTCATGCAAAGTAAGCAATTAGCCGCGCTTATGCTCACCTTGCATCATGCGTACCTGACGGGATTGGCTATCGAAATCACTTTTTCATCTTCCGCGAAATCTAAACACTACAGGTATGGCAAATATACAGTGCGACGATTTCATTCAATCTTCTCTTGCACAAAATTTTGGGAGGAAGGATTTGATCCCAGATCGATTAGCTCTTCACGATATCCTCTACACGTAAACCTTCAACAAGTTTTTACCGATAGTGATTGTAAATGGCACGATACTTCACCTCGTAATCGTTATCGGTGCGAAAAAGGACTGAGCAATATGGAATATGGATCGGTACCTGATCCTTCAAATCAAACTCTATACGCAATTTAGCAATGTCCATGCCCTTAGGGCTGACACTTGCTCACACGATGAATAACAGAACTTACGAAATCTTGTGTAGAAGCGGTGACGATTAGAGTTCGGCAGGGAGAAACGAATCATCATAAATATGACGGCAAGACTTAACATTTCACTCCTGTGGATTATCGATCCGAATGATTTAGTGAGGTACTTTCTCCCTTCATCTATCGCCAATTTCCTGAGTCAGAAAAAATGCTTGTATATTCACCGTTTGTTCTGGCCGTAACTGCGGCCTTATTCGGATTTCCAACAGTGACTGCTGCGCCGGCGAAGAGATCTGACGGATCTCTCGAACCAAGAAGTAATTGTCACTACCTCCCAACGGATCTTCAGTGGCCTGGTCTCGCAAATTGGCAACAATTGAACCAATCTATCAATGGGAAACTCATTCACGGAAAACCTTTGGCTCAAAACTGCCACAATTCTGACTATGATTTGGCCGAATGCACCGAGATAGAAGATATCTGGACAGCGCCACTCACATAGTATGTCATAATTCGTTTCTCGAAATCGACAAAAATTTTGCTCGGACACCTGAAGCTAATTTTGAAAATGAAGTTTCACGGATCCAGTCAATGTCATGGCACCATACTGGCTGAATGATTCTTGCAGTCCTTTTACTCCCATAAATGAGACATGCAATTTAGGCAATATTGCTTCATATGCCATCAACGTCAGCAGCGCTGATGATGTTATTGCTGGTTTGAAATTTGCAACGGAAAACAAAGTACGAATCACAATAAAAAATACTGGTCATGACTACATTGGTAGATCCAATGGTGAAGGATCCCTCGCACTATGGACGCACAACCTCAAAGATATTTCGTTTCTCAATTATACCAGCACTAATTACACTGGTCCTGCGATCAAAGCTGGAGCTGGAGTTCAGTTTTTTGAAGCTTACAAAATTGCTGCGGAGAACGGTCTGCGAGTTGTGGGTGGCTTTTGCCCAACTGTAGGTATCGCAGGTGGATATGTGCAAGGTGGCGGCCATGGTCCTCTCGGGGCGACGTACGGTCTCAGCGCAGATAATGCATTGGAATTCGAAGTTGTGACTGCTGATGGTCGCTATCTTATTGCTACTCCTACAGAAAACTCGGACCTTTACTGGGCGCTTAGCGGTGGCGGAGGAGGCACATACGCTGTAGTAATCTCGTTGACTACAAAAGCTCACGCCGACGGTATAGTTGCAGGTGGATCATTTACCATCAACAATACTGGTGATGCCAGATACTGGTCTGCAATCGAAGCTTGGCAAAAGCACCTTTTGATTCTAGACCAGATACCAGGCTTTACCACCGTTTGGGGCTTCACGAGCGATGCATTCAATCTTGCATTCGCTACATTGCCGGGTGGAGATGCCTCGACGATGGTCAACGCACTAACTTCGTACAAAGAAGAGATCCAAGCAATGAACATAACATTTGCAGCATACGAAACAAGTGATAGGCCAAATTTCTACGACCACTACGAGCACTACACCGGAAGTCTTCCCTATGGACCTTATACGACAAATGATATTATCGGAGGACGCCTAATTCCCCGTTCGACCATCCAGAACAATGTCACTAGTTTGATTTCCGTTTTCAAAGACATTATCAGTACCACCGGAATTCCCGCAACATCTTTACGAATCAACGGAATAGCCGCTAACGTCACACATTCCCGCGTTGGAAACTACGTGGGCTCCAATGCTGTCCTTCCTGCATGGCGCGATTCTCTCTATTGGCTAAATGTTGACGTCGGCATCGAGGCAGCAGCTTCAAGAGAGACAATACAGCAAATTCAAGCGCAGGTAAATGCATTTCAAGACCAGTTTAAAGTCCTGACCCCTGGTGGTGGATCTTACATGAATGAGGCAACATTTGATAATCCGACATGGAAGGAGGATTACTACGGCGCAAACTACGATCAATTGCTGGACGTAAAATTGTCTTATGATCCAAATTTTGTTTTGTACGCTCATACGTCTGTTGGGAGTGATCTTATGACTATAGCTTCGGATGGGAGATTGTGTAAAGATTGATAGGCATCAGAAGACTCTCGCGTTAGAATGATTATGTAAATAGTGATGCGCTACCCTAAATTTTAAGACAGCAGAACGATATAATGGTACTTTAATCAACACTCAACAAATGTCTTCTTTATCTGGACAACCTATGGCAAGTGATGTGTTATCCGGAGGAATATTCCCCAGAAGTGTTAGGAGAAAGAAATGAAGATTCTGGTAAAAACCAGGAAAACATCAAGACTGCAAGGGATTTCCTACAAGCTACTTACTCATCACTGACTATATGAGTATGCAAGCCCTTTTTATACATCATACGGCACGACGGTCTAAGATGTCCAATTGTCCGGACTGGTAGACTAAAAATGAGCTTTCGATGTTTGAAGAGAGTTTAATATTCCAAATTGTTTGAATCAACTAATCGATTTCAGAAACTGAATACCTCTGATTATCCCACTGCAGGCCGGACTATGGAGACTCTACGGTTGGCTAACTCTCAACCCCCCACAATAAAAGGAGAACAGAACTAGTAGTATATCACCCCAGGATGAGGCTTGTGTGGGTACTTCTTGTGAAATTCCTTGACAAGTTCCTGAGCACCTCTAAAATTCTCCGCCGAATAATATTGATCATCTTGCTTATGTCCAACCCATTTAGCCTTATAACTGACCAAACCGTCCACCCATTCAGAATCCAAAATTTCCTCAACCTCATACATTTCCTCAGAGACCTCCACCCTCGATTTAGATGAAACATCTCCATCTTTTTTATTCTCTTCCCCGACTTTCTCATGATAATTCGTTGGATCTTCCAAAGGGCTATCCAAAGATGCGAGAGTCTTGAATTTTCTTCTGCTTTTTCCCATCTCCTTTATCTCCGTGCGAGCATTATCAATAACTCTTTTCATGGCGAGAAGAATCGCAAGTCTTACTTCCTCAGAAATTTGATCGAGATTTTTGTTGAATGATGTTATCCCCAAATCCCAAATGATCGTATGGATAAAAAGCTTGCGGATCAAATCCCCCTCTCTCGTATGGTCCCAAACATACTGAACATTTTCAGACTCGGTTAAGTATTCCTTTTCGGAAGAGCCCATGCGAGAGAACTTCTCGATGCAGCCATTTTTGAGAGTCGGTACTTTAATCATATCCGCGAAGATGTAAAGTCGTAAAAGAGTGCCAACATGAAATTTATAGTCGTGGCCCGATTTCGACTCATCATCCGAGAGGGCGAACCCAACTGCGTTTTGTTCAGGCTCGCCGATTTGTTGCGTGTATAGCCACCTGAAAAACAACTCGAAAACTTCAACGTCAACATCTGCAAGTTTGATGATGCCAGTGGCGGTTTCTTCGAAGCCGGAAGTAAATGCTGCCTTAAAAAATGGGGAGCAGTGGCAAATGAGACTTTTGTGTACACCGAAATCCTGGAGATCCTTTCCGACTTTGACATGCACGACCTCGCGTCCAATGGATCTAAAAACTTGTTAAATTTGTATTGATGTTGTGTTAATGGCAACATGACCCATGTACATTTTGTAAAACGAGGGAATATTGAGAGGAAGACTTACCTGATGACCATTCTGGTGGATTTGTTTCCTTCCATCTTGAATGTAAATTTGACCCGTCTTGGAATGGGTATATTAGAGTGAATTATTGCTGTAATTGACATAGGAAGTCCAAGATGATATTTCAATGAAGTATCAAAGATTTGGGTTAAGTATAAACGAAAACGAAGAAAGTAGTTGCTTCAGGATCACTTGTTCCAGATCGCTCTCGGCCTCAAAGGTCGCACGCTCGGAATAGTTTATGTACGTATGTGCTTGGAAGAATCGCATCTCGAGATATAACGTGCTCGAAACATAACAGAGAAACGAGAGGTACCTATACACTTCTCGCAGACTGTAAAGGTGCACAAAATGATATGGGTTTGAGGGGATCAATGGTTAGGGTGTGCGAAATTGTGAAGAATAGGTATGTTCGGAGGTCTGGAACAAGATAATCATACCGAGGTATTTGCAGAGAGATTTTGTATCTTCGCAATCCTGCAACAATTGCACAGTAGCTTAGAACTAATTTTATAAGATCAGCTAGACTCAACGAGGAGAATTGACTAAGTTCGCTTTCTTGATGGCCAGAATATGTACTTACATTCATGTCTGGAACCACAACTTCCAAAACTTAATCAACAGCCGGCAAATTGTGCACTTTCCTCAAAAGCCATGTATTCCAGAAAAAAGTAAAGAAAAGTTTGACTCCCGGTACCAGCATAGGTTTATCCTTTGCGCATGCTCAGAATCTGAGAATGTGTAGGAGTGCTTGATATCATGCGAGTTCCCCGATAACGTAGAAGCCTAAGAGGTTTGTATGAAGTAGGTTTATACAAGGTGCATGATGCGCTTTTGATGACACTATAGAAGTTGCAAAAAGGAATGAGACACGGTTTTTGACTCCATTATAGGACAGTACTCGAATGTACCAGTTTCGAGACAAGTTGCCGAGGCTTCTCCATATGCGAAAATTCCTTCACCCAGCCAGAATGACTTGTCGCCATTCGGTGCAAGGTCCGGTGCAGAATCCAAGAAGCAATAGAAAACAAGACTTCTTGTTACAATATTGCAAGCAAGAACTCCTCTGTCGCATCTTCATGTGATTCTTCTACTCCTTGCTATCGTACAATAGATCATCCCTTCACAGTAGATGCCAAATCAGTTTCAAATATCCACAACTTGTCTTGCATATAAATGAAGACTGATAGGCGCCTAGATGACGAGTTCATGATCAATTATTATCGAGAATTGAAGGGGAAATATCCAGATAGACATGCACTTCAAAACCGAATACTCCAGTCCCAGCAGGACAATGAATAAATTTGAACCACAAAGGCACAGAAAGTTGTGATGTAACTGAGGTTTGTGTGTTGAAATAAGTTGATACTAGCAGCACTCAAATTGTAGACATTGATTTAAAGATTTGGATGGGGGTGGACAAGGCGTGTCCTTGAAGTGAGAAGGAAAGTTGTGTATTGTGAAGACACGGTGAGAAGCACATTCTTCAAGATGTCACATGATGAGACCCATTTGATTAAAAGATTGAATTAGACATTAATTGTAAAAAAAGAATTTGTGTAAGATGTCCAACGATTGCCTTTATACGACCCGTAATGATAGTGATTCTGATTTTGAGCATTGCCAAATCCCCGTCTACTAATTTGCGCCTTGATTGAGCTGTGCTTCATAATCAACGGTAACCACAAATTATGAGATTGGATGGTAAATTTCAGAGTAAAGTGGCCATAAGCTGACCTGTATTTCTTCAACTTGGTGGAATTATGAAGCCTTCGGTCTTGTAGTAGAAATTCTAGATACTAAAAGACCAAAGATATAGTTCGGGCCATTGAATGCACTGCTGAAAATCAAAATCCAGCTGGCATGCCTAGATAAACATATCATCTTCCTCCTCATCGACGTTTATTAAGTAGTTTTCGATATTCCACAAAGGATTGCTCAACGCACCCTCAGTTTTATGAACAGCAGCTCTAAAGTATCTTCTCATGGTGGAGTGAACTTCGTCCAGAACGAGAGTCGGTATGGGATTGGGTACAAAGAGGCTGAATTCTGGAGCCGCCTCCCATACCATCATGTCGATTATGAGTCTGCGAAGTCCGTCATGTTCCGTTGTGTTCCCCAAATATATTCTATGAGCTCGACAGGGACACGTCTTCCCAAGTTCGCGATTTCATGAAACTTTTCGACACAAGTGTTCTGGAGTACGGGAATCTCTATCATGTCGACAAAAACGTACAGCTTTGAAAGCAGTTTAAGTTGCTTTTTACAGAACAAATGCAAAGGGCAACTATTATTATGCGTAAATCCAAGCCAGCTGTTCGAGTCGCCATCATAGGCGCCGCTAACAACTGAATATGTATCTTCCTGGTCGCAAAAAGCACACACGTTGTGAATCTCCCCCAAGTTCCTCGTGATACGAACCTCAGAACTCGATTTTGTTGGGTCCCACAAAGGCAAATGCAAGTCCTGAGTATACAGCCAATGATAGAATAATTCGAAAACTTCCACTTTAACTTCCGGAAATTTTATAATCCCAGTTGTAGCCTCCTCAAATCCTGAGTTTAAAGCAGCTTTAAAGTATGGTGAATGATGACAGACAAGATCTTTGTGGACACCGAAATCCTTGAGGTCATTTCCAACGTGGATATGAATCATAGCATAGCTAAGAAGTCTATGCTCAATCAGCGAGTATTCAAATATGAAGAAGGAAAATTTACTTATTCAACTTCTCAGGCCTCGTTGCAGACATTTTGAAGTGGAGGTTATCTTCAATATAGAAGCACCAGTATGCTGTCCTTTAATACTTTCGAAACTTCGTTTAGCGAATACCGGTGTAACGAAGCACTAGGCAGTGTGTGTTTCTTGATCGACAGAAGTTTGGTAATCGATCTTGGCACGAAACTTCCCTCTACGGGGCCGTAGAGATCAAAAAGAGCGCATTTAGGTAGGTAACAAGAGGGGGAATGAATTAAAGCACCGCTTCCTACCTTAATTGAGTGCAGAGAAAGCACGAAAGAGGGGGAGATGTTCTGAATGATGCTTCCCATGATCTCGGTTGCGCCACACATTTTGTTTTGGATTTCTCGGATTGGACAGGTGAATGAACGATACATAGGAAGCAGAGCAAGTACAAACTCAACATTGGTGGATATCCGTTTGCCAGATAATACAGCAATGCAGAATAGATACCAGGTGTCTGGAGTGGACAACACTAACGGAAAAGGGTAAGTAAGAGGGGTGAAAGATCTACCTACCCAACTAGTTGAAAGTTATATATGAGTCCATTCACTTACTCCGTGAGATAGATATGAATATTCGATTTCTGTGTGTTTAAAAAATACTTGCTTTCGCTTGCACTTGCAATTAGCAAGGTATGATACGCTCACCCACGTGATGTTAGTGATTAGCCATTGTATGTTGGAAGTTTGAGACAGCTCACTCTTCTATATCATGCTCAACCAAGTGTTCTGGATACTGCTTGGTAGTATGTAGGCAGGAACAAATGGCAAATAGGAATGGCAATGAAGGCTTTGAAGGGGGTTGTTCAGCTTCTGCTCACTCTTGTAATCCTACTGCCTAGCTACCAAAAGGATATGGAAATGATTTGAAATGGTATACGAAGAAGTATGTGTAACTTATATGGATGTAATACAAAGTCTTATAATAATACCTACTTGGGTATTAGGTAGTAATTGCAAGTTTAATAATCGTAACAAATTACCGTATAAACTTAAATTCCGTTATAAACTGTAAATTAACTTTTGGAAGTGAAGTCTGAAGTGACGTTTGAAGTGAGGTTTGATGACAGAAAAGTGTGGGCTACCAAATCAAGCTGAAGGTTGCAGGGATGTTGTCTTCCTTAGGTTTCCAATTTGGTTGTGAGCCGCGCGAAAGAGATTCACTCAACTTCAATCATCAAAAAAGGTACTTCCTCCTCAACCAAAACCTTACTACATACCACCTTCCTTTACTTCCGTTAATTAATCTCCTCCATCGTACCTACTTGTTTCGACGAAGAAAGCGCATAGAATAATTCACCTCTTTACGCCTTCCTTATCTAACTGTAAATCACCACGATCTTGTGAATTATGGCCAATTCTGTAAGTGGAATACCATTTTACCATTTCAAACATAATCTTCATTCGTATAATCTCTTTTCAGCTTCCTCTACTGTCTCGTTCAATCGAAAATGACTCTAGCAAGCTCTTTCATTGTCGGGAGACGACCCACTTACTCTTCCGTTTTTCAGAAGTTTCCAGTACATCCCAAGCTAACAGATCCAATGTTTCAGCAACGACTCCCTCCCCAACAACCTAGCTATAACCAAGCTTATATGCCAAATGGTGCTGTAGCAGGTCATACTGGTATCCCACCTGGAGCTACTCCTTTACTCCCAAACAACGGCAGAATCATACAAACTGGAGGCGTGAGAGTTTTGTGTGTGGCAGACGTACGAGGTGAGCTTGACCTGAAGATTTGACTTTTTCAGGCAACGCTGACAACTCGGAAGGAAATTTAAGATCACTCAATGAGCTCGCAAAGCAAGCACGCGCAGATCATATTATTCATACAGGAGATTTCGGTTTCTATGATGACACCTCTCTCGATCGCATTGCAGAAAAGTGAGCTCAGCATCCAGCTCACCACTATAGATCATCCACTAACAAACTTCAATAGAACCCTCAAACATGTCGCTCAATACTCTCCCTTGATCACAGAAGCTACGAAAAAGGCAATCGCAGCACCAGGCGGCCCGGTAAAGTCGAGATTCAGTCCTGGCGACCTTCCACTTTCCGAATTACCACAGTTCCTAAACGGCAGTCTGAAGCTTGATGTACCAGTCTACACTGTCTGGGGTGCATGTGAAGATGTGCGAGTCCTCGAGAAATTCAGATCGGGCGAATACAAGGTTGACAAACTTCACATCATTGATGAGGCACGCTCAATGCTTTTGGAAATTGGAGGCGTTAAGTTAAGACTTCTCGGACTTGGTGGCGCAGTCGTCATGCACAAACTTTTCGATAATGGTGAGGGCAGAACCACAATTGCTGGTGGGCAAGGAACCATGTGGACTACACTACTTCAAATGGGAGAGCTGGTAGATACCGCCAATCGTGTATACGATCCTACCGAAACCCGTGTATTTATTACCCATGCGTCACCAGCTCGCGAGGGTATTCTGAACCAGCTTTCGGTCACCCTCAAAGCCGACTTCTCGATATCCGCAGGACTACATTTCAGATACGGAAGTTCCTACAACGAATTCAGTGTCAACCCTACCTTGGATCATTACCGGGGTAAGCTCGCAGCATCCAAAGCTTCCTTCAATGACGTATGGGAGACAGTCAAGAGCGAAGTTCAACCGGCCATTTCTCAAAACGAAGCTCAACAAAACCTTCTTAACAACGCCCTGGGTATTGTAGAAAAGATGCCAAGCACCGCGCATGGAGGTAACCCATTCGGCGGCCCCGTTGGTGGTTCTAATGCCGCTACTTTGGGTCAAGTTGACGAAAGTGCTTTCAAAAATATGTGGAACTTTAACTTAGCTGATGCTGCCTTTGGATGGTTGGTTTTGGAAGTTCAAGATGGACGCATCGGTACCGAAATGCGAGCTCAGGGATTCAACTTCGCTCATCGAGGTGCAAAGCAACATCCAGGTCAACAACAGCAACAAGCACAAGCACCTGCGACCGGCTCTGGAACACCTGGATCAAGCCAAAATCTTGTATCCTCTGCACCACCTACTGGGCCAGCTCAGCGTTCACCCGCCGCACAACCTCCAGCGCAACCTTTCGGTCAACGAGGACAATCTCAACAACAAGCCAGAGCTCCACCGGCTGGTCCTGAACGTACCGCAGAGTCACCAGCTCCATTCCAAGCCAAGCCTGCTACACCACAACCAGCTCAAAACAATGTTGTCAACCTACCATCTGCTAAAGAGGATGAGAAAACTCCCGCAACCACAAACGGTACAGACAGCTCATCTCCAGCAGCTAAGCCTTCTGCCGAACAAATCATTGGTCTCTTCGTTATGAATGTAAACTCGGAAGATCATGTCCGCGATTTGTTCCACGACGATGACAAGGCAAAGATTATTAGAGTCGATAAATGGGGTGCATCCAACAAGGTTGCCGTCTTCAAGACAACTCAAGAAAGAGATGATGCTCTAGGTCGTCTACCTGCAGAGGTCACACAACGCAGCAGTGAGGATCGCTCAAGACCTTTGGTGAAGTTATTCCAGGCTAGGGATAATACTAAGTCTTACTCTTCGAGCCGCGGAGGTGCCGGCAGTTGGGGTAGCAGCAGAGGTGGAAACAGCAGTGCTCCCCGAGGTGGTTACGGAAGTGGGGGTGCTAGCGACAGCGAAGGTGGCCGAGGCGGACGAGGTGGTCGAGGTGGATCTAGCCGTGGAAGAGGAAATGATAGAGGTAGAGGGGGACGTGGCGGACGAGGTGGCTTCAATAAGGAAGGTGGAGCATCCCCTGCTCTAGCTTCGGCTACACCAGCAGGAGGTGATTCTTGATCGATGATAATATTCGACATCATACATCACCAGTTTTCATTACTTCCTCGCACCAAAAAGTCATATTTCTCGTACAGTACATCTTCTAAATGGTCACTTCTTGTGAACAGAAGATATCTATCTTGACAGAGGCTCAGCCATATTAGTATTTCGGCTTTTTTTCGTCCTCATCATAAAAATATTTTAAGGTACCGGAGTGGAGTTATAAACATTTGCTCATACTTCACGGTTCCTACCTTTATTTGTGTGCAGGCGATGATGGCTACTAGCTCGTTCTATTTCCTTCGCATCTGTACTTTTGATACGGGTAGCTTTGAGTCGCATCATATCATGGATCTCATTATGGAATGAGATATTCGGAACGAATCTATGAATAGCGCTGCACATGTATTTTAGTCTTTGCCTCAAATTTCCGCAGGGGAAAGCATGAGAATTGAAAGGTTGGTGGTTGCGAGGTGTCGGAAAGGGGTTGGTTGTCAAATGGTTGCAGACGCATAGAAAACATCAATTAAATTTTAGTAAATGTGCTTGACATTTTTCATTGTGACATGTGAAGTTTTGGTATCGTACAATAACGTGTATACATATTTTACATACTGGGGTTTTACAGATCCTTTAACGTAATTTACTTGAGAGTCGAAATGATTCAAGCTCATAGAGACTACGCAATATCAAAGTAGATGTCTAGCAAATGGAATAATCCCCCTATCTACTTTTCTAGAGGTTTAATACCCTTATGGATTGCTGCAATTCCACCTGTCAAATCCTCCCATCCCTTTCCAGGAACCACAAATCCAGCTTCCTTAATCATATCCCTGAATTCCTCCTGTTTAGGAAACTTCTCAATACTCTCTACCAAGTACTGATAACTATCTCTATCTCCCGCCACCAATTGACCAATCAATGGTATCGCTGAGAAACTCCATTGTTTATAAATCGCATTAAACAACGGATTTGTGACATCCGAGAATTCCAAACAAGCGAAAAGTCCACCGGGTTTCAGAACACGGTGCGCTTCCCGCAACGCAGCGGCTTTATTTGTGAAATTGCGGATTCCGAAGGCGACGGTGTAGAGATCGAGGGAATTGGAAGGGACCATGGGCAGAGACTCGGCGTTTGCGAGGAGGAAATTGAGACGTGGAGAATGGGCATAGGAGGTTTGCAGCGAGCGTTTGCGCCCTTCCGCAAGCATCTCGGGGTTGATGTCGGAGATGGTTATGCTGGAGGAGGGGGATTTATTGATGTTGGTTGCGTGGTCGAGGAGGCGGAAGGCGATGTCTCCGGTGCCGCCGGCTATGTCGAGCATTTTCCAGCCTTGAGAGGGGGAGGAGGTGGAGGAGGTGGTAGGGGGGGTGAAACCGGGGTTTATGGAGCGGACGAAGTGGTCTCTGAGGTTGAGGTTAGTAGGTGGATTGTATGTATGTGTGTATGTATATGAAGACTGTCTAGATTGAATGAGAGAATGTAAGAAAGACTACACATACTTCCATAATCTATGAATCCCCAATGACATAAAGTCGTTCATGGCATCGTACGAGGCTGCCACATTACTGAAGACTCCCGCAACTATTCATCACGATGTACGAATTAGCCTTCGTTCATGCAATCTAATCGCCCCATCATTGACTTTCCAAGCCATTGAACACACCTCTAGCTTCTTTCTCCGCCTCCAGCACAGTTTGGTATCCAAAATGTGTGGTTCGCCCATTATCACTATTCGATGCACCCGCAGACGATGGTTGTGTCGAGGATGAATCTGCTTGACGTATCGTACCCGAAGTTGAAAAGTATCTCGAAGCGAATTGGGTTCTGGCAGACCTAGTTAAAGGTCTGAATGCTGATCTACAAGCCATTTTGGGTTAAATGACTACAATTCTGTGGTAGGTGCAAGAACCAAACACCAGTTATAAAACAATGGGAATACAAAAATTCCCCAGGTATTTCCCAATCCCGATAAATTTCTCGCCTCGTCAGCCTTGCCAAGTTTTTTCTCCGGCTAGTTGGTTTGGTGAAGAAGTAAGCTAGCGGAACAAGGGATAGGAGTGGATCGGTTATCGACGGCATTACCCCAGATTTCAGCCTTGGTCTCCAGTGTTTTAGCACGGTTGGAGTCCCCAGTATCTGTGTTGATCTTTCTTGTGCCGGACGCTCTTTTTGTTTTGTATTTAAGAAGGGCCCGGTTGGTATTGATTGAATGATGTTGAAGAATTGATTCTTCAAAACGGTCAATTTGCTGCTTGGGAATGTTATATTGAGGGTTAGATGTGATATTGTTGATTGATCACTGAAGTCAGATAAGCAAACAATTATGAATTCACAGAGAATTGGAGGGTGTCTTTTGCGGGGAAGTAAGAGGGGAGGGATATCTGGACCTTCTTTGAGAAGCAAAACTCATGGAATATGGTCGGCAAGATGTCATTCTACCGTGGGACCAAGTCAGAAACCTGGGTCTGCAGGGTGAGTTTTCATTGATTCGATATAGAGTATCAATTGCTAATGAATAAATAGAGTACGCTTCCCCGGAGCAGTAGACAGTAAATTTACCTCTTCCCTCTCTTTCGAGCACCCCTCAACCTACACCGCCATCCCTACCTACCGCACCATGTCTCCGGACGGTGAAATCCTCGATCCATCCGCTGTTCTCCCCTCCGACGAAGCTGCGTTAGAAATGTATCTCAACATGATAAAAGTATCTATTATGGATGTTATAATGGTTGAAGCACAACGACAAGGTCGATTGAGCTTTTACATGCCGAGTCAGGGTGAAGAAGGTACTTGTGTGGGATCGGCGGCCGCGTTGGAGAAGGACGATGTGATTTTTAGTCAGTATAGAGAGGCAGGTGTGTTTATGCAGAGGGGATATACGTTGGAGGATTTTATGAGTCAGCTGTTTGCCAATAGGAAGGATAAGGGAAAGGGAAGGAATATGCCGGTACATTATGGGAGTAAGGAGTTGAATATTGTGAGTTTCCTTCTGATATTGCCCAAAACTTGACGTCCAAAAACGGGAAGGAATTGAATTCAAACAGCTAACAAAATACAGCACTCTATCTCCTCTCCCCTCGCAACTCAAATTCCCCATGCCTCAGGAGCAGCCTACGCATTAAAACTCCAACGTCTCCAAAACCCCTCTCTCCCTCCCCGAGTTGTAGCCTGTTATTTTGGCGAAGGAGCCGCCTCAGAAGGAGACTTCCACGGCGCCCTCAACATAGCCGCCACGCGCTCCTGCCCTGTAATCTTCATCTGTCGAAATAACGGGTACGCCATCTCGACCCCCACGCTCGAACAATACCGCGGCGACGGTATCGCCAGCCGCGGTACTGGCTACGGCATCGATACCATTCGCGTCGACGGCAATGACATCTGGGCCGTGCTCCAAGTGACCAAGAAAGCGCGCGAGCTGGCGCTCACCGATGGCGGCCGCCCCGTCCTCATCGAAGCAATGTCCTATCGCATTTCCCACCATAGCACCTCGGATGATTCCTTTGCCTACCGCGCGCGCGTCGAAGTCGAAGATTGGAAACGCAGGGATAATCCGATCACGCGGCTGCGGAAATATTTGGAAAAGAGAAATGTATGGGATGAAGCGAAGGAAATCGAAGCGCGGACGAATATTAAAAAGGAGGTTTTGAAGAAACTGAGCGAGGCGGAGAAGGAAAAGAAACCTCCGATTAAAAGTATGTTTGAGGATGTGTATAAGGAGATGACGCCGGAGTTGAAAAGTCAAATGGAGGAGTTGAGGACGGTGATGGAGGAATATCCGGAGGAATATGATGTGGGTGAGTTTGAGGGGGGTGTGGGTAGTCTGAGGTGAGGGATTGGAAATGGCGAAATGTAGATTGTGAGAGAGGGAGAAAGGGGGGGATTCATAGATGAGATTATGAGATTATGATTGTAGAATTGGAATACATTAGCATTAGCACTAGCACGTATTAGCGAGAAATACAATAGATACCTACCTAGGTACTTGAGGCGTAGTATTTGCTTTTGCATTCACCGACATTCATCGTGCTCACTTATTTCAATATCACCCATCATTACTCGTATACTGTTATGCAAAATTTGAGTACTTTAATCTACTCTAATGACGCTTATAAAATCTATCTATACCTAAAATAGTAAGACACTTTAACGCTCATACTCAAAAATAGAGTAAACAAGACAATATCCGCTGAGAAGCTATCCAAAACCCATCATCCAGCCATACAATTGCTGAAAACGCCTTTTGTCATAACCTAACATCCAAACGATTCCATCAAGTACGCCTACTTTTATACCCCCAAAGAAAAATATCTACCAAGAATATCTTTACTTCCTCGCTACTCCCGTGACAAGCAATGCACCACTCCCAACCTGTACTTTCCACCCCTCTTTAATCAACATTCTCGCTACTGCAGGTCCCAACTTCCCTTTTCCACCTTCACTATGATTACCCACACCCGTTACAATTTTAAATCCTTCTTGTGGTCCCGCTCGTATGTATCCACCGCTGAGTCTTCTCCGTTCCTCTGAAACCCACCACACGGTTACTTTCTCTCTTGCAATTCTCACTGCGTCTCGAACTCCAACTCCGTGTAAATCTATACCACCGTTCCAGCATTGGCTCATGACTAATTCGTCTGCTGCTGCACTTTCGGCATCTTTAACACGGACGTTGGCATCTCGTCCTTGTTGGGAGTAATAAGCTGCTGCGCCGCCCATTAGAGGATTAGATCTGGATTTTTTGTATGCAGCAGATGCTTTTTGGAAAGCAGTGTTGCGCGCGTTGATGTGAGGGCTTGCATCTGTGGAGGGAGAGAGCGGTGTACAAGGATTAGATGAGGTGGAATGGGTGGGGTAGATGGCGTTTAAAGAGTATTGTTTTGAAGCGGATAAAACCGTGGGTGAAGGGTCAATAACGAGGGGCGTATGTCGAATTTCGATTTGAAGGTTTGGTTTACCAGATTTGGAGACGGGAATCGATATGAGTGCGTTTGCCAATTCACGTGCATTGGCTGTATATGGATATGTCATTTGAGTGAGAATGAGTATATGGGAGGGCTTAATTGAAGGAAAAGCTTCCCCGAGTTCCATTGCTTGAACTTCGATTATTGGGTCTTCCTCTTCCATATCGGTGGCAGGGTAGTTTTCAATGATTGATAAGATGGTCGCTTTGACAGATGCTCCATTGTTGTGGTACAATGAAGTAATTTGTTGCATCGGTAAGCCGGTTCTGGTAGATAGAAATTCAACATCTTTTCTACCCGTCTCCCATTTACTCGCTTCAGTAGTAAGGGGGGAATCCTCTGCAATGGAACTGCTTTCAGAGGCTTCAGTCTTCCGACCTTTTCTCTTTCCTTTTTGTTTGCGGGTTTTAGGTGACGCGGAACTTTCAGAGAAAGCTTCAATACCACGTCTCCTCGATCCTGTTTCCTCGAGGAAGGATAGATTGAGCAAATCCTCGATCGCCAAATTAACATTTCCTTTGGACTTCTTTAGGGAATATTTGACATCAAAAGGCTTCAGAGTCTTGAAAGTTGCAAGCAAGAAATTCTCTTGACTATCCACATCCATTCCCTCAAGAGAATCCGTAAACTCAGTCCCCTTATAAGTATCTTCACTGCCAGGAAAGTCCAATCCTTCTAAAAGATCTAGTGAAGATGTCCTTTGACTCAATGTATCGTCTGTAGAACTACTCCATCCAGGTACACTTTTACTACTTGTGCTCGCATCGTCATTTCTGCTATTGCCATTTTGCGAATTCTGCTCTGCTGAAGCTTCCCCTCTATTTGTGTATGTTCCTCCCCAAGTTCCACTAGGATCAAAGCCAGTAGCTTCTTCAAACTCTGCATCTTTCCTTATCATGTCCAAAACCATGCGCGCAGCCTCAATTTGCTCTTTATTTGAAAGATCGTAATCTGCAATTATTGCACGAAACGTACTGTTATCGAGTGGGGGACAATATTCGGTCTATGTAATTCGTCAACAACGTATACAGCAAAAGAAACAGGAAACTCAAAATGAAATGAGATGGTGAATGAATTCAAGAATTACATACCTCCATTTGAGCCAGAAGCTCTTGAGTATTCACCATAATTGCAGTAATGCAAAGCAAATTTTGACGTCGATGCTTCTCTTCCAATTGCGCACGCAGACACAAGACAATTCACTCTTTTTTTATCAATAAACTCTTTCTTTTTCTTTTTCTTTCACTGAAATCAATATTCATGGAGATTCTGCTGGAAATAAATTATTGTAAATAGATGTAAGAGAAGCAAAATAATAAATATGTAACATGATTCTATGGGATATTGACATTTTCTGTGGTATTTCTCAAGTTCGAGTAGGTAACATTAGAGTTTTTGATCTACTCACTAGGGAAAGAATGAAGTGGTGGGATTTCGAACGATGATGAAGTCATGAGCCGAGAAATCAAAGGGCACCACATATCGAAGCTAATAGGCTGGCTTGGCTGGCTATCTTATCAGTGAGGAAACGCTAAATAGGGGTGAAATATTAATAAGCAAAATTGATGGAGCACTGTGGAGCGACAGCATGATTTCATGAAACATCGAGAATATGAGGTTGATGACAACCTTGGAGATCTCTCTCAAATGCTCTTCAACTTCGTTTGTATAACAGTTCTCCGTATGATAGAAAATCAAGTATCTTTATGTAGCTTTTGGAATGAACCAAATCGGAATGTTCTCATCAATTCTACAAGTCTGTGCATTCGCCGGCATTCTTAGGACGACCATCGCAACTACCTCTTCCAACAATGGATTGAAACAGATTGATACAGTGACAACATTAAATGGGAGATACCAAACTTAAGATCTAACACCTTCCCATAGCTTTACTGATCAAACTCAATCCACTCTTGCTGGCTTTGATATTACGCTTTCAAACCTTCACTCTCATCAACATTCAAAATATATCTGCATCAAGAGACAAGTTGTCTAGATTGACACGACGTCTATCTGTGCTTTGATCTCTATGAACTTGTTGCTTTTGAATTCACAATAGTATATCTTTCCCACTCAGACCGGGCGATACATGACAGGCGAGACGGTTGCTGTCAATAGCTGGTAGCAACCACCTTGTTTGAGATTGATGCATATCCGATGCGAAAGATATAGAATAGAGCCCATCGTAATTAGAAGTTGATTCGGATAGTTCACCGCGAAAGAGATCCACGCTGCACTTCTCGAGTACAATGGACTTGTCTGCTACATTCAAGAAGACTCTTTCTTCATCGCCACAGGTATTCTCCTCGACGCGAAACCTTAAGGCAACTAGCTCTACCAAGGAAAGCAGTGCATGCAAAGTTGCTGAGTACTCTACTGCAATTAGCTCAATCATTTTGTTCCTTCATACTTCTCAATCAACCATTCTTTCTTTGCCAAGTCTTGAAAAGGGCCGTTATAAATGCTTCCGATGCATTCAAGTCTTTGACTCTTGGCTCCGCAGGCTATATCATCAAAACCTGCGCTGAGCGCACTCAACAGATCTAAGATCTATATGCAAATAACACTTTGGAAGATTCTGATAGCCACTCAGTATTCATATGAATCAATTCAATATTCTCCAAAGTGTGAATCTCTCACTAGTCTTCAAGCAAATTGGGAGTTCAGACTACATCAAGCATTTCCACTAACTTCACTTTGGCTTTTGGAATTACCAATGTAGTATGGCTCATATCAGAACCTGGAAGTCGCTGCATTCTACCCCATGTGGTAGTCAACTATCTGTATTAAGAATTCAAGCTGGTATGGTAGGAACCCTCGCAACATCCTCCCTCAACGTTATTCTTCACTCCATTGTTCTTCTCAAACAATATACTCACTCGGGAACAATAAGCATCTTCTTCTCATTTGCTGCGCCATATCATTCAAAGGCTTGGGGACTATGTAATAATGTACTGTTCTCAATCTCTGATATGAGGTCAAATCCGCGCTTTGCAAACTTCGATGGCAAGCTCTAAAAGACCCGGAGTACTGGGTCAAAACGATCACAGGCATTCGCGAGATATTCTATTCCAAACGCATCAGACGAAAATAGATCAATGACCTTTTGGCGAATAGACATTCTCGGCTTGGTTGCCTCAGTGATTTTGTTCAACAATATCATCGTAAGAACTTCCCCACCACTTTTCGTAAGGAAACTCCATTCCTTATTAGTATTTGGTCTCATTTTCTGGACTGAACCACCAAAGTCGACAAGCTCTGTTGTTATTGATCATTTCAATTACTCCAATTTGATAGAGGAGGTTATGTGGTAAACTGATAAAACCTACATTCACTCATATATCGATTCAATAAAGATGCAACGAAAATTTCCAAGGCTCTATGGCAGCCGTCCAATTGAGACACCTTATCGAGGATTAGGGAGTCAAATCAGCTATCTGCAGCCCGCCATGTGAGTAGGAACAACTTTTCATTTCTGAGTCCATACATTCCATCTCAAATCCTGTGTAGTTTTTTATTTTGTCTTCTCAGTGTGGCTTAACATTAGCCTTACTGTAGAACACTATCTTGTAGGACTGTTACTAAATTTCCAATCCTGCAGGTGCTTGTGCCGTTTGTGAACAAGGCTACTATACATGCGAAGAGCAGATGATGCCTCCCTGGTTTTATCGTCGTTCAATTTCTACTGATGAAACCAGACAAATTGCTGCCTCGCACGTAAAACTTACGCAACAAGATTGCAAGTATTTAATATAAAGACCCGCGAAGTATGGAGACATCATTGTCAATCGATGGAAGAAGAAGAGCCAAGACAAACGTCAATCGTTGCTACTTGAAGCCATTCCAAATCTTTGCGAGAAGAGGTGGATCATCCCTCGACATGGTTTCACTCCTGAAGGTAAGCAATTTCCACCCATAAATATCGATGGACAAATGGAACTACGCTTGCTAGAAATCTATCATCAACTCCTCTTGCATTGGTTGAGTTCGGAAGTCCTCAAGACAAACCCCGCTGTACTTTTTGCATTGTTGTACAATCGAACGGTATATGCTCCTCAGGACTGGGCGTCATTTGATTCGCGACAGCTCAACAGCTCTTTTCTTTTCAGACACTTCGATGTTGACTTTTCAGCCACATGTATTGTGATGTATGGTCTCGGGTACAGGCAGGTGGTGGACTGGAAAGCTGGTCCGGGACACAGAGCGGATATTCTTGGGTTCCCTAAGGCACATCTTGTTCTCGAGGCTCAAGCTCATCTGATGGTTTCAATTCGGAGGGTTGTTGACAGCATACTTCAAGGAATAGATGAGAGTACACCAGTTGCAGCAGAAAAGTAGAAATCTATGGTTTCGCTGGGATTCAGGCATAGTAGTGTCGTGGAATTGTGGTCACCCTACACCAATCAAGCATTCTCATCGCCTCCATCGTTTTCTCTCGCCAATCTGATCTCTTTGGCTCAAACACGATTAGAAGCAACCATTGATCATCTTTGGCTATCGCAGACAGAGCCGGCATACATGAAACGATATATTCTGGACATGTGCCATGGAGGTGCTTACGAGTTAACTAAAGATATGGGGCTGGATGGCTGGTTGTACAGGGAATCACTGAAGCCATCAAGTCTTGCTGGAGGTGGGGCTGGGTAAAGAATGAATGCGAGCGCGTCAAATTAATCCAGATCGATTTCGAGACAATGTTGCACAAGGCGAAGATCTTCCATCTAAGTATGATAAGGCATTGGGTGCACTAGAGTAAGTTCGTTTGAGTTTTCCGATCATCTGCATGAATTTTGAATACTTGATACGGAATCTTATTAAATACTATCCAGACTCTTGGTATGGAATGATATCAACCGTCGTTGCGGTCTCCTTGGAAGGACAACCCCACAGAGACCGGGATTTTCTGACATTTATACGACAACTAAGAAATTCCAAGAACAAGGGCCTGATATCCTCGAAGTGAACAGGAAAAGCGGCTTGCTTTCTGATTTAAAATATACATTTGAAAATGAGCTTTTAGATTATTGCTTAGCAAACTTGCAGATCAAAGCTGACATACAACAAAAGCCAAACACATGGCCAAAAGTAACCATAGATCACACACTGTTATTCTCTATTTTAGACAATCACCTGGCTAAGAGTAATATCAAAGAAAAGTCTCGTCTATATGAGGTCTCATCAAATCTCCTCTCAGATCTAGCAGCTTCTCGTGAAATGTTCCCTCACTGGTTGGAAGGAAATGGCTTGGTTGAATCATTCTCAAAACATCAGGAAAGCACTGGAGGCATTTTGGCAGGGCATCAGGAAGGAAAGTGCGATGGTTTGGAAGCAGAATGGTTTTACCGAAGACGAGTTAGCTCAAGAGCTTGAGTATATCAGTGCCACCACTACTCAAGAATACCTAAGTGCTGTTCAAGCCGAGGAACAGCAGCTACTAGCCCAAATCCAACGGAATCAGAACGATCGAATCAATCAAAAGAGCCAGAAACCTGCCAAAACACCCACACAAACAACATGGGGCACGGAAGGTACAACTCCAACCCTTCCAGCGCAAACAAAAGTCAAAGATAAAACTCGCTCCTCCACCCATCCCCAACCATCCCCAACCAATCTCCAAGACCTCGCCAACCACCTAGAAAACACAGCCTCCTCTCCCTCCCCACTACCCAAAATCCTCGTCACAAACGCGCTTACGAAATGCTCTCCCACATGTATCCCTGCACTGCCGAAGCCGCATCCACAAAGAGTATCGAATGGGATCTTTCCGTGCATAGTATGTCTGACATGGGATTTTGCGCACAGAATAAAGGAGGTAGTGCGGTAGGGTTTAAGAGGGAGTTTGCGGGTATGGGGGAAGGAGAGATAGGCGAGGATGAGAATGGACAGGAACATGGAGAAGGAGGGGAGAGAGCATTCGTAAATCGGAGTGGAAAAATCATTTTTCATCGCCCGCATCCGGTGGCGAAAATTGATCCGGTTATGTTGAGGTGTATGGGGAGGAGAATGACGAGAAGGTTTGAGTGGGGGAAGAGGGTTTTTGGGTTGCGTGGGGTTGATGGGGATGAGAATAGTAGTGGGGATTTGGAGGGATGAGTTGAGTCGAATGTTCGGGAAGGTAGGGAGATGCGGAGATGGGAAATAATATGAAGAGAATACCTACCTAATTTTTAAACTCTGAGTCGGGAAACAATAATTGGTAGCGTGGTATAATATGGATTTATCAAACAAACATTCTTTAGGTTTTAAGCTTACACGAATCGGAATAGATAAATAGATAGACAGATGAACCCAGGGATTTTATTTTATTCTAACTTGATTCTCTTCAAGCGAAAGAGGAGTCTCTTGGACCAATTCATTAGTTGGATCTACAATGATCATCAAACGAGTACAGGACCGCGGGACCGTACAATATTGGGCGTGAAAGGGAGGGAGATAAGTACCCAGGTAGGTATGTCATGTAGTAGATACTTGATATGAGAAATTAATCCTACTCACCGGGGATATTCCACACCAAACCGGAAAGAAAAGGTGACGAATTGCTCACGGATTGCTGAGACCCGTTTATTGACTGACATAGGTAATGAAAGGGAAAGAGAGGAATAGAGGAAGGAACGTGTAAACACCCGCTTGTTGAATATGTAGATCTATCTATAGCACAGCTTGCTATTCTCGTTTTCTCCCTGTTTAATTTTTTTTCATCAGTTGAGTTTACGATGTGTAAGTTTTTATTCTGTAAACACCCATACATCCTTCCATAAACTCATAATCATCCAGGTGCACAAAGACGTACCAATCTGATCAAATCAGATAGATCTAATAATTTAATATCATTGCGAAAAACTCCGTCTCTTTAGGTGGATACATACCTAGGTAGATACATACATTCTTTTATGTTAGATATCGAGCGAGAAGTGAATAGATATTAGTGGTGCTTGTGTCATACATACATACATACATATATACATACACCACAATGTCCAAAACAAATACTTCAAGTGGAAATTTGAAAATAGATTTCATTACTGTGATTTCTGTAGTTGCTGTGATGTCGATTATTACGCTGTATGCCCATCCATCCCTTCATCCCTTCATCCTTTCATCCTTCCTTCCATTCGTCTTCCCTTCCATACATGTATGTATACTAGTAACAGCCTATGCAAGCGAGCTCATTACCATCCCTTCCCTCCCTCCTTCCTCTCACAATCTCCTCGCCAAACCCCTATTCACCATGCATGCATACATATATCCAGCATCCATCCACCTCGCGATATTCTTCTCTCACGTATTTGTTACAAATTTATCTTCTCTGCTACATCTCTCCAACTCCGATTCCGATTCCAACTCCAACCCCAGCTTCGAGTTTATGATATGATCCTCGATGCGTGAGCATCCACTCCCGTCACGTCATCTATTAACCCCAAACCTAATACTCATCATCACTCTCATCATCCGGCAAAAGCGCTCTATATCTCCTCTCCGCCAAATCCTCCTCCAACCCCCCCTCATCCCCACTATCTCTATAGCCCTCTCCGCCCGCCAAACTAAGAGCCACAGGTAAGAAAACCAACGCATGCAACGCCGCAAAAATGACCAACGCAAGCCAAATTCTAAAATAATAAATCTCGAAGATTTTACTCCTCGTAAACGCCAACACCGTGACGCCTACCAATTTCGTAATCGTGATACCGCTGAAGACTGAGCCGCCTACATTGACAAGAGCGGTCCATGCGCGCGCATCCTTGTTGCGGAACTTATTTTTCGCTTTTTCCATGACGGAGCGCGAGGGGAACATGAATGCGCGAGCGATGTGGGCGCAGAATTCCACGCCGATGCCGACGCAGATGATGAGGTTTACGAGACTGACTGCGTTGAGAGAGACGTTGAAGACAGCCATTGTGCCGATGATATCGGTGACTATCATTATGACTGTTACGGTGACTACAGCGCCTGTTTTGAGGGACCCGAGAAGAATCGAAGAGATGAATAGAATGAGTACCAAAGCGGAACAGAGAAGAGTTGCTGTGAGACTAATGATTGTGGTGTATTGATCGAAGAATATGTAGTAGATACTGTAGGGGAAAACTTCTAGACCAGACTTTTCACTCATACCATCTGCGATACGACGAGCAGAGACATAGGCGGCAATGAAATCTTCTTGGCTGTGGAGTGGTGTGTGACTCGTGCGGAAATGACTTGCTGGAATAGTATTTCTTTCTGCATCAATAACCAAGGCGTTTCCATATGCAGCTTGACCACCAAGAGGGCAGTCGTCATCTGTAGGAGAAGCAATCCATTTCTCTAGGTAATGAATGAATTCTTGACCTTCGGGCATACCATGTAAAGTGATATTCCATGCCGGATCACGATGTTCAAAGCAAGCTGAACGACCCTTAACACAACATGAGTCTAATGAAGGATCGAGCCAACGGAAATAGTCATCGATCCAGCTAGCAGGAGTAGCTGCGATGTAGGAAACTTCTGGCCTCTTTCTTTCCGACTCCAAAATATTGGTAAGGGATTCTGTTTCGCATGTTGTGAATCGAGAGCATAGCTGTTGTTGATGGCTACGTTCGGTAACATTCAATTCCCGGGTAACGAAATATACTGGTGGTCCTGAATCAAAGTAATCGTACAAGTCATTGAAGTATGGAATGAGATATGATCCGTCTGGAATTGCCACACGTTGATCCAAACCTAAAGCGACTTCAGGCATTAATGCAACCGCAGCGGCGAATATTCCAAGGAAGACAACGACGACAGCGGTCTTTACTTTACGGCCAAGTAAAGTTGGAGCATATGTCTTGCGAATGAACTTTTGAAGGAAGCCTTCATCAGAACCTTCGTAAAATCTAGAGTAAGAATTTCCATTGCCATTTCCAAGGTGAACACCCGCAGTTTTGATCTGAATGCAAGGAATGCAATCTACACGACGATCTTCAACGCGTCGTTGATTGAGACTGAGAATAGAAACAAACATGGTTATTTGTAGAACAGCATTGATGAATACTGCGCCTGCGGCATAAATTGCAAAGTTTCGAACTGCTGGCATACCAACAAAGGCACCAAGGGCAAATGCAATAGTCTCAGTAGATGCTGATAGAAGAATTGATGGACCCATTCTTCCAAGTGCTTTAGCAATACGGTGCTCAACCACTTCATCAGGATGGCTAGTATTAATTCTTTCAAATTCGTGAACAATCAAAAAGATATTGTCGACACCAACTGCAAGAACGATGAACGGGATGACCTCGGCGATGATAAGCGTAACCTTAACGCCTGCAAAGGAGAAAAGACCAATTGAGGCTGAGATAGACATCAGCACAATCAAAATACCCACCACTCCCAGTGAAAATTTAGATTGGACCAAAGAGCTGGCGGGGTTGTGCATTAATGTTCGGAATGAGATGGTTGTCGAGCCGAGAGCTAAAGATGCGTAGAAGAACATGATGATGTAACTAATGACGACAATCTTTGCATCAGTGTTGGTAGATTTATTAAGCTCTTGCTCAAGACTGATCTCAGTTGAGAAAGAAAGCCTTAAACCACGTTCGCTTGCTTGAACCTGCAAACGTAACAACTCATCTCGAAGGGAAGCCTCCCAGTCCATAGCATGTTCGACTTGAGATGACCCCTCATCATCATTGTTTACTACCCAGGTGATAATTAGGGCAGTAGCATCAATAACATCACCAGATTCTTGCCAACCACCAAATATCATTTTAGGATCTAGCGGTTGACCAAAAGCAGGACGGCAATTCACGGGTGATTCGGCACATGATCGAATAGTTTGCTCCCATGTATCCGGGCCAACACTGGAAATATCGTCGTTCAAGTAACCTCCTACAGATTGAACGACGCAAGCATCACCAGTGGGCTTGAGACACACGTCGCTGAATTTGGTACCGGTTTGTTTTCCGGTCAACCCTCTAATTCGATCTTCAGCTTGAAGCCACCATTTCAACGTATCGTAACTCATGACAGGACCAGGACCTGATGAGTTAGTATCGTTGACCAAGAACACTTGCTCGGCACGGTAAAAGGGTCCAAAATTCGAATCGAAATAAGCTTTCTCTTGAGCAGCAGAAGATGATGGGCTGACCCATAATCGTGCAGGGTTCTGTTCAATCTCAAATTTTGTCCAACCTAAACTCAAGATTCCAACTATGATTATGCTTGTTACAATAGTGATAGCTGGAAATCTCGCAGCTGTGAAGCCCAGACGACTGAATGCAGTGTCACAAACTGTATTGATCCAATAAGTTCTTTGTGGTCGGTCATACATGGCTCTGTTGTGGATCATGTCGCCTTCATCATCATCATCACTTGGGGCGACATCTTCCAAAAGTCGTAATCGTTCATTACGTCTTTTGGTATGCTTAGCCCAAGCTATGTGACCAAATACAGCAACAGCAATCAATAGTAGTACCATGCTGTATGTGAAGATAGCTGCGAAGGAAAGACATGGCAGCAATCCAACATGGCATGACCCAGACTCTGAAACTTCTGGTAAAGCCGGGCAGACGGCAGGACAATCCACACAAGAGCATCGAAAGTTCGGATCTTCATCGTTACACTTCTTGGGTACCATAGGTAATGGATCCATCCCCTTCTCCGGATATTTGCTAGGGTCTGGAAAGTTGATCTGGAATGGCGAGCCTAGTAAAGATTTGTGTCCCAGGAAAGCTAAGAATGAGGAGTAATTCTTTGCCCCTCCTCCAATAAATTCCATGGCATTGGAATTTGTTGGTCCAAACTTAACATCTTTGCAGCTATCAAAGAACCCCGACCCATACTCATCAGAGATGAGTTGATCTAGCTCCGTGACGATGTATTTATCACCCTTCTGCTTTGTCTCCGTTACATTCAGGAAAAGAGATTGATCTGGTGAGCATGTAAATGTACAAAAAGTGTTGTAAAAGTTCTCTTTGCATGCCGGACAAGAGGATATGATTGGATTCGCCTTCTTGATCTGATCTGCAAGAGCATCTATCTGCGAAGCTATTAGCAAAGTCCAACCGATTTCGAACATTCCCACGTACCTGACTCCCCTCACAACAAACAGGTCCCGTACTCCATTTCGGACCGCATAGCTCGACCAGTTGTTTCCTCGCCTCATGATCCGGTTCTTTTGCAAGCCCGTTATCCGGACAAGGGAGTTCAGGACCAAACCAACTATCCTTCCCACAGCTGCCCCTTATCGAACATCTTCCAGCTTCGTGTTTGGGTGTAAACCCTTCGCCTGCTGCGAAAGCAGCAGTGAGAATTCCGACTAAAGTGAAGGAATGCCGCATCACTGCGTTTGTTTACATGCGCCGCCCAGCGTCGCGATATACGAAAGCCGAGAGTCGATGATACACAGGCGAATCGGATGGAATAAGTGTACAAATAGGACGGTTTGCAGTTTGCAAATAAACGTCAAATCAATAGATTGATTATTGATTGAGGTTAACGATCGATAATTAAATTATTGATTTGATATTGTATTGTTGTATCAGAGTTAGTTGATGATTGTTGTCTGGATATCGGTACTGTAGATGCGTCCCAGCCACCAACCAATGCTGTCATAGTTCTAGTTCGTCGTTCTATGTGGCGTAAAGCTTCGCGTATCATTTGAATCCTTGTTTCACAATGGCCAACAAACTCACAAGGTACTCACTCATCCGTTTACATAATTAATCGAGCAGTGAGCCGGTGACTTTCCTCTACATATTGCTGCAGATTTGTAGGCTGCTATATTTTCAAAGATTGCTTCGTTTTATACATCAAGTTCATGTCAACGATTTCTCATCAAAATACATGATTGAACACGCTGCTGCAAGACAATGCTCAAGGTAAGAGTTCGGTGACGCTGATAATGGAGCTCTATAGACTCATTCTATATGCCCTTCATAACATTATGTTGTCGACGGCATGAATTGCCAGTCATCTAGTATTTGTAAAAAGATAAATTAAACCGTATCCCAAAAACGCTCCTCAAACTCCGGCTAAAATGCACAAATGCCCGCCTTATCCCAAATCGGTATCCAATCGAATTTTTAACATGCATGAAATCGGTCTTTGCCAGTGTTCCTGGGAAGTTAAACCGTGGATATGAGAGCCAGATTGTGTGTTTATCTGGCTGAAAGAATGACTTTCCAGTTGTAACTGGTTCGTATAATCATAACTCGTTCTTGTCGTTCTTGTTGCTCTAATCCTTTCGACATCATGAATTTCCTCCTTAATTCTTGAGCTTTGAATCTCCCACTGCAGGTGATGCCCGGCCTGACCCTTCTGCTGCCTTGGATTTGCCTGCGCTAATGGATGATGCACCATCCTCTTCGTAAAGGTGATGCTCTTCGATATACTCGATGACAGGAGCGGGTAACAAATACTGTACACTCATCTCTTTCCTTAAGAAGAGTCTAATCTTTGTGCTACTGATATCATTTGTGACAAGTTGTTGGATGACATAGATGTTGCGTTTGTATTGTTCGAGACTTGCAAGAGCATCCTCGATATCCGTACCGGTACGTTCGACAATGAAAGTACCATATTGTCCCAAAATATGTTGAAGATCAGCCTCACTCCAAACTCCTGGGATACTCATTGTTTCGATAAGATCAGCTCCAGCTAATAGAGCAATGCGAACAGGTACTCGGGATCCATCCGGTCGTAGAGCACCGCCCATCACTTTGTTTATTTCATGCTCGACATGATCGAGTACGAGGGCAGTCGGGGTATATTCTGTTTGTAAGGCTTCCCAAGGATCCACCATAAGCCAATTTGATGATTGCACAGCCAATTCGCACATGTTAAGTCTGTACCTGTCAGCTAATTTTACCAAACCAAATGTGAAATTCGAGACTCACCGGTGTTCCGAACTTGCCAGGCCTGCCTTCTTGTAAAAGTTGGATACAGGTGAGAAGTAACCACTAAGGAGTTCAAACTCTGTATTGAACTTGCAATAATCGGCAGCCATCTCCATCATTCGCAAATGAAGGTAAGTTATAGGTGAGAAACTACCACATGCTACCAATACTAAGGGAGTCTTCTCGGGATGGTTTTGTGTGAGTCTTAGGCGATCGGTTGGGAAGGTGTAGTTGTCGAGAGTTTGCGCAGGAATAACCTGGGCGGCGGGGTTGGCAGTCATCTTCAGAGGGTGATTCGGAGGTTGTAAGTTATTGTTTGGAGGAAAAGTGGAAAAGACTCTTGAGATTTTGGGTGAAGAGCAAAGTCTAGATGACGAATTTCGGAATAGCAGGGATCGATTGCGAAGGAATTGCGATGAGTTGAAGATATTTCTAGCAGTCGCTCTTTGCAGAGTACGACAAAGAATGAAGTACGCCGTTGTCTCTGATTTTATTGGACTTTGATGTGAATGTTTAATGTTCAATGGATGAAATATAAAAATTGTGAGGTTAAATAGATTTGTGAGTGATGAATCCGAATTAAGACTTTTCGATGTCCGGTGGATTAGTGAATTTTATAATATCGGTTGGAGGGAGGAGTCAGAGATCAGAGATCAGAGATCAGAGATAGTGGGATGGCTCAAGATATGCGCAAAGCCCCGCCCCTACGCTTTGATATACCGGAACCCAGAAAATGCTAGGTAAAGAGGTAATCAAACGACAAGGTACGGAGTTATTATTGCAGGTTGATCGATTGAGACGATCGCGACGGGAACTTCAAATTGCTTCAGAGTGCTCACGGATAAATCGCTGGCTGTTTTCGGCATGTGATGGTTTTCGAAGTAAAACATTCAGTTCTGTCCATACTCATACTCAGCATTTGATAGCTGGTCTGGATCGTCTGGATTGTCTGGATTATGTGCCAATGCTTGCTTGCTTGCTACTGTTATCTCCTCTCCTTCGTGCAAGTCTCCAGGCACAATGCACAATGCACAATGCACTCGGCTCCAATCAAAGAGAGATTATCTAACTTGAATCGTTTCAAAATGTTCGACCCCTCTCTACCAGAATGCTGGTTGATGAAGAGATCGGGATAAGGGTGACTAACAGATACCTACATAGGTAGCTAGTACGCAAATCATGGTCTGGCTTGGTCAGCTTAGGAGGCAATTTCTATGATACTTAGAGAAGTACATCTACTCGAGTCGAGCCTCGGTGTTGGGATAACATTGATGAGTATTCATTATATACCTACATATCTACTTTGTACTAATAAGTTCGGTATATTAATCCCCAAACTAATCTAGGGATTTACCTAAGAAAAGCGGTCATCGCCGTAAAGTTATTCAGCAATCAAATTCCCAACCCTAGCAATCACCAACTGTTGCTCAACCTTGCGTGATTGCATTGCACCGAGCCCAGAAGGGTGTGTTTTGTTTCCTACCTACCAGAAACGATGCTGAATTCCCCACCACCTTGTTATACCCACTCCACCCCGTGAAACCGCCCCGGAAAAGCCGAATTCCCAAGATATATCCATCTCAACCGAAATTGTTCGAGCTCGAGATGTTACCCGTCACCCGTGGTACCGAGCTGAGCATGTAGTTTTGATCAAGTTCTCTGTTGGTCGATACTTTGCCTCTTCTCTTGCTGAAGGGAACACAATTATGTTGATGCTGATGGGAGGTAGGTGTAGGAGCATAAAGTAACTCCGCATATGCTCAATTGAACAACATCGTCTCGTGCAGGGAGATATAGGATTTGTCCTCATTGCTTCACAGTCAAAATGTTGAATGTACTGGGGGTATCGCTACTATACTTCGTACGAAGCTCTCTGTTCATGGCCAAAAGAGTAAGTGGCTTTTTCGACTGTGTGGATGTACATTGAGGAATTGCAACCGTTTTGTTCTACAACTATCTTTTGGGTATGGTGACATATATCCAAACAGATTCATCTGTGTGTGGGCTTCTACTTCTCGGTATGCGGACCAGAAAATTAAAGATTCAAAGAAGCATTGGGGTATATGATATCCATCAATAATATTCTTGGTGTATGTTGGAAGTGATATCAATCGATTCGAGTATCCAGGATACGAATGGAAGGTGTGTGGAACTGATCTCTGGTACAGATGAGTTGTCCATAGTGTTCAAAGATTGTGAAAGGTCTGATAACCTATAATGAAGCTGTACGTAGCTATGCAAGATACGGAGGTGGCATCGTGATATCAAGAGACATCTATGATATTGGATATTGTCTCCTATACAAAAGTTTCGTTCAACCAATATCGATGAAGTTAACTCATGTATTCCGTAGAACGAAGATCTTAGATATCGGCCAGCTTGAGTTGAACACTCAATCTGCATAGTATGTTATACATCTATCCATCTTCTTCATTGATCTTCATCACCGGATCCAAATAGAATGGGGGCAAGCCCCCAAGCCCCCATAGCTCGCTGGGCTCGAGAAAGAAGCCATATATTGATAAATAAACTTTCTGATAGGAGATCGCTTTGCTCAATATGACGAAGGAGACATAGACAACACGTATCTTCCAAAATGCCGCCTCGAAAAGAACGGATTTTTGAACGGACATATGCCTTCTTCCAGTATCAGTCTGGAATGCTTGTTAGTATTTGGTATAAATTCTGTTGTTTAGTAGAATAGGGAGAGAATGAATCCTATTCAAACCACTCAACACATGTAGATTATGTGTTTATCTAGGTAGGTAGTCGAATAATGAAACATGTTCCCCTCCAGCGCCCATGTCAATCATTCTGTTCATTATAAATGGAACAAAAGTAAATAATGAATTGGTATGCAATACAACAACATGTAGAGAAGCAAGTTCTCAGAGTTATCATGCTAGAAACATCTGTTTGGAATGAAAGGAATCTCTTTATTGCCCACCTACATAGGTGTGATTTGAAAGCGTTGAAATAGGAATTGTATGGACAACTTCAACTTATACTTGTGTAATTGTTTGAACCTTCCCTCGCCAATACAATTGGCAGTCATGAATGTTGATCTTAATTGAATTATCTCCACCTCATCATATATTCCTGAAATTATCATTCAATATAATCGAGTGCTGTGTTCATTAATGAGTATTGACGCTGATAACCTGTATACCGTACCGTAGCTTCACTCCGCTAAATTTTCGAGCTCAACTAATAAATAAATGCTAGTCTCCACCCACACTACAACGTACATAGGTACTTGCTTAGATAGAACACAAGGCTCCTCTTGCAAGCAATACACACCACCACACACCACCACCACACCACTACCAAACTCCTTGAAAGGAAAGTCAACCACCACCACTTCTTCCAAAAAAAAAAGGAAGTTGATAATTTCTCTACAAACGATATTTAGAAGGAAAACCAAATTCGAAAGAAACTACTGGCGACTTCTATATTAGAAACCGAACTGATGGATTAATGGCAAAGGGTACGAGTCATATTGAAAGGCCACAAGAGTCGACATCATTTAACGATAACGGTCCAGAAATATCAAGACCACTCTCCACTGCGACTTCCATCTCTTCATCTTCTTCATTTACTCCCAGGTACACAACCACCTTTACCTTTGTCTTTTACCTGCGTTTCTTCCTCGTCAACAATTTCTTCTTAATCATTAAATCATTTTCAACTACTTGCGACTGTCAATCACCAGTTGTCGATGGTTGAATGGATTAAGAGGTTATTATTCAAGAGCCAATACTCATGTCTTCCAGAATTACACGATCATCCGCGCGGCAAGCTGCCAACTCTTCAGAATCATCGGCCGGTTCCTCTGCTTCTGCGACTGCAGCAACTGCAGCAGTAGCTCCGCCAGGTCGTTCTTCAGCCCCATCACGAAAGCGTAAAGCTACTGTGCGGGAACCAAGTCCCGCTCTAGAACCTGAACCCACAAAGGCAACTCCATCCAAGCGTTCGAAGCGTCAGAAGGTCTCAGAACCCGAAGTTCCAACACCCGCTCCTGCTTCTGCCGCATCTTCTCGTCGAAAGAACGCAAAAGCTCCTGCGGTTATGTCTAGTCACAGGAAAGTCAAGGTCCATTCGGAGCATGGTCTAGTATCTAACAATATATACAGTGATTCTGCTGGTCCTTCCAATGAACCATCAAATACGGCTGCTAGTTCCTCCAGGCGCAAGTCTAATAGAAATAACAAGAAAGGTGGGCCAGATCTATTGAAAATGCATATTCAAGTCGATCTAGTGGAAAGTTGCTAATACTCTCTCAAGCAGACGCCTCCAGCAGCACCCCAAGCTCAAGTAAAAAGTCGAAGAAATCCGCCACTGCTGCTAAGGATGCAGACACTACAATGAACGATGCAGATGATAAGCCTCCCCCACATCCACTCGATGACGATGATCCCAGCGATGACAACGATGACGATGATATTCCTCGAGACTACGATGGCGGTGATGATGACGATGACGATCCATTCGGCGGCTTCGGTGGACCTGGCGGACCACCTCATGGGTTATCCAGCACTCTGCGAGCTTTGAGTGGCATGATGTCTGGAGTTTCCTCTCGACTGCGCGACATTTTGACACAATTGAAGCAAAAAGATGACCCATCCATTCAATTGATAGCTTTACAAGAACTTTCTGAGATACTACTTGTTTCTACCGAAGACAATCTGTCCGGTCACTTTTCTCCGGATGCCTTTGTCAAAGAACTGGTGGTTTTGATGCAACCTGCTGACTTCGGATTTGGGGAGGCAAATCCTGAGATAATGCTCCTTGCCTGTCGATGCATTGCCAATTTGATGGAAGCTTTACCTGCAAGCACTGCTAACGTTGTCTACGGTGGCGCCGTCCCAGTTCTCTGCCAAAGCATTTTAGAATTAACTTTCATTGATATAGCTGAACAGGCTTTGAGTGTAAGTGCTTCGCCTTAGATTTCTGCTTCAAATACTGACTTTTACTTTAGACCTTGGAAAAAATATCTATTGAATATCCAGCATCAATCGTCCGCGAGGGAGGATTGACAGGTTGTCTAACAAATCTTGACTTCCATAACACAAACACACAAAGAACTGCGGTCACTACTGCTGCAAATTGCTGCAGAAATATTCCAGAGGATTCATTCAACGTAGTCAAGGATGTTATGCCCAATTTACTAAGCGTTTTCAATTCTAACGATCAGAAAGTCGTTGAGCAGGGCTCACTCTGTGTAACTCGCATTGTGGAGAGCTTCAGGTACCATCCAAGCAAGCTTGAGGAGCTCGTCAGCCCCGATTTACTACGAGTCATTCTTCGTCTTTTGCTCCCTGGATCTACCAATCTTATTGGCGCTAATATTCATACACAGTTTCTTCGCGTTCTTGCTTTCACAGCAAAGGCGAGTCCTAAACTGTCCGCCGAACTTTTCAAAATGAACGTTGTTGAAACATTATATCAAATTTTGACTGGTGTTTCGCCACCCAGCGCCACAGAAGACGTAGCATCAAAGATTGACAGCGTTGTGATCATGCAAGCCTTGATCCACAGACCACGAGAACAGGTTATTGAGACTCTGAATGTTATATGTGAGCTTTTACCTGGAATTCCACGAAGTGGCAATTCAATGTTCGATGACGATATTGACACCGAATCTCCATCGGGAGCAACAAATGTATCATCTGGTTCAAGAAAAAAGTCCGCAAACGAGATTCGTATTGAACTTTTGGAGGGCTGTAGAGAAGAGGTCAAGAGATTTGCGATCATTCTCTTTCCAACCTTAACGGATGCGTTCTCTAGCACCGTCAATCTCCACGTTCGCCAAAAGGTTCTCAACGCTCAGCTCAGAATGCTTTCTAATCTTGACAAAGATATTTTGATGGAGGCTTTAAGATCAGTTCCATATGCATCATTTTTAGCTGCAATTCTCTCGCAACAAGACCACCCTAGCTTAGTGGTCTCGGCACTTCAAGCTACGGAGCTTCTTCTAGTCAGCCTCGAAGACATATATCGTTACCAATTTTACAGAGAGGGAGTAATTGCTGAAATCACTAAGCTAGCCACTATCGAGGAAACCAAGACTGAAAACAAACACCCGTCTGCGGAAACAATCGAGTCTAAGCCTGCTACCACGCAAGCCGATGCAGATCGTAAAATCTCTGAAAAGGCGGGTAAAAATGGAGAGGCTCGTAACGAAGATCACAACTCGTCAGATGAAGACAACGAAGACAACGAGAATAACGAGGACGAAATGGATAATGATATCGGACATAACGATGATTTACAAGATGATGTAACAGCTTCTCCAGTTAGCTCTCGTGGCTCTACAATGTCATTGGATGGTCTTCATCGACATGCATCATCAGATCCAAAGACTATGGTGCATATCATTGCCGCCCGCGCCCAAAAGTTCCTTGACATTCATGAGAACGAGAAGAATAGTAAGGCCATGAAGAAGAAGGCGATCAAATCTTGACGAGTTTACAATCTCTCGCTTCGGACATCAGAAATTTCTATCTGCATCAAGGCCCGGCAATGGAATGGAGCTTTTTACCACACTGGCATCATATTTTGATGGTGATGTTTTACAAAGTGTTACGAGTGCCGAATTATTGAATTCCGAAATAGTCCAAGTTCTATTGGAAGTTTTCAATAATCCCGACGAGCAGCTGGCCAATGATGCTAGATCTGCGTTTCTCGAAGTCTTCATGGGCCAAACTCTTACTAAGAAGTCAATCACTGGAGCAGATATGCCTGCAACTCCATTTGGTCTTCTTATCCACAAATTACAAGATTTGTTGAGCCGCTCAGAACATTTTGAAGTAGTTACCGTTCATTCAAATAGCTTTGAAGGAAATAGGAGTAGTGCTGCATCGATGCTTGCTAAACAAATTCGTCTCAAGCTGGTAGCTGATGAGGACTCCGAAATTCCAAGATCGTACCGAAACATTATGGTTTCTATTCATGCCATCGCTACTTTCAAAGCTTTGGATGATTACCTTCGTCCCAGAATCAGCTTGTCTGATCGTCCTCGGCCACCTAGAGCTAGAGATGGCCTTTCTGGTGCGTTAGCTGCTCTTGCTGCAGCCGGCTTACCCAATCCATATGCCGGTATTCCCAATGCCCAGGCACGTCTCGCCGCCGCCGCAGCCGCCGCAAATCCAACCGCATCTACCCCTCGCACTTCTCGTAGGGCAAAATCAAAGTCTGGTCCTGCCCCAACGCCTGCATCGGCCGACCAATCGACCTCGAGCACACCAGTAGATAAACCTGCTCGGCGTTCGGCTCGGCGTTCGGGAGCTCAGACTGATCCACCTCCCCCACCTCCACCACCCATGCAAGAAGAGGATGCCCTTGCTACGGCTCTCGAGTGTGCTGATGAGCGACAGATGAGTGAGGATGAGGAGTTAGAAGATAGCTCTGCATTGGACGCCATTGTCGGTGATATGGAAGAAGAAATGGAAGAGGATCCCGCTGTTGATCCTACAGCTGTAAATCTTGAGGTCGCTGCAGGTGGCAAGGTCACAGCCCGTAAAGAAGATGGTACAAGAGTTGCGACCCCATCACAATCTTTACCAAGCACTTCCCGCAGTAGCTCTGCACTCCAGGCAGCTGCTGCTCAAGAGGCATTGTCCACACCAACCACATCGTCCAGACCTATGTCTTATGCAGCTGCGATCCAAGCTGTTCCGTCAGATTGGCACATTGAGTTCAGTTTGGATGGCAAAGTAATTGCTAATGATACTACCATCTACCGCGCTGTTCATACCATGGCCAACACGGTGGAAGATCAATCAAGTCGAAGTGTTTGGTCCGCGATTCACCCCATTAAATTCAAGCGTGTTCCAGGGCCGCCCCTCCAGAGCCTAGCTCTCTCTCTCGGGCATCAGAGGCCAGTACAGAAACTACGGCATCTGGTATTCCCGCATCGCTAGATAAGCATCCTGCAACATCCTCAATCCTTCGATTACTTAACATCCTACACGCTCTCAATGCCAACCTAGATGACGTTTTGGCTGATAATAAGGATGCTTTGAAATTAAATGCGGAGCCTTTGTCACAGTTTGTGAACACTAAGCTCACTGCAAAGTTGAACAGGCAACTTGAGGAACCCTTGTGGTTGCCAGTAATTGTCTTCCAACTTGGAGCGAAGATCTTGCTCGACTTTACCCGTTCTTGTTTCCTTTCGAGACACGTCATCTATTCCTGCAGTCAACATCTTTTGGCTATGCTCGTTCAATGACTAGATGGCAGAATGCCCAATCTGCTGACGAATCCCGCCGAGACCGTCATCGCGATGAACGTCCTTTCCTAGGTAGGCTTCAACGCCAGAAAGTCCGGATATCTAGATCGAAGATTTTGGAATCAGCCTTGAAAGTTATGGAGCTTTATGGTGCATCCCAAAGTATCCTGGAGGTCGAGTACTTTGAAGAGGTTGGAACTGGTCTCGGGCCAACACTTGAATTTTATTCTTCGGTTTCGAAAGAGTTCTCCAAGAAGAAACTCAAGCTTTGGCGCGAGAACGATAACGATACCGATGAGTATGCATTTGGTGTCCGAGGCCTTTTTCCAGCACCTATGAGCGAAGAACAATCATTGAATGAGAATGGAAAGAGAATTTTGCACCTTTTCAAGATGCTCGGCAAGTTCGTTTCTAGGTCCATGATCGACTCTCGCATTATCGACGTTTCTTTCAATCCCACATTTTTCCGCATTGGCGACGAATCAAATCCTGTGACTCCCTCTCTGGGTACGGTCAAAACTGTCGACCCTCAATTGGCCAAGTCCCTCAAGATGATAAAGAAGTTCTCTGTTGCAAAGAAGGCTATTGCTGAGGACTCGAGTTTGACAGCTACTCAGAAAGTCCTTGCTACAGAAGCTTTGGAAATTGATGGGGCTAAGATCGAAGATCTCAGTCTGGACTTCACACTTCCTGGATATGCGATTGATCTTCTTCCCGACGGCTCTTCAATCTCTGTCACTATTGACAACGTTGATCTCTACCTTGAGAAAGTTATTGATATGACTTTGGGAAGTGGTGTTCAAAAACAAATCGATGCATTCCGTGAAGGCTTCACTCAAGTCTTCCCATATTCTGCTTTGAGGGCCTTCACTCCGGATGAGTTGGTTATGTTGTTTGGTAGAGTTGAAGAGGATTGGTCTCTTGAAAGTATGTTTAATCCCCTTTGATTGTATGATAATAACACTAACATGCGTATAGCTTTGACCGATTCTATCAAAGCAGACCACGGCTTCCATATGGACAGCAAGAGTGTGAAGAACCTGCTCCAGACAATGAGTGAGCTCAGTCTGCCAGATCGTCGGGACTTCCTTCAATTCACTACTGGAAGCCCAAAACTTCCCATTGGTGGTAAGTTATATATGCATGTATCCTATTTTTACGACAACTGATAGCTAATTTATTACAGGCTTCAAGAGTCTTACACCAATGTTCACTGTGGTTTGCAAACCTAGTGAACCACCCTACTCTTCTGATGACTACTTACCAAGTGTCATGACATGTGTCAACTATCTCAAACTGCCCGATTATACTGACTTGGATGTCATGCGACGACGTATGAGTACTGCCATTAGGGAAGGACAGGGAGCTTTCCATCTGTCATAAGGCGCATTTTAATAGCGAAAATTGAACTGAAACTGGCATGCATTAGGTCTGGTCAAACATGAAATAAGATTTTCGGGTATTTATTCTCATTGGAGGATGAACAAAAATTGGGGGATTTGGTTGGTTTTGCTTACTTTTGAGCCAAACCCGTATGTATTCACGAGCTATTTTTTGCAATTGTTTCTTTTTTTCATCAGCCAGATTCATTTTCTTCTTCATACCTTCTATCTACTTACTTTTTTGTAATGGAAGTTAAAGAAGAGAGAAAGGAGTCAAATTGCATGGGTGGGTCGTTTGGGCGCATAGTTTGTAAACCGGTTTCTCCTGTCCGGAACTTGAAGGGGAATGGTTTGCAAATATGACTGGAATGGACTGGTGAACAGGATGGGATGGGATTTTAGCTTTTTATTAGGTAGCCTTACTTCTACAAATACTACTTTGCAAACACTAGTCTTGAGATTAGAAATTAGGTAGACGAATTGATCCACTCTAGATTATTACGGTTTTGAGTAATGAGTGTGACTAGGATGTGAATGTGAGTGTGTGTGTTGTATGTGATTATGAGAAGGAGATATGTTCAATAACAGCTTTGTAATTTAAATACTACTGGTGTCGAGAGACTAGATGTATTTGCAAGCTAGCTATTCGACGACATTGTTATTATTAATAAGACCCTGACTACTAATATATGGAATCCTAAGGACAACCTTATGATGAGATTGATTGATGTATTCGCTTTCTCTTGGTACGAATTGATGAATAGAAAAACCCGCCTAAGAACCCTGGGTATTATTTTTGATTCTCGGGCCTAGCATCTCAAATCGCCATGTGTGAAGAGTAAAAGGATCTGAACTGGCATGTGCTAGTTGAGGTCCCGATACATAAAATGTTGGTAGATGAGGTTATTATCGTTATTCTTTTAATTTATTTAATTCTTTCTTAAGGAAGGAAATTTGAGTTCGGTTTATGGAGGTCTGGGGATGGGGATGGGATGGGGATTTGGAGGGAGAAGGGGGGTGTGATGTGGGTAGGTAGGTACGCGGGTAGGCAGGTAGGTATGGAGCTTATTGAGTTTAGTGGGTGAGGTTTAGGGATGTTGTGGATTTGGGGATTTGGGGGTGGAAGATTGAAGATTGAAGGGGATATTTTTGAGGATGGAGGAGGGGAAGGAAGGAAGGACGCAAGGGGCGCCAGGAGAGAGGAAGGAGAAAAGAGGAGGTTTGAAAGTTAAGGTTTTGAGGTTCCTGGATTGTGAGAGGTTATTGATGTTCGGCTGGTGCGTGTGGTGTTAATGATAGGTTACTAATGTTAAGCTCATGATTGTAGTGTTGATAAATACCGATTAGTTGGTATCTAAGTACCTAGGAATAGTCGTTTGAATTAGCGATGTACAGTCTAGGTAGGTAGGTAGGGCTAACCCTGGGGTGGGGAAAGGGGATAGATAATAAGGGAATATATATCTAGGTGGCTTGGAGAGATGATTTGATATTAATGAGTGGTATGAAATGGAAGAGCTAGGGCGGGGAGCTAGTGGATGGTTAGGGGCTGTTGTGGCGTTGTTTAGGGCTCGTTTGAATTGAGGGAGATTACTGGGTGATAATCTATGTGAAATAGTTTGGTGTTGAAAAGGGAAGTGTGGTTTAATCAGGGCTTAGGGGGCGAGATGGCATTTGTTATCTAATGATTCTAAAATAATAGTTATATAAAATTGCATTATTGTATCATATTACATCACATTTATATTACTATATTGCTTGTCATATCAAGATATCTATATACAGTTCTATAATAACCACATTCTGAAAATTTATGGTTACATGTTGATGATTATCTAATATAGCGGATATAATCTCAAAGCCACTATATTAGGAGATATACTCGGTGTGATAGTAAAGTCTTTTTTCGCGCGGGTTTGTTATATATGATGTTGGAGGATCATAATATCACTTGAAATGGCCGTTGTATTAAGTTTGGAGCTCTATTATTATCACATGTTGTGTCGTTCATGTAAAGATTCATATGACCAGGTGATGAAAAAGATTAGGATTATTTCTATACTAGCTGCATCTTCTAAACACTTATTCTGAGCGCGAAAATTGCTTGAATGAATAGGTTAGATTAAGAAGTGAGGAGGTTATCAGGCTGTTGATTGTTGGCAAAGCATTAGTGGGCCATTAATGAGAGCAGGTTATTGGTTTTTGTTCATCTCAGATAATTTCTAGTTGGCAATTCTCTGTAAACTCAATCGACTGGGCTCATATGAGAACTACTGATTCTCGATGATCAGAAAACGTTGATAAAGTTATGCAGATTCTAGACGGGGTCGTGTGACAATATCTCGTACTGTTAGAATGGAGGAGTTAGTAAATTTTTTGCAAGTAGTGTAGAGTATAATTCATAAATGTAAGTTGTGGTTGATGTGCAGGAGATTAATAGCATGTATGTCGAAATGTATTCGATTAGATGATCAGAAAGTTATCTTACCTTCCTGTTCTAACAGATCCATTCTCTAATGCCAACTTCGCTTGTACTCTTCGACGAAATACAGCTCGCGAATGCCCACCTTGGCGTAGAAGTAGTTGGTTTCATCCAAGCACTTTCCTTTGAAACAGCATGGAGAACCGCCGGACTGTGGGTGTCGTTGGTGATTGGAAGTCGCTAAATGAAAGTTTTGAAGACCGCTGATAGAATGCAAAGCATCGAGGTTCTCACAACCTGCCATCAAGATAATTGGGAATGTCTCATTTGGCTCAGTGAAGCTGAAGAAAACATCCTTGCGTCGGTCGATATTGATGTATAAATTTCGCAGACCATGACAGCTGCCAAGAGTGTAGTATTCGGCTTCTACATCTCACAAACGCTGGGGAGTGAGAGTACCCTCTTCCTGGAGCTGGAGAACACCGGGATCACTATCACAGAGTTGTGTGTTTTTTCGGTCAAGTAGATTGATTTAATAGCATTACGTTGCTTGGCAGTGAGATATTTCAAGATGATCAATTCCTCAAATGAACAAAATTCAGATGTGTTGTCTTTGAAGAGAATATTTGTGGTGTCGATGATATTGCGGAAACTAGCACATGTCATCATCAGAGCTCGGTATGTCTGGATCTCGTTTCTCTTCCCTTGGGCTTGACGTGGATATTCCGAACAATGTCTAATGCCACCTCCTTGGTTCTCAGTCTTGATCTTGAGTGTGCACATTGGGAGAGTCTCACGATGAGACTCCGTGGTGTAGGCAACTCTGAGAATCTTAATGATGAGTTCGAGAGGCAAGTTTTCGAGCAGACTGGTGTTCTCACTGCTCTATCTGGTACGTTTATTTTCTGACTCAATAACAGTTGTGGACTCCGACAGTTTAAAAGTATTGAGATCATTGGTGAGATTGTCAAGCAGCTGACTGTAAATTGTGTAAGCTTCTTCCAACGAAAATTTGACCCGAGGATGTTTTGTCTTTATTGATGGATCGGTTGCCATGTTGGCGTCTATTTGGACAGATATCTTCTGAGAATAAAATATTTGGAGACTTTGGTATAACTTTAGAGATAACTTGATGATACGTTTCTCAGTTGTGTAAAGTTTTTGTTGTGACTATTGACAATCAGAATCTATCAAACTGAGCGAGAATATTATGCATATATAAGAGTTTCAAAACACCATTGAAAGCGCTAGAGCTCTACGGCTCTACGACTTTACGGCCCTCTTTCTTTCTGTATGTAGATGTAAAGTCTGGAGTTCGAGTATTCTACAGGTGCCTGAAGCATGAACTTAATCTAGTGAATCATATATTGGTGATTCAAGACTGCTCTAGAAATTCAAGGTGCATCTGGATTGATTTCCAGGAACGTCGGGAATATTTTTCCCAATGCAAAAAGTGAGAATAGCACCAGTCCAGTGGAAAATTGTCTCCAAAAGAACCATTCAGACCTTAAGATTAAGCTGATACACATTTGCGTATGTTTGGGTGGGACTAATATGATTGAGAAATGTATTCAATTGCGAGAGCGGCTATTTGTAAGAGTATTTCCCCAAATAGAAATTGGACAGTAATAGCACCATTGAATGAGAGTAGTATTGAATGTCTATTGAGCATCATTAAATGGGGAGGAACCCTCACTGTGCATGTAAATATATACCAGATCTAATATTTTTCATCAACCTTGATCTTGTATTTGATAAAATCAGTACACTTTAACTCCAGTAGAGCGCCTAGATTAACCTCTCGAATCCTCATAACTCATCATGCGACTCGTCCCCATAGACTTGATCCTGGAACTCATGGTCCCAGTCCGGTGGATTCAACATATATTCCCTGGCTCTTCTTGCCGCCCCTACTGCACTGACCCATGCAGGGTCGATGCCCTCGCTGAATCTATCAGCAAAATCCGGGATAACTTTTATGATTGTTTTGCGAATTTTTTGAAATTCTGATGCGGGCGCGTCGCCACTGAAGACGATGCGTCTAAACTCTGTGAGCTCTGGTGGTTGAGAATCTGATAGTGGTATTCTAACAAAGTATTTTAGCCGGGTTGCAAGATATTCAAGTTTCTCGGGCTGTAATACATCATTAGCCTCGATTCGCAGATATCCAACGTTGCTCTCAGCAAAAACATGATGATTGATAAACCTTAGGGGAGCTTAAATAAACGAGCACCTGACCGTTTCGTCGTATTTTTTGCTTCATGGACCTTAAAAAGATGTTCTTACAGAAGAAATTTGTCCCACGCCACCAAAGTCGGGAATTTTGAACCTTTGTTCCACCAAACTTATCTTCGTCCCTCCATCGGTCATTGAGACCTCAAGACAACTATCCTGATAATCGAAATGTAACAGAAGATTGGACTCTTGGTCAATGTCAGTTCCTGCCGGGTATCCAAGGGCTCCTGCAGTATTGAGGCGATATCCTAGTCGCATGCTATGGAGATAATGCCGTAATTGCGAGCCGTCTTTCATGCCAGGCAAAAGCTCAATTGCGACGTCTAGTAGATTATTGAGATCTCCAATCATCACGTCAAGATATGTAATGCCGAGTACTTCAATCGGTCTATTGAGTTTGGTTTCAGTTGCTTTCTGAATGGCCGATAGTGTTACGTTGAACAGTTCTTTTAGTTCCGAGTCCGAATATATCTCTTTTTCGCTGAGCTTCGTTAGTTAAACCAGACAGGGCAAAGATTCAACACAGATGAGTTGTTCCCTCTAGACATACTGTTTATCGCCATAACCCCGATAGCGAGGCTTGGAAGAGGTATAGTTCTTCCAATCTTGTGTGGTATTGACTTTGGCCACCATTACGAAATCATCACTTTCGGTAATGTATGCTGAGGTGCTAGTTCAAAGTCAGCAACAGCAAATGATGATATTCCAACGAATGAAATTTACTGACAGATAGTCTATTCCAAGACCAATACCGATTGCTAAGAAGGTCAATAAAATGTTAGTTTGGAAATGTTTATACACACGAAGAGTATGACTGACGAAAATCGTTCGAGGAAGCCCATACAAATCCAGCCAATGCAGCTGGACTGCAGGCGAAAAGATATGGGAAGAGCCGATACATCGTGAATAAATCTGTCAATTGTCTGAAATTTCTAGGCTAGCTGGTAATTTTCGAACTTCAAACTAAATACAGTCTTATCAACAAAATGATGGGATGTTTTCGGAGGCAATGATGTATCAACGGCGCAGAGCTGTCTCGACAGTTATACAAACAATTTTTAAGTGAATTCTTTCTCTCTCGACTTGAAATATGCAATGATGGCTCACGAGGTCAATGACACTCCAACAGTCCGTAAGATTTCGAACAGGAAGCTGCTATGCCTCAACTGTAATGGACAGGTCATCGAGTGTTTCGACCAACAGTTGCAAGTAAGATACACAGGTATCAGGGTATAGAGACTGGTGGTAAAAGCGGCTGCAAGGTGCGAAACAATATGCGGTTGGATATCTATTGGTTACCACACACACATGCTGTAAGCGTCCAACAACTACCTCTCCGCTACTACAGATCCTCTGAATAGGTAATAGAGTCTGGAACCAACTACACTGTGGATTTGAAAGTGAGAGGTACCTATGTGATTTACTTGGTGTATTATATAGGTAGCAAAAATAATTGGCTAGATGCGTTCTATCAATCTTTGGTGCCCTTAATTATTTGAGAAGAGCCTGCTGAACATCAACAGTTGGAAAGAGTGGCTTGTGAGTGATTCTGCCAGAGCGGTGTGTAATTTTGGAACGTTTTGAGCACCTCTCATTATCAAGTCTATTGGAGCTGGAATTGCCGCGGCTGCTGGCATCAGACTTGCCCTCCGATCGTTCCTCGTTAAGGTATTTGAATTGTGCTCATTTCAATCATAATACTCAAATGATCCCCGTAGACGACTTGTTTTGAGCCGAGCTCGCCAAGCTAAAAGGGACAGCCACTTTTTGCAGGTACCAACCCACGCTATAGAATCACATACATCTTCTAGTCAACAGTTGGCACCTCAACCCCTGGAAAATTGTTTCAGCTAGGTTGTTTACGAGATGAGTTTGTATGATATGCTAAAGGCTTTCACGGGAGGCATAATCGTAGCATCATTTTGAATTCTCCCCTTTCAGCAAATTAACTTCGAGTACCTGCATGCCAATAGGACTATTTTCACTCCCCCACTCTAGCAACGAATAACATCTCATAGTAAGCGGTATTGATTCTCAGATTCTCAAGTTTCAGAGACATCCGAGCAACGATATATATTCCTGAGCCACCATCGATGGTTGTAGTCGCGGTCATCGATTATCTGCCTCACTGACCCTAAATTTAGCATAAAGTCATGCAGCTCAGGGAATTCAGCCTTGACTTACTGTGAATATAGACACTTCACGCTTTTACTTACTGAGTTGCAAACAGTTACAAGATGAGTACACTTCTAAGCACTGAATGTAGGCTATAGAAGTTGGATTTGGGGCGAGGACAGATTCTACTCCTTCATTTCTCCCTCAAGGAAGAATATAGTAGTCTTAGTAGACGTATAAAGACTTCAAGATGAAATCTTGTTTTGAATTCCATTCTGTATACATACTTTGATTAGTTTCCATTAAATTTTGTTCTTGTTTAAGAATCCGACAAAATGCTGCAAATGAAGTTTACTCCGTTGGCAACTGTTCTTTTTCAATGTTCTTTGGTTCTATCTGCAGTGTTACCATTTGAGTATTTAGATATCAGAGATACCGGTATATCTAACACTATCATCGAGAAAAGAGCCCTGGATTTGTCTGAAATAGCTATGCTCAATAACTTGCAAAATGCGTACAAGGGGGTCTGGTGGGCCACGGCGTATCCTAATGCAGAGCGGCCGTACGGAAGCAAGTATGATGTATCGTGCGATGTAAGTTGCAGTTCCACACTCATGACAAGAGTCTTTTAAGGTTCAACATTTGTTAAAAAAATCAATATTGAGAATTCAATTGTTGACTACTTCCCATTTCCCAATTGGATTTCCAATACTCGAGTTCCTTTGATGGAGAAGATTCAGTCTGGAGTGACGAGTACCCAATATGTATTTCCGCATGGTGTCTTTCGTTAACCATCACTCGCAGATTGAAAGTTTCAATATTCTTGTGGAAGCTACGCGAAACGCTGTAAGACTTGCCGAATATGCTGGAAGCGATACATTGTTGAAAGACAGATCATTCAATAAGTTCTTCGTTCGGAACGACATAGCACCGATAGGCGGTCGATGGACAGTAAGTAGCATTTTTTTCTTCCGCTCTCTATATCACTCTATGAATATACTCAAATACGAGTTAGTCCAACAAAGACTCCCAGGCCACTGAGGCTTCAATACGCCACAACATGTTGTTGCCATCCAGATTCCCACTTGACGGGACAAAAAAATCTACCAGGCGTTCTAGAATCACATACCAATGCAAGGATCCAGAAACGCTACCTGCGAATGCCAAGGGCTGCTCAAAATCAGATGTGTAGGTTTTTCTGTCTCGTTCAATCATATGTAGGCCTAACAATCATTTTAGCCACGCGTATGCCATAAATCCAAAATGGACTCCTAATGGTGAGTTGACTTCAAATATCTTCGAATTATACCTAAAAAGAGCTTGCAATAGGATGGACAATTGTATTCTGTGATAGATTTTTTCAAGGCCGCAAATACTTGAACGAGATTCTTGGTGGTCCAAAAGTATCCGAAGATAGTCTGGGGGCTTTGAAATATGTCTCGTATGAGCAAGTTATGCTTCATGAAGTAAATATACACACTTTTTCTCGGAATTGATTCTCCAAAACAGCGAAGCTAATTAAGTTGGAATTAGTGGTTACATTGTGACATAATGGGATACAGTGAACATCGTAAGTTTTAGATCTTCGCAACAAAAGCATGTGCTAATGATTAATGACAGTTACAGATCTGTTCGATACGATTGATGACCATCTCCCAAAACGTGTAAGTTGTCTAATCTTGTTGGCTCTAGTTTGGCGCTGAATGCTATATAGAAAATATATGGGATGAGTTCAGCGAGAGACTATGCATGGAAATTTATGCAGGGTGATAAAATGCATATAAACCAGAATATTGTTGCTAATGGTACGTGTCACGAGGAGTTTCTTCTCACCACTTTCCACCCATTTTCGGCTTTCAATGCTTTGAAGAAGCTGACAATCAGACAGTGGAGAATTACGTCTGGTACTTTGTGGACAAAATATACGGAAAACAATGGGGATGGTCAGGTAAAGGGACAGCCTACCCGGGAAAACTACCCGAACGTGGTTTCAACCGCATGACCAGACAAACCGACGTCCAGGCCACTGTCGAGAACCTCGATCTTGGAGACGAAAGCACAGATCCTGCAACTCTGCCAAAACCAGTCTGGCCTGCAAATTGCCACGGTGAGGCAGTAATTGATGCTGATGACACTAGTGCGATTATTTGCGATTATGTCATACCACTAGATGACGAACCGTCCTCATCTTCTGCACCTGCAACTTCGGCAACTTCTACATCAGCACCTGTCGTTACATTACCACCGGATCCTAAGAATTGTAGTTGTAATGAGGAAGGATGTACAAAGGAATCGCCCGCGTGTTGCGCTAATGGCACTTGCTAGGTTCTGGCGTACTAGCATGCTTGTATACTATGTCGAAGATGGAACTTTCTTGTCACATTGGGTTTAATGTCAGATCAACTTGAGGTGTTATATTTGTTCATGGAAGTTTCATAGGTTTCAAGTCTAGACTTCAGTTGTTCATAATTGAAGATTATTTTGCGTAACAAGTTCTGAAATTTTTCATCCAGAGAATATATCAGCAAGCTCCAAGAGTTCCTTCCACCTTGTGTCCTTTTGGATCTCAATCTTGCCCTCCGGTGTAGCAACTTTGAACTCATCAATCTCCTTAGGACCATATCGATGGTCATTCTCAGCACCCACGAATGCGACCAAGTCACCAATCCAATCCGTCATCAGAACGAGTTCTTGCTCAGTCGGACCGTGAATTATTGAGAAACTATTCGGGGTGAGAGATATGTCAGTCAAATGCCGTCCGCAGTTTTTTTCGAACAGAAAGACTTACTTCCAGAAAGGTTTATCCATCGCATGAGCTACACCAAAGCTTCTTGGTGCTACAGCATCTGTTATAAATGATAGTCGATACGAAATCCTATACCGCCAGATATCCTCAACTCCTACACCATTTGAGAAAAGGCTGTTTGCCAAAAACCGGGATGGTGCGCGCACTTGTCCATCAGAAATTATGTGACCATATAATGCCGTCCAATCGCTCCTCTCCTCTGTATTTGGGAGTTTATAGTGTTTTAGCACGCGAGACGTTGTTGCAGGTGCATAGTAGTTGGAAACTTGAAGGCGAAGAGAGTCCACGTTTGCTTCAGGTCCATTCGTTGCAGCATAAAGCGTCTCTTCATTTAACATTTCGCCAATCAGTATCTTGAAATTTCGCTTTTTGAATCCTTCCGCAAAAATACCATTGCGATGGTAGTTCATCATGCCTGGTTGAATGAATGATGAATCCGTCACGGGTCGGAATGTGTGATTTTTCAATTTCATGATGGCGTCTACAAGTTTTTTCGACTCTATCCTGCGTAGCAATGCTAACTTTTCGGCACCACTGGAGCCTTTTGGAATTTCAAAGAACTGACACAGTTCGTCAAACTGGCCTTGACATTCAGCGGGTGTCTTCGGTTGTGCGGGGATTGCGTTTGACATCATGACAATTCGATGGAATGACGCAGATGCAGCTGAAATTGCTGGGTTTTGAAACTCGTACATAGCATGTGCATGTACAGCATAAGCGCCTGCGCTTCTCCCTGCAAGGGTAATGTTCTCCACATCACCACCAAATCGTGCAATATTCTCGTGTACCCAATCAATAGCTAGTCTCTGATCCCATAATCCATAGTTACCTGCTTCTGCGCAGTCGTTCTCTGCTTGCAAGGCATCACCAGCGAGAAAGCCAAACAGATTCAGTCTATAACCGATAGCTACTACGATTGCGTTCAACTCCCCTGTTGAAATGAGTTCGGTTGGATCCATTCCCGGCTCATGTGATGGATCTCCTATTTGAAACCACCCTCCATGGAGCCATAACATAACTGGCCATTTCTTATCTTTGGTTGATTCAACCGGCGTCCAGATATTGAGCCTTAGACAATCTTCGCCAAATGCCTCTTCCGGAGTTCCCGTTTTCTTGGCTGACATATAAGCGGCCTGTGGACAAATCGGTCCAAATTTTGTAGCATCGAATGCCGTGCCATCATGTGACGTATACGAATGGTCGGCAGGTAGTGGTTGAGGCTTTCGCCAGCGCAAATCTCCTAAGGGAGGCAGTGCATATGGTACCCCAGCATACCGACGTGCCTTTTTATCATATTGAAGACCTGTGATAGAACCTTTTCCGTCGCCAAGATCGAGCTTATGCTCCGCAACGTTGTATGATATAGTATTACCCATGACGCCGGGGGAAGATCTTAAGCTATCTTAACGGTTTGGAGTTGCTGAATTGATTTCAAGCCAAAAGTTGAACGAAATATTGAAAAATTTGGTAGGTGAAAATAGAAGAGGTCGTGAATGGCGAAGACCTTGCTTAAACAATTGTGTGAATGTTTTCTATCCCACTTGATTACTCGCGATGAACTGATTTTCAAACCTGCTTTCACTTCAAGAGTCCGAAGATTTCCATATCAGTAGTGAGATTGATATAAAGTAAAGATTAAAAAAGGCATTAATATGTAGGGTCGTGATTTCCCTAATAGAGGAGAAATGACAGATACGAGAGCACATCGTGTATTTCAGCCAATCAAACCCTGCAGTTACCGACGTTCCCTCGCTTAATTATTTGGAGTCTGTGTCCTTTGATAGTGTTTCAGTGTGGAGAAAGTGGGGGTCCAGTGGATTATCTTCGATTTTCATTGTGCCGTGCACCAACTCTGTCATCAGAAGATACAATCATCGACGAGCTAGGGAAACTCCATGCAGCTTCATCGTATGTCTTGTACTGACGCACAAGCTCAAATGTGCTGACGAACCGAAGAATTGTCGAAATCTCTCAAGAACGTTTTGTATCGATCATACTATGTGTATGGTATTGCCAATTTGTATGACACTCTGATCGTGTCGGTCTCTCCATCCATGTCCGATAATATCAGTCTTAAACGAAAACGATCGAAGACAACTGGTCGTTCCAAATACGGTAGGTAAGTGATCCAGCATCAATAAAATCAAGCATTTGCTAATGGTTTGATCGAAAGGCTGCTTAACGTGCCGTGCAAAAAAAGTCAAATGTGATGAGCGTCTTCCTTCATGCGGAAGATGTGAGCGTTTGAAGCTTGACTGCCAGCAGCCGTGCTCCCGTATTATACCAAGCGTAAGAGAACGAAGACGTGGTGCTGGCCCAATAAAGTCTCGAGATTCTGACTGGTCTCCTCAGTCACTTTCACCAGCTTTACAAGTATTAGAGGAACAACCACAAGAATCAGAAGCACTGTTAAATCATTATCTTTCAGGATATGACCATGGGTTGGCAGCAGCATCAGCATCTTCATTTTCAGTGGGACACCCCGAAGGCGTAACTCAAAATCAGGCGCCAATTATTGAGGCAGGAGCAGATATGTTATTGGACCCGGTTGCCGAATGGTTACTTCCAGACCCTCATAGTCTGAATGTATATACTCGCACACATTACAGCCCTCTATCTTTTGAACCGCTTGCTATTGCGAATATACTGTCGACACAAGAGGGGTCGCTAGAAAATGGGATGTCCCTAAACAACGACGAAGAGTTGGCTCTTACACACTACCGAACAGCATTCTCACTATCTCAAACGACGAGAGATCCACAGTGGTCTACTCCTACCTTATTGTTAATTCATGCACTAAAGCACTCGGATATGCTTCTTCATCTCATATTAGCTGTTTCGCTCCACGATATGCCTTCCAATCCTGACAGTGCTAGCCGTCTTCGCCAAATTGGGCACAAACATTACGAAAAAGGCACGGAGAAACTCATGCAAGCTTTGCAGTGTGAGAATACCGCAGACCATCTCGCAATGCTGGCTGCTTTTTACTGCATACATATGTATATGTCGCGATCGAACGGTACAATTATATCAAAATTAGACCGTCTGAGTCTTACGGCAATAGACCATCTGACAAAGCATAATTTAATAGTACCAACGCATGTTCGATCATCTTCAGCCAGCCAAAGCTCGACTAAGAATGGTGCAGAGCGAAGTCTGATCGCTCGTATTATCATGTGGTTGCTAAAAATGGATGCTCAAGGGAGCTTTTTGGGATGCAAGCCTAACTTGGCAAACCATTTTCAAGCACATCCTGATCAACTTTTAGCAATACAAGCGGAATCTCGTCTTGCTCTACAACTGAATTGGGGAGCAGAATACCCAATATCACAAAGCATTCGAGATATTGAGAGTTGTTTACCAGTCGATATGATGTCTAATTTGCTGGTTCTATGTTGCAAAATTAGCGAATTCAGTCATAAACCCCCATGTACGGAGACAGATGTGATGCAAGAAAGTCTGCGAAAAGAGTTCGCGGCTTTAGAGATAGTAAGTTGCTACACATCTCGGAAAACTAGTACTTACTTATTGCAGCGTTATGGTGCTGTGTTTTACTACGGATCTTCAGATATGACCTTGCAACCAGCCATGAAGCTCAATTGCGCAAACTCAGCTACCATGTTTTACGCTCTGCAGATATATTTCGCCCGATGTAGGTCAAGCTCCTTCGGAGCAGAAACTTCGACTGAGATCAAAACCGCTCTGAGCCAACTACTTCGATTCGCCATGTACGTTTCTCCTGCGGGATCGCAACAACCGGTATACGAATTTCAATGGTCGTTGTTCATTGCGGCCATTGAAACAAATGACATGATTCATCAAGAATGGTTACAGGGTCGAATCACTGATCATCGCCTTCGCAAATCACTGCAAGGGATTTCTACATTCAAGCGGAACAATTTGGGGATCATATCTTTGAGTAAAGTAAAAGAAATTATCCTGGCTATGTAACTTTATTGATCAGATGTATTTAAATTCCAAAACTAATTTCATGCACTTGTTGGAATTCCAATTGAAATTGAACACGGCACTTCGGATGTCTTAGAACTAAATGAGACGAGGGGTTACGCAGATGCCAGCCCCAGACATGCATGTACGACAAGCGATCTTCTTCAAATTGGGCTAACCAAATATCACTCATGATCTTACACAGAGCTGTAGATTCATCAATTACTTTAAGACAGTCACCTTGATTGAAAGAATAGTATCACGTGAATATTTAAAAGATAAGCACGTCCCACGAATTGATATGAGGCCGATAACGGCGAATACATCATGGTTTGGCTCGTCGTCAATTCTGGCAAATCACTAGCTCGGGTTACCGAGTATCACATCTCGGAGATTTTCCCCAACCTTCCCCAGTGCTCAATATCATGAGTTTCTGTAGTAGCTCTATTGTTGCTGATAAGGACAGAGATAGCACCCTGAGCTCTCTTGAACATGTTCCATCTTAGCCTCGAGCAATTGGCATTGATATAATTTCTCAAATGCCCACTGGGGATGATTCTGACTTCAGATCCCATTCAACACTCTATCTTCGATCATGACTTCAATTGATAAAGCAAAGGACCTTAGCGGAGACGCTGTTCGTACTGATTCAAATGCTTCTCAAGCGGGAAAAGACACTGAGAACATGGAAATCGGCGAGGTCTATTGCCATCCCACGACCGCAGAAGAGAAAGCACTATTGAGAAAGATTGATTGGCGGTAAGTAACACAATCTCGATGTAGTACGAGAAATCTAACAGACCAAATAGTTTGATGCCACTACTAACGGCCTCCTATTTTCTACAATTCCTCGATAAAAGCAGTCTTAACTATGCTTCAATAATGGGTTTGATACCTGACACTGGGCTTGTGGGACAGGAATATTCATGGTTAGGAAGTGCTTTCTATTTTGGCTATCTGATAGCCAACTACCCAGCCTCCTTGGGCTTTATCAAGTTCCCATTGGCGAAGTTTCTCTCGGTTTCAATTGTCATCTGGGCCATTGTCTTAGGGTGTCATGGAGCTGCCAATAACTTTGTTGGGTTGTGTATTCTCCGCGTTCTCTTGGGAATCACGGAGAGTACTGTTAGTCCTGGGTTCAGTTTGCTGACGGGAATATGGTATAAGCCTTCTGAGCATGCTTGGAGACATGGAATATGGTTTTTGGGAAATGGGATTGCCAATACCTTTGGGGGCTTGCTAGCTTATGGTATTGCTCACATCGGAGGACGCTTGGGATCATGGAGAGTAAGTCATCTTTCAAATTGTTGTTGATGCGCATCTAACGCATGCATCGCAGTGGCTATTTATCATCTTCGGTTTGATTACTATTGCCTGGGGTGTCCTACTTTATTTCACTTTGCCGGATGCCCCCTTGACTGCTCGATTTCTCACTCAACGCGAGCGAGAAATTGCTGATCGACGACCGCAAAAGACACAACATAGTTTCAAGACAAATAAGTGGTCAAGATCTCAATGCATTGAGGCTCTTCTTGATCCTAAAACATGGTTGATATCCCTCATTATCGCTGTGACATCAATTACCAATGGAGTAGTTTCAAATGTAAGACTCTTCACTGCAATGATGTTGTTCCTGCACTAATGAATTAAGTTCGGATCCTTGATCATCAAATCCTTCGGTTTCGGCCAGCTGGATACCATCTTACTTGGCATACCCAACGGAGGTTTCCAAATTGCAGCTGTGATTGCTGCGACCTACACAGCTTCGAAAGTTCGCAGGTCCCGTCTCATAATTATCGTTGTTGGATATATATTTGCTTTGGTTGGGATATTGTTGGTCAAGGAACTTCCAACATCCAACAGATATGGACGTCTGGTCGGATGCTGGATGATGATCTTGTTTTCCTCCGCCTTCCCTCTTCTTCTCAGTTTGATGGCTAGCAGTAAGTTGAATCCCGCCATGAGCTTTTTAATTACTTCTCTTAGCACTCCATGTGGACTAATATCTTCGCACAGATACAGCAGGATTCACCAAGAAAACCACCGTCAATGCTATCTTCTTCATCGGATACTGTGCTGGCAACATTGGTGGGCCTCAGCTATTCAAATCCGCAGAAGCTCCAAATTACCACGTATGGACTCTCTAACCTATCATTCGATTGTTGAAAACTAATTGGTGTAACAGACGGCATACAACGGCATGATCGCTTGCCTGGCCATCTCCATTGTGCTATCAATCATTTTAAGACAGTATATGGACAGGGAGAACAAACGACGCGATCGAGAACAAGGAGTTTACATTGATCCCGAGCCAAAACATGTAGAGGATATTGATGATGTGGATTTGACAGTCGAGCGTGTTGTATTAACCGATTGGGAAAATAAAGGATTTCGTTATTATTTATAAATTGAAACTTGAGGTTGTCAAGTATCATCGTATTATTAGTCGCTATTTTAGATCCAAGAGTCGAAGAATAATATACATGAGTTCATATTGTAATGCTTGTTTACTCGACGCAATCTGTCCAAGATATTCAGATACTAAAACACCAATGATCATCATGAATGCAACTGAGGAAATGCAACACTGACTGCATATTTGAATGCCATCCTTGGCAAAACTCTCTCTTATTTACAAATCTTAGAAAAAAAGAATTGTGCGCAGATATGCCACTGTGTGCGTCTTCCTTTGAGATGTGCAACAAAATACTTCAAGCCAGTTAGACCGACCAATCAGTACTCGGGTAATTACGATGACACGTGAGGAGCTCGACTCAGGAAATTGTCGAAAAAGATCGAAAAGGCTAGAAAAGACCAGAACTCAAAACCATGGAATAGAAAGCGAATTGGTATTCTTGAGATGGTATCTCACTAGAGAGCAGTGTTTCAAGGAAATTCATTGAAGATGTATGACTTAGAGATTTTTAACATTCGACTAGATTCAGAAGGGAATGGTCTTACAACTTGACGCGGGGGGACTATGTTCGTCGATCATCTGTTCGATTGTTTTGATGGGCAACTTGAGGCGAGCATATTAATGAGCAAGAACGGGTGGGTGGAAATGATTGTATTAAAGTATGACGAGGATGATGGCCTAGTTTCATACCACTAATACTGAAAACAGGAATTTTGGGCAGCTTCCATATTAATAATTACGGAAAGTGAATAGCAATTGGCCTAATGTGCATCTAGAGATGTACGACATGAGCTGAAATCATTACTGATTGTAGTGGCACGAAAGGTTTCTGTTTCCATGCAATCCGACGTAGCTTCGGCAATGCGGAGGCGAGATTCTAGCATGTCTGTAACAAGACATTTGTATGGGGTTTAGAAATCTTTGTATGGATATAAAATACGTTTGTAGACAGTTTATATACAATAGACTCTTTGAATCTATTTCTTTGGTTCTTCTTTCTTCTCCTCTGGCTTGGGTGTAGGGAGTTTGAATGTGGTGGGTTTTCTATCAACACCAGGTCCGACTTGCTATTTGATTTTAGTATCATGCACTTTAATAGTTCAAAAGTGGCAGGAGTGAAATGAAAACGTGAACATACCTCCCAAGCAGCAGTTCCGCCCTCAAAGTTCCTGAACGCTTGAGTCAACTCCAATGGTTCTACCACAATACGTTTCTTCTCCTCATCAAATCTAATCTCCGTGTAACCTGTCAATGGAAAATCTTTCCGTAATGGATGGCCATCAAACCCATAATCTGTCATGATGCGACGGAGATCTGGGTGACCAACAAAGAAGACTCCGAAGAGGTCATAGACCTCACGCTCATACCAGTTCGCGCCGTCATAGAGACTGCAGAGACTGGGAACGGGGGAAGCCTCATCGGCGTAAGTCTTAATGCGAATGCGGGAGTTGTGGCGAACGGAAAGGAGGTTGTAGACGATTTCGAAACGCTGATCGCGGGTAGGGAAGTCAACGGCGGTAATATCTGAGATTTGAGTAAATTCCGCGTTGGTATTATCTGTAAATAATCAGCTTCCTGTGAAATGAAACCGGGTAGAGTTCGCCAAGGTACTGTCACATCTTTAGGCATAAATTTCTTACATTTGAGGAATGAAAACACAGGAATTACTCCAGAAGGAGAGATGTATATAACAAGCTCGTCTTTCCATACTGAGAATTGCTGAATGTATTTTGGAAGGCACCCCATGAGCCATGATCCATATCTGTGCATATCATCCGCCTTTGCTGCGTATTTATCTGCAGGATTCACAGGAGGAACTCGAAGTCCTCCTGGAACATCAGGAGCTCTCTGAGCATGGCGCATGTTTGGAGTATCTGGAGAGACGACAACTCGGGCATGTTGTGTGGAGGCAAATGTTCGAATATTGAGCTTCTTAGGTTGGCACAAAGAGCTTTTGGTAGATCTAATGGCGGAGGCCAAAGCCCGACTATTTGAAACCCTCATCGCCATCTTGAAAATTGAATCGTATGAAGTTCAATTGCAAAGATTAGAAATTCATTAACGATGATATGATATTCAGATTGGTGCTTGATTGATCCTGGAGGGTTAGATCTCGTGCCTGAGGTTTCTACTTTTGCGCCACTCATTGCTTCCAGCTTACATAACCGAGATTTTAGCGTGGACAAACCAAGAGCGAACATGACTTTTACACTTTAACTCATGATCCTCGAAGAAGTTCCTACCACACCCACACTCATCTAATTGATCTCTTTTTCACTTCACAACAATACCATTACATTACATAGAATTCTACGTATCGATACCGGAAAATCCGCATCTCATACTTAGAGTATTGATAATTTAATAATACTCTCACAATACTTAACAACGCGCTGTATTCATTAGCGCACCAAAAACCGTCGTATCAGAACCAAATTCATACTTTCTGGAATTTCGTCTCGTTGTTCAATCGCACATTTGAACACTCGAAATGGCACCTCAAGACAGCTTCATCGATGAAGATGATGATACCTGGTACGTTCTCATACTTCCCGTTGATCCGTATTCAGCTTGGGCGAATTGTATCTTTTGAACACTTTGCTAATCAAATTTCGACAGCCCACTTTGCGTTGAAGAATTCGATCTATCCGACAAGAACTTTCAACCATGTCCTTGTGGTTACCAGGTAATTATTGTTTTCTTGACACTGTCTGCCGGCTTGATGCTAACTTCCACAACCTTAGATATGTCAGTTCTGCTACAATAATATCAAGAACAATATCAACGGCCTCTGTCCTGCCTGCCGAAGAGCTTATGACGAGAAGACAATAAAATGGAAAGTTGTTACACCTGAAGAGTATGTAGTATGAAAGCGTCAAGAAATCGACCTGCTGACCGCAATTTACAGAGTCGCTCAATTTAAGGCCAATGTCCAAAAGAACGCCAAAAAGAAAGCCGAAATAAGACAGAAAGAAGCACAAAAGCGAGAAGTGGAAAGTCTGAATCGAAAGCACCTAGCGGGTTTACGAGTTGTACAGAAAAACTTGGTATATGTCAACGGTCTAAGTCCCAGTATTCGAGAGGATGAGCTCCTTCAAACCTTACGCGGCGAGAAATATTTTGGCCAGTATGGAAAGATCCTCAAGATCGTGGTCAGTAAATCCAAACAGAACGATTCAGGTCAAAATTTTGGAGTTTACGTTACGTTCGCTTCGAAGCTGGATGCCGAACGATGCATAACAGCTGTCAACGGTTCTACAAACGGTGACCGAGTCTTAAGAGCGCAATTAGGAACCACGAAATACTGTTCGGCATATCTGCGGAATGAAAATTGCACGAACAAGAATTGCATGTTCTTGCATGAACCAGGCGACAATGATGATAGTTACTCTAGGCAAGATTTGTCGTCGATTAACAGTGTGAACTCGCAACGACCTTTGCCGACCAAGGCATCTTCATCTCGCACTCAAGCTCAAGCAGCACCACCAATTCAACAAGCACAGCCTTTAGCTGCCGCTGCACAACCAATGGTACGGGAAGGAAGCAAAGATGATTCGGACAATGGGGATGGACCCGCTCTCCCATCAACCGCCAACTGGGCCAATCGTGGCGTACAGCAGCAACGTAGCAGAAGAGGAAGTCATGCTACTAGCGCTGCTGCCCCCAGTCCTGCTATCTCGAATGCTGTTCCTTCTACAACTGAAGCTGTCGAAGAAGAAACACCAGAGCTTGTTGAAGATCAAGAAGAATCGTCCGAGGAAGCTAGCCCCATTGAAGCTCGAGAACCCACCCCTTCAATCGAGGATGTTTCGCATCTTGAAAAGGAACCCTTTGGCGCCGAACTCCTTAGGTCAATCAATTCGGATGTGCTCAGCTGGGATGGTCCAAAGATTCACGAAGACGATCTTGCATCATTTCCACTACTTTTCGATGATCACGGTGGAGAAAAGCGTCGTTTGATGCGCGAGCAACAACAGGAGGAGGAGCGTCTACACATGGAGCAGGAATCGCAGGCCGATCTTCAATCTGTACCTGAACCTGTGGAAGAACAAGAACCGGAGAGTGGTAGTCTGCAACTGGGTGGCGAGCCAGAGGATAATGGACGAGAGATCAACCAACCTCCTGGATTTCAACGTCGTCAAAGTTCTCAGCTGCCAATCCAACGTGGCTCTACCAACGGGCCATTTGGTCCAAGTCTTGGGCAACAACAAAACTACCAGAACATCAGCAATTTGGGTTCTGTTAATGGACGATCGCTCACTCCATTGCAGCAATCACAACTCTCAATGTTCAAATCCCCATCGGGTGTCCCGCCAAGCTTCATGGATCACATTTCTTCCCCGGTTGGACTCGGAAATCCATTAAACCAGAATAACGCACTCTTCCAACAGCCAGGCCATAACAGACAATCTTCTCGGTACAGTTTCGCTGGGGATGGTGCCGCTGGGCCATCATCTATCAAACCATCTGCCAATTCCAAGATGATGCAACAGCAAGCTTCAATGATGCCCCCTTCAAGTCATCCTCAGCAAGGATTCCAGTCCTTTAATCCTTCGATCCCAGCTCCCCCAGGACTGTCAGGTTTGAAGTCCAACACCCCACCTATTGGTGGAGGGATGTTTGGCCAAGGTCATGGATTTGGTAACGCGATGGGCGCCGGTTCGGCTTTCGGAGGAGCTAACAAGGAGAATGGTAGTGAGATGCTTCGTGAAATTTTGAGGGGTCGTCCTAGTGCTGGCGGCAATCAGGGTCTTGATACAAGTAAGCGTGAGTACATGTTTCCTAATTTTCTTCATCAACAGTTCCCATCTGCCTCCTCTACTCCAGCTCCTGCTTCAGGCCTTCTGGCATCGCTCTACGGTCCTCAGACCGGAGCGTTTCATGACTTCGGTCAAAAGCAGAAAAAGAAGGGAAAGAAGCACAGGCATGCTAACACTTCCTCCTCTGGGGGAGGTGGCTTAGTCGATCTTGCGGACCCAAGTATCTTGCAGGCGAGAATGCAGCATCAACAACAGAGCAATGCCGGAGTCGGACAGGGGCTGTTTGGTGGTCAGGCTCAAGGTGGGTACAACCCCAACCTAATGTATGGCGGCGGTGCAGGATTCCCCAGATGGTAGATGACCATGTTGGTTGGGCGTAATATTTGGCGTGGCTTTTGTAGATAATGATATTTCTTTTCATTTACAAGGATGGCGTTGGCAAAAACTCTTCAAAGAGTGTTGCATTGTTGCTCGGTATAGCACACATTTGTTTTAGCGGGCATGGCATAGCTCCAAGATGGATGCTTCGGATGCATTGGCGTCATATTACGGTTGGAAAATGAGTGAGAGGACCTCATGGGATTGCTGCCATCGTTTATTTTCTGTTTATTTCGTCTGGGTGCGCAACAAGATCAAAACAGGTCACGCCGGGAATTCCATCATCGTCTTCGTCGCGGCCACTTCTCTCATGTACGTTATAGTCCCCGCTCCCACGCCAACGACAGTGGCTGGAGAAATATATCATTCTTACATATTTTGTACCTTCAGTAGCCCGCTCTTTCAATTATCGAAGACGATGATGGATTCGTGATGTGACCGTGTCCCTATCTTGTAGTAGCATTGTGCATTAACCGATGATGCTCCTTTAACCTTACCGCCCACTTATCACTTCACATTTGTTCACTTTAATGAAGACACGCTAACGTTAATTTTGTTTAGAAGATTCAGCTTTCGATGAAAGCATTTTGCACAGTGTGGACGCTTTGGTGTCAGATAGTGTACCAGATGACTCACCCATGAGATATGGCGAAATGTCCCGAGAGGTGTCTCGATCGAGCACTCCGGCTTTTCCACCTGGGCTACCAAATCCCCATGGACATCCTCCTCCAGCAATTCGCGAAGATCCAATCGGAAAACCTTCTAAAACAATTTCAGCGGCTGCTCCGTTCACACCATCGAGACAAGCTAGCATGGCATACCCTCCCCGTGTTGCCACTCCACTTGCCATGTCTCAACCATCAACGCCCTCTCCTGTCAAGTCTAAGGCTTTACCTGCCCCTACCCCTGAGACATCAGCGTCGGAAGCAAGAACAAAACATGAAACCAAAAACATTTCTTCTAGTATGCCGAAGGATACTGCAGCTCAGTCTAGTACAGTACCTGTAGTTCCGACAACCCCTTTGCGCCCTGCAGCAGCTACTCCTGCAACTCCCACGCCTTACTCCACTGATGATTTTCCAGCCCTTGGGTCACAGAAGGAAACCAAACCTGCACCTAGGAAGGTTTCAAAACCAGTTGCCTCCTCTTCGAAGGCGCCATCTACACAAAAAATCTCGAATGCCCAGAAGAGTGCTAAAACAAGCGAGCAGAAAACAGCGCCATCTGCTTTCACCATTTCAGCTTCCACGAATCCTACTACTAATGTAGTAGACACTCTTGAGAAACCCAGTCAAACTGTTGCTCCAACGTCAGGTTACCCAGCGCTACCAGCGTCTTCGGCATCAGCAGTGAGATCTCCCTTCGTTCTCAAAGTTTTGACCACCAGTCCCTCGACACCAAAAGGGGGCACGGCTCCAATGGGAAGCCCTGCTCCAACTTCTGCAACGTCTGTAGCTCCGTACCCCGCACATTTTCCGGATAACACCAGTGAGCATGACAATGCGTCTCTCATGTCCGCAACAGCTTCGAGAGCGAGCTCACCTGGTCCGTCCAAGAATGGACAGCCGCGACCTACTCGCAACACGGCAAAGACAAAAAGGGATAAGGCTGCGAAAAAGGAACAGGCTCTGGAAGAGCAAATGGCAGCTGCAGCTGAAGCCAAGAAAGCTGGAGAACAAGAGCCAATTATGGGCAGAAAGACGAAGAAGAGGGATAGGCCGAATGCTAACAGTGCACCTAATGCTTCTACTTCTGCGCCTAGCAGACCGCCATCACCTCCGCCTGCAGTGATTGCCCGTGAGGAAAGTAAGCCCGCAGAACCTATCGTGCCAGAAAAGCCTGTCTCGACTGGCAGCGACAAACCTGTCAATAAGAGTGAGGGGAAAGGCAAGAATAAGGCAAAGGCGCAACAACCTACGCCCCCATCCGAGTCACCACAGGTTCCTGTTGTCGAAGATGAGGAGATTGTAGAAAAGCGTACAGGTCCAAGTCCAGCCAGCCTTGCTCCCTTTGTCTCAAATTTATCTGAGATATTAAAAACCCCACCTGGCATCAGTAATGAGAGGAAGAGAGAGAAGGATAATTTTGGACCAGCTTTCGCCGAAGCGCTTGCAAAACTTGATGTAAGCCCTGAAGAACGGGCCGAGTTAAACGCGGGAAATACTGTCCACAAGATTGCTTCGGGATCAATACGGATCATGTTGACACCTAATGGGGATTGCGTTCGCAATCTTACTCCTGACGAAGAGAAGCGATACTTGGAGCTTCAAGCGAGAATTGCAGCTAACGCCGGTCCTACTGCATTTGTTTCCGGACTGCAAAACACAGGCGTTGGATTTAATTTGGTTGGCGGCCGCGCGGTTCCAAATGGACCTGCTTCATACTTCCCCACATCCATGTCCACCGGCAATACGACGCCTATGGATGCGGTCAGCAAGATTCAGCGTGATGAAGCTTTGAATTACATTAACCAATACGTTCTACCATCTCTCTCTAACAACCCCCAGTTAGAAAAGGCACTTAGTGCGAATGTTTTAGCAGGTGACACTGCACTTCAAGGGGGCGAGACTTCCAGCTGGTCCCCTTTGAATGGAAATAATCACGCTCAAGACTTTCATGACATGGACCTCAACGATAGAGTTGCAAATTATACCGCGGGTTTTGTGGGGCACCGAAATCCTGATGATGGACGACAGGATCGAAACGTTCAGTTACTAACTGAAAAGGAGTCGGAGTCTGCAATGCAAATCGCAAAGAAGGAGACTCAAGAGTTGGAGAAGAGACTTCTAGCTGTGTTGAAGAAAAACAGGAAGCTGTTGACAGGGCATTGAATTGGATGTTCTGTGGAAAGGGGAGATCAATTTTCTCAGAGCAACATTTTCATCTGCGAGATAGAGGTCCATCTGTTCACCATTTAACACAATGACCCTGATGACTTGAGTGGGAGAAACGGTGGGACGGATGATGAAATGCTAACGATGCAACGAATTGTATGATTATTATGTGTGTGTTTGTTCACTGTATTGATACTTGTATGGATTATAGGATGGAGGTGTGGGTTCACGTCGTAGTGTAAGAGCACCGATTATGGAGGGTTTATGGAAGATGGCAAGGGCGCAAGCCATCAATTATACACCACAAGCACTGTTTGCTTCTAGCGTGATTTTTATGATCTTAAAGATCGATAGCGATACCTTTTTACCGTTGTAACATAGCATAGTATACCATAGCATAGCAAATCGACCGTGGAATTTCAATTTAGCAAGTTCACTTTCCACTATGTTGAATTTTATTGCGGTGAACATGAAATTTTCAATGTCATTACAGCATGTACTCATACGAGTCATTCTTACCCAAGTGTGTTTCTACTGCGTCTAACAAAATATACAAACAAATATCTCTGACATTCGATAGCACTCACTCCCGTCTATATAGTCTCCGCCTCCCACGTGGAGATATTGGCAATCCCTGTTCGCGGATACTTGGTGGGGCAGGAGCGGCGTTGGCGGGGTACTTTTTTGAAAAAAAGCCGATGCCAAACTGACCTTGTTGGTTTTTGTCGCTTCTCTGATCTCGCCATACAGGAAGATTTTAATTCGATATAAATTGTCTCGAGAACACTCATTCCTCGATCTCTTTTTAATTCACCAACTACACTCCGACAAATAACCTAATATGGCCGAATCACTTCCTACCACTTTCTCTGGTATGTAGAAGATTGTAACCTACCCATTACCCAACATCCTTCTCTATCCTACCTCCTCTCTTCCCCCTTCCACCCCCAAGATTTGCCAGTCTATTGCATTTCATTCCATTCCGTTCCCAAACTAACCACTTATTCCCCCTCCAGACCCCGTCCACATTGCCGTAATCGGCGGTACCGGTCTCCAATCCCTCGAAGGTTTCGTCCCAATCGCAACCCTCAACCCACTCACCCCCTGGGGCTACCCCTCCTCCCCCATCCACATCCTCTCCCACAACTCTACCCCCGTCGCCTTCCTCTCTCGCCATGGTACTCACCACGAGCTTGCCCCTCACGAAATCCCCAACCGCGCCAACATCGCTGCTCTCCGCAGCATCGGCGTCCGAACCATCATCGCATTTAGTGCCGTGGGCTCTCTGCGCGAGGAAATCAAACCCCGTGATTTCGTAGTGCCAGATCAGGTCATTGATAGAACAAAGGGAGTGCGTCCTTTTACCTTCTTTGAGAAGGGTGTTGTGGGACATGTAGGCTTTGCAGATCCGTTCGATGAGAAGATCGCAAAGGTAGTGAGGGAATGTGGACATGCACTTGAGGGAGAGGGAATTGTTTTGCATGACAAAGGAACGATTGTTTGTATGGGTAAGTTACCTTTCCTAATCTTTTCCTCGCCCCTTATAGAAATTATAAACTAATCTTTCCTCCACCAAATAGAAGGACCGGCCTTCTCCACCCGTGCTGAATCGCACATGTACCGTTCCTGGGGCGGATCCGTCATCAACATGTCCGCGCTTCCCGAAGCCAAGCTCGCGCGCGAAGCTGAAATGGTCTACCAAATGATCTGTATGGCAACCGACTATGACTGCTGGCACAGCACAGCCGATGTGGATGTAGAAATGGTCATGGGACACATGCATGCCAATGGACAGAATGCGAAACGATTGGTTGGGGCGGTGCTCGACGCGTTGAGCAAGCAGGAACATAGTGAGATGGTTTTGGCGAAACACTGGGAAGGAAACACGACGGGCATGATTAGATTTATGACGAAGGAACAGGGAAGGGGGGAGGAGGGAAAGAAGAACGTGGAGTACTTGTTCCCGGGGGTGTGGGATGCTTAGATGGATGATATGTGAGGATGTGGGGAGAATTTATGCAAGGGAGGGATGGAGGGGCTTTGTGCATTTTTGATACCTGGATGCATCAACGGCATGCACATACGCTGAAATGAATAGACGAGATGGACTCAACATTCCTGTGTTTTTACCATAACACGTGAGACAACCTATTAATTCCCAATGCTGGCAAATGATGCTCCGCGTAGCTCATCTAGTATTTACTTATTCGTTATTTCTTGAGGAACAACCGAAGACGAATCAAATCCTATTATCATATCAAATTTATACCAAAGTCTCCTTCCTCTCTTCACGCTATTTTTTTTTAACCCAGCCAGCATCATATAAACAATTCATGTCATCCAACCCAAATCAACAATGGGTGACCATGTACATATAGAAAAGAGGAACCCCAGGGTATCTATCAACATCCCACAAAAGAAACAACACCGCCACTATCAACTCATTTAATGCAATCCAATTTAATTATCCCACCACCATCTTCCCGAATCGCCATCCAATTATCCACCGGATCCCTTGCAGACAGTAACAGCCTATCAAAGTAACATATACAAAGCTTTGACCGCCTTCTCCGCAGCCGCAACGTGCCAAGGTCTCCCGTCCCTAACAGGATGTACAACGCCTCTGACCCTTGCCAAAGTAGCCAATCCCCTGTAATAACCTAAAATCTCCCTTAACAAAGTATCGTGAAATGTGCGCGGATTTCCGACAACCTCCGCATGGATAATATTGACTTCCAATACTATCGGCGGATCATCGATGCTCGTGCCGCTATTTTTTACGAGGTAGCCGGAAATAAGAGCCGGGTTAAATTCGAGAAGAGAATTCGAATTGTTGAGGCGATGACAGAGAATTGCACCCCAAGTTTGATCTGTGATATCTAGGAGACGAGAGCTTTGATCATCGGGTTCGGGAGGCACAGCGGGTGTAGATGTGGATGGTGCTTCGGAAGGGGTGGGGGCATTCGTTGTTGGTGTTGATGCATTGCCTGGGGAGAAGACCGAAGATTGAGATGCTTGAGGTGTGGAGACGGGCGTTGTAGCAGGTTGTGATGTCGTCATTGATGGCGGCGGTATTTTTATTTGTGGGGGTAATATCCTCAAAGATGGGTCTGATTGTACAGTGACTAGTGTGAGACTGATCGAACCATTTGATTCCGTGGAAGCAAGACCTGTCCAAAAATCGATTTCAGATTGTTCCATAACAGTAGTCTTTGCAATAATTATACGCCAGTGAACCTTTTTGCTCGAGATCAAGTCAAGAGTGGTCTCCCAGATTTCATTCGCAACATCCGTAAAGAGAAGAGTGAATGGCTCGTTCTTCCGCCCAAGGCAATATGAAGCTGTCATCTGTTTAGTACCCCTATTGTCTGACCATGCGGCAGTAATCCATCGTTCATCGATACTTTGAGCATAAGCAATATGAAGACATGAGTTCTCTTGTAATAATGCAGGAGATGGATTGATATTCAACTTGAAATCAATGTTTCGGGGAAGAGGTTTCTCTAGAAGAATCGCTGCTGTAGTGGAAGATGATGCGAAATCCACACAGCGATCATATACTTCCATAGCAAGACGTGAATATTCCGCCGGCGACGGCACTACTAATGAATTAGGAGCAGCCATAAAATCCAACGGCACAAGCTGCAACACCAATTCGTTGTAAATCTTCAGCTTCTTTTCGGACAACGACTTCCTGTAGACCTTGAATAGGTGCTTGAAAGCAGTGCAAATATTCACGAGTAGAGACGGATTGTTGAGAGGATAAACGAAGTACACAACGACATTTTTCTCTTCCGTAGTCATACTTGAAAGATTCTTGCCCAACCGCGTCAATACATCTTTAAGCGAGCTCAAATAAGCTGCCTTATTTGTATTGACATCACATGGGTAATTTAGAAGGCCGCTAGGTGAATCTGGAAACATAATACGATCGTGTCCTCCAAATCTGAATGACTCATACGCCCCTCGCATTTGGTCGAGGAAGATATCAGCATTCTCATTGATGCCTACGATATTGGGATGGATGCAAACAGCGTTAACATCTTTGTTTCCAGTGTAAGGCGCCAGCCCTAAATTATCCCAAAAGTGTATTGCGGGAGGTAAAACTGCCAACTTGGAGTCACCTCTACGTACTTCAAGCTGTGGAGGTTGAATGGGAAATAGATTGCTAGATTTTGAAAGATCCGTATGCTGTGCTACTCTAGGATTTGGCATGGGTCGACCCTGGGGTGGTAAACGCAAAGCCGCATTTACAGCTGGAATCCCAGGGATGGTAAGGTATGACCTCAGAGTACAATTTTTGACATCTTTCAAGCACACTTTCGTAGCTTGCAAGACATCAGTCATTAGTCTTCTAGTAGCAAAGGTAGCCTGGTCATGGGCGTCGGGGTTCTGACTTGTTTGATCGTTCACACGAAGAGACCCTGAAGCAGCTTGATCTGCAATCATTTGGGCCGTTTCGATCAAATCTAGATCCGATAACCCGCTAGGCTGAATATCTGGTTCGGGGGAGGTAAAATATGGCGTTAGAGACCAATCTGCGGGATCAGACTCAAAAATCGGAATATGTGGTTCAATTACGGACTGGGGAGTCCCCGCGGAGGGTTCATATTCTCCGGTAAAAGCGTTGTATGAACTTATACTGGTCTCGTCAAAATAGCGTTTTCCTTTCACGCCGAGTTTAACCATAGTCGAAACCCCTATTGGTAGTGTCTCATCAGATTCCGATGCGTCGCTTATACTGTTAGAATCGCTGGCCATATCTAGCTCTGCTTCGTTATCTAACTCAAATTCATACTGCGCATTATCATTGTTCAGAATTCGAGTCAACACATCAGATTCGTGTGCTTTATTCTCACTTTTTCGTCTACCAAAAGATTCTGGGTTCGTAGGATCGTCCGGCTCTACAAGCTGTGCTTTTAGATCATCATCGGAATATCGAAATCGCCCATTACAACCATACTTCTCATCAACCTCTGTTAAAGAGTATTCAAATTTGACTTCATCAAATACGCTGGACTCGCTAGATGACTGCGATTTCGATTTTCGTTTTCGTTTTCGTCTTGCCAACTGGCCGAATACTATTTCTTTGTCGAAAGGAGCCACAATGCGTGGTGGAGAAGGTGGTTGAGCAGAAGCTATCAAGCTGTCGTTATTGTTGGACATTTCAACATCCATATCCATTTCTGAAGTTGAGAACCGCTGCTCGAACTTGGGTTGTTGTATGTTGTTCTCTGTCGGCTGAGAATCCTTCATGATCGTATCCTTTGATATTGGTTGGGGCACTGATGGCTTACTGGAAACAGATGACTTTTCAACAACCTTATGTTGATGAGCAGGAGGTAAATTAGGCTCGACCGGGGATCCTGACTGATGATCCATTTCTATGTCATCAGGTTGGTCGAAAAAGTTGAAGTCGGCATCAGTGATGTCTGTATCGCCAAATAAATCTCCTCCCATATCTCCAAAGAGATTATCATTATCATTGTCATTTTCTCCAAAGTTCATATTGGAATTTGAGCGATGTTTTTGTTCTGAAGTTACCCAGTTATCAGTGTCCGCGGTGTTCATGATAGATGTGCTGGGATTCGTTGCTTCGTGATCATGCGGGAATAAATGGGTAGGGTTCCCTGGCGTTGTGACTGCACCGTCGAATGATGGTGTTGGTCCCCCAGGGTGATGTATGGCATCTGGAGGTGTAGGATACATTGCGCCAGCATTGCTACCCTTTTCTAGTAATGCTGTAGAATGGTTGTTTGCTCGAATGTTTTGGGCCTCCTGGTCAGCCTGTTCTTTAGCAGCCTTTACGGCATTCCGCTCCTGCTGCCTATTCGACATGATCCTCGCCCTTTCTTCCGCGTTAATAGACCATTCTTCTACAAATGTCAGAGGATCTACAAGCCCAAAAGAATTCGCACTTGAAGGCTGCAGGTCAGTCGTAGAAGTTTTGATGGCCCTGAAGCATAACAGAGTTGGCCAAGGTACAATAGCACCTTCATCGGAAGAGGGTATATCTGCGTATTCGGGGCTCGAAGATCCATAATTAGCATTTAGCACCTGCACAAACATCCAGCCACCTTCTTCAATTGAAGTTGAATCAAAACCCTTGGTCGACAACCAGTCCAAACATCGAGATTGCCAAGACTTAATTGTCGTTCCATGAAAGCGCCAGCTGTGATCTTCAGGATACTTTTGTAAATCCGAAATAGGTTGAATTCCAGGCAGTTGCTCGTCGTCATAAAATGAGTAGAATTTCGCTGGGTTTCCTCCTGGTGCTAGCCATAACTCAGTACCCTGGGATAAAGTTCTTTGGAGCTTCTCTGGGCTCGAGTGACTTATACTCTGAAGACCAGGGGTGACGTAAGAACAGGCTTTTATCATTAGGGCTCCCAGAGAAGTGAGACTGATGTCTAAGTCGACCAGAGTGACTGTGTCGTCAGAAACCTTTGGGGATTGGTAATATGCCATTGATCTAGATGGTGATTCTGAAGGAAGAAGTAGGGTCCGTGAGTTGAGAGGAATCAATCCGTGATCGTTGCAAAGCCTATACATGATGGAGCCCTGAACGGATGATATAAAGTGCTCCTGGACCTCTTTCAGAAACGCGAAAGTGTCGCCTAGACTGGCCACGGATTTAACACCAGGAGATGCTCCTGCTGAATCATGTAGATTCTGGGTCGAGTTTGCTTGCATGGCCCTTGCATTGACATTCTGTGCATTGCGTAGTGCATTTTCGAAGGGTGAAGGCGAAGACGTGCTACTGGGGGTGTTCAAACTAGCTGCAAGTATGGATTTGTTCTTTGCAAGGTGTGAAGGTTCATACGTCCCTTTGTCCTTCTTCAACAACTCGGCACCTTGCACAGTAGGAAGGTTGGCTTGGCTCAGTAGATCGTCCCCTTCATCGAGAGCCTTGTTCGGGGAATTTGGGCTCGGTTGGAAGACCCAGATCCCTTCTCGCTTTGCGTCGTAATATACTAAAGTGCCGTGTTTCCTCCAAGCGGTTTCCACGTCTTGCAAATGCTTTTTTGCTATAGAGGAAGGTGATTGCCATTGGGTTTCGAAATATTCATAGGTTATTGATGCAAAATTGTCCTGAGTAGGTAGTTAGCTACGAAGTTTATTCGAGTCGCATGGAGCAAGAATCCTTACACAACACAATACATTGGTAGGTTGATCCCCGAGATCCATATCGTAACAGGTCGTAACTCATGAAATGAACATCCAGAACAGCCGATGTAATGCGCCGATCCCCCCCTCCTCCGCGACAAGCTATTTTTCCCCTTTATGCACCCCAAATGATCTCGTTTATATATCCAAGTAAGTTTGTTGATGATCCTATCGAATCAAATCGGTAAATCTTAGTTGTTTGAGTCGGGGAGCTTGAGTTGGACTCGCAGGGCTCCATCTCAAAATGAAGATGTCGGCTGTCGCAGTGGCTGGCTGTTCAGCAAGGTGCGACTAAATTGTTGTTACAAATCGCGAAAAGCAATCAAAAGTTGAGCACAGAATAGAATCGCAGATGAATTGGGTATCTTGAAAGCATTGAGACAGTAAAATATAATGGTCCAAAGTATTAAGCAGATGGTACCTGTATTTGACGATAGTCTCAATAGTCTACAAGAGTTATTGATAACATGGTTTCGGGGCATAGTCAAAATTACCGATTACTCGGACTAAGCAATTAAATTGCGCTACCCTGATTTTGCCCCAGCTATAATCCGTATCGAACAGGCTGATTTATCCCAGTCAACATGATTTGATAATCCCGCTTTGCCGCTTCGGCCGTCGCGGCCGCCGGTCGAAAGTATTACCGGACACCGTGCTTTTTCGATAAGAAAATAATTTCAAGAGCAGACATTTAATTTTCTCATTTTGAAGCCTTTTGAATGCGACATCTTTCACAAGATGGCAAATTGAAATTGATTATTCTATCATTGAAATAACAACCTAATTTGATTTTATCAACCTCTCAACATGAAGCTCACAAACCCAAATGATGTACCTGTGTACACCATTTCGGGTGCTTCCACTGCACGCCCTCTACCTGACTGGCTTGCTCGCAAAAGAAAGCGTAGTTTAAAAAATGATCCAGAATATGCCAACCGCGTCGAACTTTTACAGGATTTCGAATTCGAAGAAGCTAGCTCTTGTATAAGAGTTAGTGAGGATGGGGAATGGGTTATGAGTACTGGCACATATAAACCGCAGATCCATACACATTATCTTCCTCATTTATCTCTTTCATTCGCAAGACATACAACAACTCTTAATCATTCCTTCATTCTCCTGTCTAGCGATTACACAAAATCACTTCATCTACAAACCGATCGTAGACTAGAATTTCATACACAGGGCGGATGTCATTATCAAACTCGATTACCTCGGTACGGGCGTGACCTTGTCTACGATAGAGCGTCAACGGAAGCATTAATACCTGCAGTTGGTGTCAATGCAGACGGTCTTGGAGAAGTATACCGATTGAATCTCGAAATAGGACGTTACATGAAACCATACCAGATTGATGTTGGCGGTGATGACCTAACGACTTCTGGTGGCGGCGCTTTACAAGGAGGCATAAATACTGGAAGTGTCAATTGTGCATCTATTGCCGAGGAAAGTCATAATCTCATGGCTTTTGGGACATCAATTGGTACGGTGGAGTTTTGGGACTCAAGATCCAAAGCAAGAGTAGGAATTCTCGCGGGTCAACAAGGAGGGATCACTGCGCTTGATTTCGACAGATCAGGAATATCGATTGCAACAGGATCCTCCGAAGGAATAGTACAATTGTATGATCTTCGACGACCTGTGCCAATTTTGACTAAGGATCAAGGATATGGCTATGCGATCAAGACTTTGATGCACATGACCACTTCTTCACAAGAAAAGAAAATCTTATCCGCAGACAAACGAATCATCAAATTGTGGGACGAAACAGACGGAAAAGCCTGGACATCGGTCGAACCAGCAGTGGACATCAACTCAGTAGCGTGGTGCAAGAATAGTGGCATGCTCCTCACGGCCAACGAAGGAAAGCAACAACATGCTTTCTTCATCCCACAACTGGGTCCTGCACCAAAATGGTGTTCATTCTTGGATAATATGGTTGAAGAAATGGCAGAGGAAGCACCAAGTGAAACTTACGATAATTACAAGTTCTTAACAGTACCAGAACTCAAAGCTCTCAACTTGGGCCATCTCATCGGAACTACCAATCTTTTACGACCATATATGCATGGTTACTTTGTGGCTTCTAAACTCTACGAGCAAGCCAGGTTGATTGCTAATCCTTATGTCTGGGAAGACGAGAGAACCAAACGAGTCAAGGAGAAGGTCGAGAAGGAGCGAGCCAGTAGAATCAGAGGTGGCAAGAAGGTTAAGGTCAACCAGAACTTGGTCGATAAAGTACTCAAGAGACAAGAGCGTAGGGAGAAGGTTGATGAGAATGCCGGTGTCTTGGGTGACTCGCGTTTCGGCAAGCTTTTCGAGGACGAAGACTTCGCTGTTGATGAACGTAGCAGAGAGTTCCAGGCTCTCAACCCTAGTACCAAGGTTGCTGGTGGTGGTGAGGAGACCAAACAGCGGAAGGTCGATAGTGAGGATGAATCGAGCGACGACGAAGATGAGGTTGTGTCGAAGCCTAAGCCAGCTGCTGAGATGCGTATTTCTTCCTCGTCTTACAAGAAATCGGGTCATCAACGTAAAGATAATGCTTTGGGAGCCCGCAAACAAGGCACTGGTCGGGTTAGCAAAAACAGGGGTGATGTTGTTGGTGAGCGTTCGGTCACATTCGCTCCTGCCGGTAAAAAAGATAAAGAGAAGACAGAAGTCAAGCCTGCCAACAGCAGGAGTAGACGCGAAGATGCAAGACGAAGCGCCAGTGGAAATGTTTTCAGAAGATTGTAATAGTCCGAAGTTGAGACTTCATGATACCCCTTTCATAATACATAACATGAGAATTTTCAAGCGCCAAAACTCAAATACCTGCAAACTATGCCTCCCACAAAAACAAATGCCATTATTCGCAGAACGGAGGGATGATCTTTATCCAATTCATAACAATCATTCCATGGGTATCAAACATTCACACATCAAAACACAAAACAAAAGCCGTCCCAGCAGCTATCATCACCATCTATCTCTCATTTCTCATCTTCCGCGCCCATTTCGACTTCGGCGCATCCGACAATTCGAATTCCATCATCTTCCCTTCTCCTTTCTCCACATCGTTCACACTCACAAATGTCTTCGATATCTTGGGCGTGGGCGGTACCTCATCTATTCTCTCCAATCCACGGCCCCCGGGTCTTTTATGCACATCTTTACCGAATGTAGCTCTTCTGGGCGTTAAGGCAACGGCTACCTTGCGTGCCGAAGCCCGTAGCTTCTTGCGCACCTCCCAGGAACGTTTCTTGGCGAGGTAAAAGAGTGTTGCCGAAATTACTGTTCATTGTGTTAATTCCTCGTCGTTTATTTGATAAAAGAAGGGATTCATACTTCCAAAAAGACACACGCCAATCACAGCAATAACAATTGCAATCATAGCTCCATTCGACAATTGAACACCACCACTCGAAGTCCCAGACGCACCTGCATCACTATCAGCTCCTGCACTTCCGCCCGTACTTGCAGCATCGCCGGCTGGTGGATCGTTGGGGGCTGAGGGCTCGGATGTTGCAAGCGCGGCAAAAAACGAGGCAACGGAGCTGGAGGACATGGCTGGAGTAAGGGATATGGAGGTTGTAAGTGCTGGAGACGGTGTTTCGGCTGATAATTGAGACTGGGAGGAACTTGTACCGGTACTTGATACTAGTGTAGTTGTGGTGGATATGAGTGCCGAGGAAGAAGTAGATGTTAAGAAGGAATTTTGAGCAAAAATTACATCAGGAAAGAAAGAGAGGAGAACGAAAGTAAGGGGGACAGTAGACCTCATAATGAAATAAAATACTAGGTAATCCTTGAATCAAAATCTCAAATATGAAAACTCAAATGTATAACACTAGACTCCTGTTGAAGAATCAAAGAAACCAATGACATTCAAGGAAAGGATGAAGGGGGGAAAAATCGATGAAACACCTGACGCCGTGATAGTGATAGTGGCATACAGAAATTGAGACAGCTGAAGAAAAAGACAAATCAGACAGGAGATGAAGTAAACGAATGGTGTGATTAAATAACGGGAGGGAGGGGATATATTTATTCCTTGTTCCGTTTTGTAAATTTATGGTGTGTAGATGGCTCTAAGCGCTATTGTATACTTTTGCTACATGATTGCTCAATTCTGCTACTGGAGATATTCTAGGGGTGGTCGCTGAATGGGTGGCTTCTATTGTAAAGCTCTATATCCATACTCCATACATGGGTTTCATACAGAAATAGTGGTATAAGGTTTGCTGCAAATGATATTGCATGAAGTGTGATTTGTTTGTTTGATTCGTGGAGGGGGGTGTTTTAAGCGCCAACATATTGGCGCTAGTATTTATTGACCTATGGGGAAAGGGGATCGGGTTATAATTGCATGCTTATTATTGCCTTAGTGACTGCCGAGAATCTTTATTTCTGCGGGAGTGAGAAGAGATGATTTTGGAGTGGCTGTGAAGACTTGAGAGTAATGTGGTGAGACGGTATGAGTTGGGGATTTGTGAGGGAAAGCAGACGGATTGGTTGGGACACTTTGGTACCTGTATGTGTTTCGGTCGGTAAATTTCCGATGATATTTTTGAAGAAACATGTATTGTGTTGTCCCCCGCGCAATATAGAAGTGTACGCAATATCAAGGCAGGCTAAGATATTTTAATACTCTTTTACTTACACACATACAGTACAGCATTCAAATATTCCGCAAGATGTGCAACATATTTGATTTTGATGATATTGATTGGATCAAAGGATGATATAAAATGAGGCCAAGCTTGAGAGGAGCTTGGGAAATACATTTAAAGGTAGATGCGTTTCGGGTGCTCAAGGTTCTGCCAGGACTTTAGGTATGTGGTTGGATTTGAGGCGTCGGGGAGGATTATGTGATGGGTAGTTACACGTATGTATCGTTTGATCGATATCAGAATTCGAGATACTCGAGGTATGTTTGGAAATTCGGGCTGGAAATGTGGTGATTTTCCAAACAGATTTGGACATTGCTGATTCATGGAGCGTTTGAAGAGTTTTCGAGTGCTTGCGTGCTGTTTGGTGTACGACCGACTCACTCATCCATTCGAATATCGTACTCGATACCATCGCCTTTGGAAAGATAAGGAAAGTCTGAATCTTAAAATAGATCTTGCGGGAGACCGAAACGCCAGCGGGTGACTTGCATGTGACGGTCAGTACAATGCTTGACGACGGCACAGGTATGTAGTGAAGTACATTCTCGGATATGATTACTTTTTGGATCTAATATCTCGTGAGTCTATCTATGCTGGGATAGACTCAATCTGTAAAATGGGCATTCTGTCAACTTTTATAATCTGGTGACTACTTGGTGGGCTTTGCACGTTGATTGATCTCGAAGTCGAGCAGTTTTGATAATCACGCGTTTATCACGTGTCTTTACCTCCAACAATAATATATCCTCATTTATTACGAGAATATGGAGAGATTGAATAGTGCTATGCAAACAATTATTGTAAAATTTTCCACTTTGATGATGCCCTCAATCTTCAATTGCTGGTCTGGCAAGTCCAACAAAAGCTGCACTGGCTCACGCTGGCGAATGTGGTAGGAAAGGAAGGAACGAAGGTGTTCCTGCCTTCATAGTCAAACTCACACATCATATGCCTAGATTCTACCTGTACCCCACATTATATTCCCTCATGTCCCAATGTCACAATTTACATCTCTTCAATTCACTGTTCACTCCCGTGTACTTTCATTCCATCTGCATTTCATTCGTCATGTACGTGGAGTAACAGACTTCATATCATCATCTTCCTCATTGAAGATTTACATCCAAATCATATCTTTGAGCTGGTAAGCAAGTGGTTATTGAGGAGATTGTATCCTGGAACTCAGTCGTTTTCAATCCTGAATGTGAACAAATACCAATCAATTCTGCATGTTCGTCATCTCTCCGCAGATAAAAGTTTCTGTCCCCTTCCTGGGTAAGAACTTCTTGAAATTATGCAAATCCTGCGAATACACAATTTTAATATGAGTTTAGTGATTTACGCTCGTCGAAATGGCTTTGAACCCGGACGAACAGGAGAGCCAAATCATTGTTCCGCCCCATTCGCCTCCCCCTGAGCAAGATTACCTTGACAATGCATTTCCTGGCGGCGCCGATGGTTATCACAATCGAACTCTAAATGATGAACAAAACTTTGACGCTGACGATGTACAAATGATTGATGTTGTCTCCGAAGCGGGTGAAATGATCTTGAATACAGAACTGATGCCCCGGCAATATCCTTCTCACAATTCTCAGCAAGATAGTCACAAGTCTTTGGTTGAGGAAACTCAGTTTGCAGAAATTGAGAGAGATACTCAAGCAGTTCGATATGAAGAAGAGTCTGTTCAGAAAGACACCCAGAATGCCAGTTTTGGCTCTCGATCGCTTGTTGAAAAGACTCAATTTGCAGCCATTGAGATAGATGCTCAGGCTGTCGAAAATACTACTCAATTCGACGATACATTTCCATCATTTCAAAAGCCGCATGTCCCGGGGAGTGACGTATCAGCCGTCAATGTCGCTCTTCTAACCAATATGTCGCCACCCAGAGTGTTTTCGAGGCCTACAGAACCAAAAGAAGCTCCTTATCGATTTCCCCCTGCACCATCTAGCAGAAGAAATTATGGATCGACAGTCCAGAATGCATCCGCACCAAGAGTTGCAGCTCAAAGGATACAGAGATCCCCCAAAGTATTGACGAAAGGTAAGCTGATCGCAAAAAGCTACGCAACTATCAGGTCAATTGAATAATAATGGTTTGACAGTTACTTCCAACCCCGAGCCTCACGGGGACCTTCAGCAAACCCGGTACATCATACGCAGAAGGCAAATCCTGGAGATAATAATGCTTCTGTAATTCATCCCATCCCCGATGTTCGTGTCCGTCCATCTGTTAAGCCGATTCGGGAGAGAGAAGTAATCCCTGTTATTGATGTTATGCCATTGAGCCAGCACCCATTTGATACCCACAATATGTCTTTAACTACTTCTGCTCAACATCTGAAAAGCGTCCCTCCGCCAGTTTTCAAGGCTTCCAGACATCAACAAATGTCCAATGTTCTTCCTACTCCATCTGACAAGCCAGCTCCGGAGCAGATACTACCTCTTACCATTCAAAACACGGCAATCAACGAGTATTTTTCCGATACTTGCAATATACCTCCACCAAACTCGCTGCATCCTCCGAGAGGTGTCTCTTCAGTTTTGCGTAACAAATTTCAACATCATCAAATTCTCGATAGTGATCCTGCTTCGACTGTCAAAGCCTGCGGTCCTAAGGAGGCTGTACGACCCATTACGAGAAATTACCCAGCGATCCATCCTCCTATTCAAAAGCCCACCAAGCGCATGGCATATCCACTACTTCAGAGAGAAGGAATTTTTTCAAATCCAGATGATATCACCCCGCAATCTGCAAGCCACAATGAAGGAGCCCCTTTCAGTAAATCGAACAATATGCTGGTGCTGAAAGCTTCTCACAATGAACAATCTAAGCTGGTTGGGTTACCTCCACCTCAACAAAATGCAGCTACGTCGATCCATTATGCGGGTCGTCCCCGGCTAAGACAAAAACCTTCGAATCAGTAAGCATATCTGCCCTTTCGTCCGTAGTTTATCGACTGACTCTCTCGTAGAATTAATCGTCTCGGCGTGAGCAAAATCGATGTTTATGGTAACTTGGTCAAGAAAGCTCCATTCCCAGAAGCTTTTGTGGGCGAACCAAAATTACAAGCACACCGAGAAAAGTCAAACAAAACTCAGGTACCTGTACCACAGCCCCAATACTCAGAGCCTCGTCCTGGTGAGAAAGAGCTACCAAACCAGATTGAAGTAGCTACAGAACCAGAGTCCCAGAGATTACGTACCAATGACAGACTTATCCAAAGAGGATCGATGACCCAGTCAGTGACGAATGCTGATCCTCTTTCAGTCTCTCAAGTTCAAGTCTTGGATGACAGAACGGAAGATTCCCCGGTGAATCCTGTGGAATATGAAGATGATCCACAGGTAGAAGATTCTGAGGAATTTGATCAATCGATTCCGAATCCCACATTTCAGCCAGGCCATCCCGTCATGCAAATCGATCGGCATTCTCCAGTAAATCGGAAGCCTTCGCGTACTGTGACTCAAGCAAATGTATCCCGAACTCAGACACCTCGGCCTCAGACAACTCCACGAACTCAGGGTGGGCATGAGGCTCAGCGAAAAGCCTTAAATAGACCACTTAAACCCCATGACCTCGTACCTCAAGGAGTATCTGAGGTAACATCGAGTCATATTAGTGTGTCCAAAGTCACCAAATTAGCAGCTGTCCATTCTGAACATGAGAAAAATAAAACTGGAGATCACGTCAGTAGCTACCAAAAGAAATCTTCACCAGATTTCGGTGCTCTTCATAAAACTCTCGCTGAGTGCCAGATACAACAAGACGTTATCAAAAATCAAGAGAATCAGATCGCAATTCTCAATGCTCAGTTGCAAGATGCAGAAGCGCGGTTGCAAGATACAAATCTAATCAACGAAGAGTTGGAGGCAAGCAAAGCTGAATTGTCAAAGAGAGTTGAGAGATTGAATCATTTATCCAACTGCTACAGAGAACACATCAATAATGTTGTCAATTGCCAGAAGACTCTTAGGCAAGATTCATTAAATATGAAGGAATCGATGGGAAAGTTGGAAGCATTAAAGAGTCAAGAGATTAGGAATAGTGATGCTCAAATGAAGAAAATGAGGCGTCTATTGGAGGAAATCAAGCAAGTTCGAAAGGAGCAGATTGAGCGAGACACGACTATTCCACTCTTAGAAGATTTGAGTAAACAGAATGATCAACTTCGATGTGAGAATGAACGCCTCAAAGCTGATAATGATTCAAAGTTGATAGAACTCGAGCAAGAACGTTGTTACATCGAGCAACTTCAAAGTCAAATTAACGGCGATCTGGACCGCCACAAAGAAGTAATGGAAATTCTCCAAAAACCACAAGTAGACACCCTCGGAGAACTTACAAAAGAAGACGGGATTCTCAAAAAGGTTTTGAATTCTGCCGAGAGTGTCAATGGGAAGTTTGAGGAAATGTCAAAGACATTCACCAGTTCTTTCAACCAAACATTGGAGTGGCCACAAACTCTGACAAAGATTCTCGAAGAATTTTACTCTAGAATTGAAACGAAGTTTGATGATAATGGCAGTAAGGACACTAATTTTCAGGAGTCTACTATCAAGCTCTTTGATGATCTTAAAGAACGTCTCAATCAAATCAGTGGTGATATGGATGAAAAGACCAAGCTCAGTGAGCAGATCAATATGCTTCGAGAGAGCAACGCAACTTTTAAGGCGAGTCTGAATTCAAAGGAAGCAGACTTGGAGAATAATGTCGCACGAATGGATGAACTAACCAGAGAGCTGGCAGATGCTCATTCAGAGTTAATGGAGAAAACCCAGCAACTCGCAATCTCACTTGCTCAACCGAGAGAAGACCTCGAATTGAAGAGAAAGGTCGACGGATTGACCAATGAAACTTCGAGACTGGAGGGCCTTCTTACCGCTGCCAACCATGACAAGCGACAAACCGAGAAAGATATCCAAGCTCACCAAGCGACAATTATCACTACCCAAAAACAGTTACGCGATACAGAGGAAAAATTCCGAGATGTCGAGTCTAACATGCAGGCGTTAGAGGCAGAGAAGCACAAGTTTCAAAGAAATTGCATATCAACCACAGAAAGAGTTCGACAGGAGACCGCACGGGTTGCTATGTCTCAAACAAAAGAGTTACTCGCTCAACATGACTCCTTGGTGAATGATCTCAAACACAAACAAGCAGAAACTGAGAAGAGACTCCAAACCGCAATTGAGAAATCAAAGACATTTAAAGAGGCGACTGATAAGCATACGAAAACTATCAGCGAGCTTGAGTCAAAGATAGCTACATACAAAGACCAGTTTTTACAGCAAAAGCATCAGCTTCAAAGATTAGAGGAAAGCTCCATATCTCCTGATCAATTTCAGAAATTCGAAAGAGAACACAAACAAGAGATTTTATCAATCCACAGAGAGCAAGCAAGCCAACTTGCATCATCACAAGCTTGTCGAGAGGAAATTCGTAGAATTAAAGATGAACTCGAAGGAGCTCATAGAAGACTCGGTGGAATGAATGAAGAAAATGAGCATCTGACGAAGGAGAATGATCGTTTACGAAAGCGTTTGGAGGATATGAATACGATGACTGAGAATACTCAAGATGTGATTGGCAATCCTCATCGTGTTGACGACATTCAACCAATATCGCTCAACAATAATCGATCGTCTTCACGCAGACCTGCTGAGCGGCGATCTGGCAATTTCCATTCTCAACCTCTTGAAAAGGGCATGGGAGAAAATCAACATAGAGTCTGTGAATTCCAAACTGACGAAGCAAACAAACCCTTTTCACGAACTTTATCGTCTTCGCAAACATATGGCGACAACAGGGGCGGAAGTCAGAGTCCAATCAAACCATTCTCTACTATTGCTACTCTCGCAACAAGCCCTTTGACTGATCTGGAGGATGTTATGTCAATCGTTCAATCGGCGCATAGTCGGGAGGATTTAGATCGAGTATACAGCAAAAATCGTCAGCCATCGAATGATAAGATTGCACAGATGGAGAGCCGACCCAAGTACTATCCTTATGGAGATGAACACCTTGGGACCCCAAAGTCTAAAATTAACAAAGTCATGCTTACTCTCGAAGGAGAATTTGTCGATACACCAAGTCGAGCATCTAGGACCATTCTTTCAGTTGCAGAAGAATCTGTTCAACGCCGAACGAACAAGCCACTTAAATCCGCTTTGAAGAAAGGCGATCACCAGGACTATTCCATTCCTCACGATGCCTCACAAGATCAAGTTCATAACCAAGACGAGAGACTTTTTAAAAAGCCGCCACTAAGAAAAAATCACGGTTCCAGTATCGGACTTCAAGCGACACGCGGGACTGGTACAGGCAGCTACAATCGTATTGCTAGTGGAGAACCGAAAGTTGCAAGCTCAAGGGCACCAGAAACTCGATATAAGCCAACACCTGAGATCAAGCGAAACGCTATAAAGAGAGCAAGATCAAGTTCATCCCTTAATACTCAGGGTCTACAGCCGACCAAACCTGCGAAAGCTCCAAGAATCAACCACCGCCAGTCAATTAACAAGACAATCATTCCCGACTCTCAGTGAGGTGGATATTCTACAGCTTTGGAGGCAATATCGTACTCAACCGCTGACGTGACTACCTCGGAATTGCAATTTCCCCACCTTGAGCCGACGATAGCACCTATCCTTGGAGTGTTATTATCAACAACTACTTTATTGTTGCTCCCCTTGTATATGGCTCCCCGTGTATATGCTTGCAAACTTTCGAAATTTTGGACGTACGAAAGAGGAATGATATTGCCTCGAGAACTTGCAATTGGCACATCGAAGGAAAAAGGATATTTTTAAGATACTTGAAGTGGCTATTCTCCGTTTACTTGAAAAGATTATATGGTGGAGTTATTGCATGATATAAGAAAAGTATGGGATCAGGTCCACAATATGTAGCATATATGTTTCGCTGTTTCGCAAGTATCGCTGATATATGTCGGGAAGGTAGAAGGACAAAAGTCATCCATCATTTTTTGCTAGATAATCTAGAAACCTAGAATTTGCACTAACAGATTTGCCATCAAAATTGTGTTCACTGCGTGGTCTCGTGTGACTTGAAATAATAAAATGGTGATTGTATTCATGATGTTATCCCATACGCCATTCCATGCAACCTATTCGTACACTCTTTTCCGAGTAATGGTATCCACACACACAGCCATATCAACAAAATCTATGGTATCTTCTCGTGTAGTATAAAGGCAGTATGTGTAAATTTTCTTCTTCTTCTTTTCTTCCCTCCCTTGAAGTATTACCAGAGTATATACTGAAGAATCATCAAATAACCATTTATCTCCCTTGCTTGGTATAGCTATGCCATACATCCTTCCCGTCCTTCCTTTCCTTTCCTTACAAATGCATGTACGTATCTCTATCACTGGGTGCATGCATGCGTTTTCTGGTATCTTTGATTTTTTGTGGGGGTTTTTTTTATGTGTGTATTGTCGTTTGTTGTTTTCTTAAATTGTGTTGTGTTTTGTTGTGTTGGGGTGAGGTGAGGTGAGGGTGTGTTTGGGTTGATGGAGGGATAGATAGATATATGGATGTGATTGTGATTGTGACTGATCTATTTATTTACCACCACCGCCACGCTTTTGTTCGAGGAAGAGGACCTTTTTGCGGACTAGATGGGGGGAGGCGGGTTAGCTTGAAGTGTGGATTTTAATATAGGTTAAGAAATTATAATGGAAATGAGGGGTTTGGTCGAGGTTTGGGTGAGTGTGAGGAGAGCGTGGATTTGGGATTGGAGGTGGAATTGTCGAGATGAGCGAAGAGAGGTTGCGATGGATTGTGAAGGAGAAGTGGGTGGGAGAGATAGATATGAGGTTGAGCTGGCGGATTGAGATTCCGAGTTGGTGGTAGAGAGAGAGAGAGAGAGAGAGAGAGAGGTAAAAGAGTCGATTATAGATTCGGAGAGGAGAGGGAAACAGGCCGAAGCGCGCGCAGATGTGTTTGAACGTTCGAGGTATCCATGAGGCGAGGCGAGACGAGACGAGACGAAGAATTGGCCGTATATGCTGCGTGGACAATTGAAGTACGACTCGAATGTATTTCGGTTTCCTTGAGACTCCCTTTCTCGTTCGACAGAATGCGATGCGAATGCGAATGCGAATGGATGTAATTTCCATGTCGTAGCTTGTGCATCTTTTCAAATGCTGTATCTTCTCTGCTGCGTTTGCGAATCGCATTTCCCAATCTCCATTGCTGGCTCTGTCTCTGTCTCTGTCTCCATTTTCTCAATCATAGGTAGGAATCCCAGTTCGCGGATCCTCAATCGCATTCTCCTCACTCTCAATTTCACATCCTCTGTGTGCATCCTCTCTTCTCATCCCCTCTCCTCTTCCCCCTCCACTGCAACCCCAATCCCAAAAGCCCCACCCTAATCCTCAATCCCGAAACTCCAAACCCCAAAAAAGGAAACCCTCAAAAAACTCACCAACAGGATCATACTTCAACATACTAAGCGGACGATGCGCCCGCGGCCGAATAAGCGTCTTGTAGTAGCCGGTTAAAGCCATGGAAATGAGTCGGACGGGGATTGTACGGGATTTTGCTGTGAGGGGGAGAGGGGTATTAGTTTGCTCTTATATTTTTGGGTGAGAGTTTTGTGTGCGGGGGAGGGGGAGGGGGAGGGGAAGCTATGAGATGAGAGACTGAGGAGGAGGGAAGATAGATCGTGGGGTGGGCGTGTGAAAATGCAAGATGGAAAATGAGAAATGAGGGATGAGGTACCTTTTTTCGCCATGGTGAAATTGAGAGATTGATTGGGGGTGGTGTGGTGAGAGGAGGAGAAGAGTTGTGGTGAGGATGATTGTGTATCCCTCTATCTATCCAGGGCGTTTGATGTAAAATTATTGCGCGCGGGATTGGGTGTGAGGGCCTGAGGCATTTTTGGATTTTGGTTCTGGGAGTTGGGAGTTGGGAGTTGGGAGTCGGGGGCCGAGGAGATGCCGGTGGTGGGTTGGATTGGATTGGGTGTATGGTATGGTAGAGAGTGAGTATGTGATGATTGATGATTGATAACTGATGATTGAGAGGATGGATATTTCACTTTGGAGAAGATTGATTTTGTATCTTTAATTCTGTTTTTTATTTTGTGTTTTGGAGATATGAATAAGAGACTGAGATATAGATTGAGATGTAGATTGAGATGTAGATTGAGATATAGATTGAGGTCTGATTTTGTTTCATTTCATATCTAGGTATCTATATCTTTTCAATTTATATCTCATGATGAGGAGAAGAAAGAAAGTTGTTAGAATGGATTGAGATGATACATCTACCTAGGTACAATCTTAAAGATCGAGGTCTCCCAATGAGCCTCAATATCTAGACAGGCCTGGGTAGGTGTCAAGTAGTCTTTCGCTTTTGCGTGTCTGGGGTTTGTTGGTCGGGTGTAGAGGGTATATGAATGTCAGAGTATGTGTAGCTAGGTGGGTGGATGGGATAGTTCTGATATATATATATTGACATTCGTTTCAAATCAGGAGAATCTCATCTTTTTGGAAAAGACCTGAAATGCACCCAGGTACGCACTCGTGAAGAGATTCAGTAGAATCACGTGCTCGAGTTGCAGGAAGTTTGAGTAGCAGATGGACATCTCACAAGCTCGGGCTCCATAGAAAACATTCTGGGATGGCTGAATAGATGATTCATGTGTGGCTGTTAGCATTTCTCCAGAATACTACCGGTAGATGTGATGGTAGGTGTAACATACCTACCTATCTGATGTCCTCTCCAAATCCTCCTCGTGATATGTTCAATCCCGAGATAATGCCTTTGCTATGAAAGCGTGATCTCTGTAGGATGGTGAGGTGATTAAAAGATACTCAACTCAGTATTGGTAGTGTTTTGATATCTGAGCTGTGGCTTGAGTCAGACATCATACTCATGTATAGTTATAGCAGAGTTGATGGCTGGCTGTAATTTGATTACCATACCTAGGTACTCATCCACAACAAAAGTCATGACTGTATTCGACAGTAGCTTTCCAGACATGTTTAAGGGGTTCATGTTCATTCGTACGTGAGGAAGAATCTGGTCAATAGCTTAACAAATCACTAGAAAGCACGTGGGCAGATAGATACCCAGGTACCATTTGCAATCAACATACGATATCATATTCTCAACGCTTTTCTGAACACGAATTGCAAAGTTTCCGGAATCAATATTATAATACTCGCAACAAGCGGTGAATATGACCAAGATTTCACTTGCATTCAAACGGGAAGTCTTACTGCGTACATATCAAAGACCCCGAATGTGTCTCGTATACTCAAAGGAGTGATGGGTAAATGTCAAACCGGCCTTCGATTCTCAATCATCGATTCTCAATTCTCGATCATCGATCGTATCGATATTCAATATCGATATCTAGGATTGATCAAATCGATGCTAGTTCGCTACCCAGGTGTGTACATTGTGCTTGTGTGCTGCACCTCCTGGTAGGCTGGGACCTGGGTACGGACGGAGTGGAAGACTCGAAGGAGAACACACTTGAAGGGGGCTCTCGGTACTCGGATAAACCTTGAAACCCAGATCGATTCGCGGAATGTTGTTTGAGTCTCCACTTATTTGGATTTGCTACTAGGGAGAGGGTGCGTTCCTCCCTGGTTGGAGTTAGACGTGGAGGTGCAAGTACAAGTGCAATGTACGCACGCACGCAAGGATATTCATACCGTACCGTTGCTGCATGTAAAGTGTAAGTGTAAGTGTAAGTGTAAGCGTAGGCGTCAACCAGCGAGACAAGGCTTCATCATCATCATCGACATCGATGTCGACAGACCGGCACATGAGACATATAGATCGAGGATTCTAGGGATGCCGGTATATCAGTATGCGGATGATACATACCGGTATATCATTGTATGGATGCTAACTTGATCTTTCCCGGGACGTGCCTTGAGATGTATGTGTGAGTTTCACATCCACATTGATCCGACGTGTTTTTTCCTCGGATATTTATGATGATTCGATTCCATCATTTCCAGACTCGCGTCATTTGATTAGTGAGCATTTTTAGGATGATGTCCTGGCTCCTCACCTAATTGTTTCAAGATCAAGACTCCAGAGGGTACTACGGTATCCCGAGATTCAGATGTCTCATCTATTTCTCCGATGGCGCCTCTCAAGATTCATGCCCGTCCAAATCGCCGCAAAAGTGTGAGCTGGGGATATTTGATAGTGTTTGGTAATATTTGGTGATATTTGATAATATTTTACAGTATTTTACAGTATTTTACCTCGCAGGACCCAGTCCAGAGCAGTGGTCATAGACGGGAAGGTTCCAAATATAGGAATGGGGATCTTTTTTTCTCGCATCATTCGGTAATGTGAAGATATGATTGGTCGATCGTCACTTCCCTTTTGGTTCAAATTGAGATGTCCTGGGGATCGAGAGAGGGAAAAGCTTTGAACATCCTTTCCCTACCCAGGGATTCACGATCGAATCGTTCATTTCTTCCTTCTCTCTGTTTGCCGTATTTATGTTTACCGTATTTATGTTTGCCGTATTTATGTTTGCCGTATGTATTCCGTATGTATTCCTTAATTCTTCCGCACTATCTGTGTCTGTCTATTATCTTCCTTGATCGGTAGCTATATGCCTAGTTTACACACATTTGATTAGACACTACACTCATCACTCTATGTAATTTCTTTCTATTGTTTCTATTCCTCATCTGCTGGTGTTTGTCTCTTTTCCAGCAGAGAGTGCCACACGAGTGCGAGGAACAAAGTAGCTGGACGATCAGGAGAAAGTCAAGGGTACATCCTACCAGTAGCTATCGAAGAAGTCATTTGTTATCATAATCCCATCCCCATCCCTCTTAGCTCAATTGTCATTCAAAGTTAACCTTTCATGCTTTTTACACCATTTCCACTATTCGCACCACCATCTCAGTTCATCCAGGAATGTCCCTAGTACCTCCCTAGTCCCTCCCTAGTACCTCCCTAGCACCTACCCAGCACGCAAGACTAAATATTAAATACTTCATCCTATAACTAATCCTAAATCCTAAATCCTAAACTTTAATTCCATAAATGCTAAAATAACGGTACCCCAAAATGTTGATTCCGCCCATTCCAACCCCCTCCCCTCTCCCCCACTTCGATCGAATCATAATTTCTAAACCTTTTACAAGTATTTCGAGGGAATGGATATAAAGCAAAGGGTGAAGGAAAAAGAATACCACCTAATGTCAAGAAGTACCACGTAATTCTTTGTATTACAATCCTCCCACCCTCGAGTCATACATTTTCCGAAGAAGCCTTGACAAAAGATACTCGTTCGAAATGATGTTATCTCCTGAGCATGAAGAAGAGCTTAGGAAGCTGAAAGAGGTGAGTCTTTTGCTTTTCCTTCCTCTTACTCGTGTATGGGAGTCTGTGACATCGTCATGTATCTTTCAACGCATACCTTGAGTGTGCATCGAGGCTTACCATCTCACAATAGCTTCAAGCCTTGTATGCAGAACATGCGGCCATTAGAGATCAACAAGTTCAGCAGAGCGGAAGTCCAAGGCCAGATAGTCGAGATTCTGCTTCTTCCGATCCTATGATTTATCCCGGCTTGTATTCTCCAAGTGGTTTCGATGTATTACAAATTCTAGTACGTTTTCCATTGCACACTCGAAGCCGCTTGATTGCTCTCGTTTGGGTGAAGCCTCTTCAAAGTACTTTCGTTTTTAACATGACTCAGTTTCAAATCCAACGTCGTCCAAATCCAACATATCCCCTGGGAAATATCGATAGCGGTGTAGCTCTCGTCCTATGCGATTCCGCCCGTCCTCACTGTCCAATCGTCTACTGCAGTGAACCTTTTCAACGCCTCACGGGCTATTCCCAAACCGAAATCATTGGCAAAAATTGCAGATTCCTACAACAACCTTTCAATCCAAACACCTTTGATTACCTCGGCAATGCACCCACAATGAAGGGGATACAAAATCCAAAGACTGATCCCAACGCCGTGGCGAAATTGACCATCCGAACTGCTCTCGAATGTGGCTTGGAATCGCAGGTTACTCTTATCAATTATCGAAAGAATGGAGAGCAATTCTTGAATGTTTTGACGACGGTACCGCTTAGATGGACGACGATGGAGGGAGAGGAAAAGAATTACATTGTGGGATTCCAAGCGCAAGCTCCACCAATGTTCAGACACCGTTCGGCTTGAGTTTGTGAAGGTCGATTGAAATGGGTCTTTTTCCCTGGACGATTCAACGATCTTCTCGGATGTTATGCACGTGGCGATTAATTAATGGTGGTGTGGAGTTATGCTTTTTTTTTTCTCTTTACTTTTTATGAATATACGGAATTGGATGATACCCCTCAGATTTCCTAGATGAGATTTGAGCATTATTAGATGGTCATTCAGCGATTGGTACCTGGAGTATGGGAATTTCTAGGCCTGGCAGATACACATATGGGATGGGATAGCATGGCGTTAGTGGTTTGTTTGATTACTTATTTGAGTATGTTTGACGGCTTATTCTTTTGAGAATATCGTTTGATGATGAGAAGAATGAGAGGATATACAGCAAGGGAGGTTAGCTAGGAGAGAGATCGCCTACAGGGATGTTCAGGATGATCAAGCATCTAATCCGAAATAACAAAATAATAGCAACCAAAGTTTGAACTGTTATTTGGGGATTTGGGAAGTGTGAGTGTGGATGTGGATGCGATGTGAATTTGTTAATGTGTATGTATGTATGTATGTATGTATGTATGCATGCATGTATCTGATACTTTATACTCGAATTATTCGATGTGAAGAAACAATTCTGTGCAGGTGAGTAGGTGGGTAGGTGCTTGGATTAATCTTGACTCTGAGTTACTTGATCGATTTCGATTCATTTGTAGGGAATATGGGGTTTGTGTGAGTTGAGTGGTATTTTTGACTTACTGATTCTTCTCCTTATTTATTTATTTATTTATTTATCTATTTAATGGTATTAAGCATTGTGTGGTGTGATGTAGGGAATGTAGGGAATGTGAATGATATATGTGATGCATGTGATATAAGTGCTGTCGATATGAATGCGTAATATGGGGTTTGTGAAAAATCATTTTCGTGTATTTTGGTGGGGTAGGGGGGGGTGTTTGGATGAGGAGGGGAGATTGGGGGTGGTGGTGGGTTGAGGGGGTGGTGGGAGGAGGAAGTGAGAGGAGTGAGGGGAGGAAGTAGTAGGGAATGATGATGAGGCTTGGAGGATAGGTTTGCTTGCTGCTTAGGTGATCTGTTTAGGGAGGTGAGGATTGAGAGAGAGGGGAATGGGAGGAGGAGTGAGAGACTGGATGGCTGGTTCTGGATTGGAGGGGGAGTTTGTTGTTGTGGGGGAGGGGAGGATCAAATGGGAGAAGAATGAAAGAGGGTAGGTCAATAGATAGATTGACATCCAGAATCCTTTCGGAATATGTTATAAATATGTGAATAATACTCCATCTTTGGTTGTGATAGTGTGAAGAAAGGAAGGGGTTTTATCGGGCGTAGCGAGTAGCGAGTTGATAATCATTACTAGCTATTTCCTTTTCCCTTATTGTAATTATTAACTGTGCTTACAGAGTCTTTTTGGTATAAATTTTACTGTCTCTTTGCTCATGTATCTATGTAAGTTTCAAGATCACTAGTGGGTGTACGGATTTATGGGATAGCTTGTAAGTAAAGTACAATTTCACATCAGAACTCATCAACTTCAAAATTCGATTAAAATTCAAGAGATTATTGAATTTCATCTAAACTCATATTCTAAGTTTATGAAATACTAAAATATATTGTACATGAAAGGAAATTGAGAAGCATGAGTTTTGAGCTCAAAAAATTCAATATTACGTCTTCTCATCAAGATATTTTGATGGGAAATCATATATTCAAGTATAGAAGCTTTGATCTTAATCTTTTTGATGCAAATTTTAAATGATAGCAAATCCTTATGCTTAAAAACTATATACCTCAATTTGAAGAAAAATCATAAAAATTCTGAATTTTAATTGAATTATTTAAATCGCTTTTTGGTGTAGAATTGTGCTTTAGAGTCCGTGCACCCACTGGTGGACCAACTTGATCTACACTACGACAAAAAGATTCAACCTTCAACTATCTATTCAATTCAATTGAACAAGAATAGAGGTGAACTACAATTAATACTGCCAGTTACTTTCTCATCTTACGTAGCTATGAATCTTGCGTCACATCGCAAAGAAAAACATGTAGGAGTAGCATGTGAGGAGTGTCGGAAGAGAAAACGAAAGGCAGGGCAGAATCCCGATATACATACCTACCTAGCTATAGATCCCGGGGAGCAGTAGCTGAAGTTTCCTAGTGTGATGGCTTACGCCCATAATGCACTCTCTGTAATGTATCGCAGAAGGATTGTCAATATGCAGGAACTGTTGAAACACGCAAGTGAGTGATGCTGCACTCAGTACCATCAAGTGCTGATCAGTATAAACTGATTGTACATATATCAGGACGCAAACAATGGGATCCAGAGTGTGTGGCTGTTTTGGAAGAGCAGAACTCTACACTTCGTGCACAGGTAGCACAGCTGCAAGCTGACCAAGCTTCATCTTTAACGTCGTCCGAAAATCCTTCCGGTACTTTGTCGTTGGCGAACACGACGAAAGCTCCAAGCTTACCTTCTCATCAAGCCAATGTTTTGGTCGGGGAGCAAAGGAATACGGCTCGTACAGAGCTCCCGTTGTTTTCTTCAGCTATCAATGATATTGCCACACTAGTGTGGAGACTTGACCTTGGTGATAAAGGAGAGCCTATGTTCAGTAGACCATCTGGTAATTTCTGTATTCCTTCCTCCGCTGATGCAGCTGTAGCCAGATCTGAAGCGCGTAAAAGGCCACAGGTATTCAACAACATGATGCCCATCTACGACGCCTGTTACAACCTGAGCTTGAAAATGAATCTCATGAATTTGTTTCTAACTCAGCTCAATCCTGTACATCAATTTATTCCTCCTTCTTACAAACTATATCCTGAACTTTATCCATTTGATGAGCCGGCGCTGGATCTTTTGTACGGGTCTGTTTTTTGCGGCAGGAGCTCTTTTTTGAACGGTTCAGGAAGAGAGGAATGCTGGAAAGGAGTTTGAAGAGTGCATGGATATGAATTCGGTTAAGGCTTGTCGTGAACAACCCTCACTACCGGTGGTTCAAGCACTCAGTATCATTGCGTGGAGGGAATTGCGTCAGGAACATAATAGTTGTGCCTCTCTGTATATCTGTAAGATGTTTTCTCCAAATCTGTATAATCTTGCTAAATTGTCCTCTTCAGCTATGGCCGGTGGTCTTGCTATGGGTCTTAGTCTCCATGCCATTGGTCTAGGTGCTCTTTCCAAGTCTGACACTTCCAAAAGACTTTTGGAACAAGAGCAGGAAAATCGACTCAGAACGTTCTGGTCATTGTTCTTTATCGATCGGTAAGATTTTATTCATCTTAAAGTGCCCATGACAACATCTCCACAGACACTCGATATTAATGCTATCTTCTTTAGAACAGCTGCCACTATGCTTGGCATCAGTTGTGTAGTTCCCTGGCTGCTAGTTTCCATCTCCACGGCCGCATCTATACCACCACGTTCCGCCCTCTTCCTCCAAATGTCTTACCAAATGTCTCTTCTCATGATTCATCGCCCTTATCTCGGTGATCCACCTGCAAGTGACTCATTTTCACTTGCCTTCGCGACAATAGCATCTGCTGCGATTCGCATGACTCAATATATCCACTTATTCCGCAAAAGCTATCTAGCAGAACCCACATGCACACTACCATCTTTGGGAAATGACAAACAGGATAAACCTACAGCGGCTCTTCCATTTATCGTCCATCATATCCTCACAGCATCCATCGTGCATCATCTCTTCAGGACCTCACGCACGCCAACTCAAATATCCCTCGCGCGCCGCAGACTCCAGATTTGCATGGAGACTTTAACGGCTCTACAGAATGAGTGACCGGTGGCTAGTAAAGCGATCGCACAAATCCAAGAGCTGGCTGTGCAATGGAATTTCGTTGCTGCATTGCCTCTAAAGTGGAGTTTTGTTGGCGAAATATCCCAGCCGAACACAATATCGACGCTGACAAATTCGATCTATGTTCAAGCTGATACAAGCAATTCGATTCAAAACTGTTCTGATACGACTCAACACTCTACGGTCAATCCATCAGAAAAATTCGATACCAATACAATCCTAACATCAGAAGTTATCGCGGGTAGTCACGACGATATCTGTGATCCTCACACGTTTCTTCCATACGTCACTGACTCGGCCCAAGAATTGGATCCAGATCTCTATACTGCCGCTTTCTCGACAGAAGACGGAGATGAATTGTGGATGGGCCAACTTGATTTCATGCTCAACGAAAATGCAAACTCAAGTTCTTTGTGGAGGGATTCCTCTCCGTTTCCTGGGGTTCTTAGTCCTGCTCGTGAGTTTGACTTTGGGAGGGGTATTTTTGATGTTCCGGATTTGCAGACGCATGATTCGGCTCAGATGGGTTAGATACCTAGGTTAGGGTGATTGAGTAATTTGATTGTAGTATAGATGTCTTTGCGAGAGGGATCATGTGGGATAATTTCATGGGATTTCTTGATTTCATGGGTTGAGTGGCCCAACAGAGCATTGGTACGATTTTGATTTTTGAATTGGTGGGTGCTGAATACAAGGTATCGCGTGTTTTTACCCTAGTTATACGTAAACTGGATCTAGAATTCTCACTTGGACTCTAAATTTCATCCATCACACACAAGCCCAATATATCATCCCTTCCCCTCACCTCTCTCCCGCTTCCCTCGCCGCCTCCGCACCCTCCGCATCCAGCGCCACAATCTCAATCTCCACTCTCATCTCCTCATCCCCCAGTCTCGCCACTCCCACACACGTCCAAATGGGCGCGTGGTGCGGCATCCACATTTTGAAATTCCGCGTCATGGCCGCTGTGGGGATCCTAGCCTCCTGATTTGTGGGGGTTAGTGTGGATGGAAGGCAGGGAGGGAGAGACGGGATTGGGAATTGAGAACGCGGATTTGGATTTGGATGGCTGGAGAGGGAATTTATGGGTATGTGTATATGTGGTGCTCTGGTAAATGAAAATTAATCAACGCACCCTGGCCTACGCACTCGATGCGATCGCCTACTCGAACGGCTTGGCTGTAACCGTGCTGCTTTAGTTTTTCTGCGCCTTCCGTGGGATATGCATAGTATTGGAGTTCGGACATGGTTTTGGTGTGTGTTGAAAGTCAGGGAGGGGATTGGAAGTAAGATATGAGATGTAATTGGAATGAACGATGATGTGGAAGTTTCAGGGAATTGGATTTCTAATTGAGATTTTATATGGGTTAGGAGGACGAGTGATGAGTTTTATATTACTTGGGATCGGATCTTGAACTATCGTGTTTAAACTTAGACTTGGAAGAAGCTGGAATTGTTAATTCCGCCTGCTTTGTAAGTTGGATTGATAGAGTAAGTATGAGTCCCTTTGTGCATAATTAATTATACAGAAGCAATAGAACAGATTAGATTTGACACTATCAGGTAAAGAAATCTCAATGCCCAATCGTGAGGTGAATTACCTACTTAGGTCGTCAAATTCTATCTGGGCGGAATTGCAATGCCGCCGCTAAATTGGATTCCCGCCTGTGCTTATAATTATTCGGAGGTCGTGTTTCGGGTACCAAGGTGTGAATGGTATGGTATTTAATAATTTTTTACTTTGTTGAAAAAAGGAAAATTTGGTTTTGTGGAATTTTATACTAGGTAGGGATTGATATGGAGGTTTGTGTATTTGGTTACCTACCTACTGACTGGTATACTGTACATTGAGATGTCAATTTAAAGTTTTCAATACGCTCGCTTAGACGAAGCTTAGATTGATCTTCATTGGTTGCTCATGACGATTCTGATTATTATTTCTTTCGTTTTTGTTTTTTTATTTATAAAAAAAAAAGCTTAAAATTATATAAGAGAGAATGGATTTTATTGATACAGGTAGATTGGATACTTTGAAATAATTTAGGTCAGCTGGGAGTCGCAAGTAGATATTCTGAAAACGAGGAATGAGATTGAATCTCGTCATTTGAACTTAACCCACCCTTATTGAAGTGAGATATCTAGATGAGGCTTCTGGATGTGAAGATCATGAGTAAGGTGAGATTCCTTCATATATCAAGGTCTGCTCGAGCAGTAATAGTACGATTCTGTTGCTGATAATACGAGGTTGTTGTACGGATAGAAATAAATATCCATTCGTGTTGCTCGTAAGGCCGAAGTTATGAGTAGAATTCGATATTGATATACTCTCTCTTAAGGAATTTCTATTAGATAGAGATGTTTGCATCTGTTTGATTGAGGATCTTGGATTCTTAGATTTACTAATGTTGAAGTATGGAAAGTATGTATGGGGATATCCAAAACTGACTCTGAAACTCCTAACGGTGTGAGTACTAGGGTCCCTTGAAAGTTGAAATCAATATACATATGTGTGTGTATATGTCCCCGGGAAGGGCTTCAGATAGCGAAGATAACAGGAAAGTATATTTTCAGAATGTCATCTCCTTGATTAATTCCATAACCTCTTAAACGAATCGAGTGAGTAGGCGGAAGTAGTGGGTCAGCTCAGTACCATCTCCGCCTTGGCTATCTACTCATCGTAGATTTATTTGTTAATACCGTGCAAATATGCTATCAGTATTATCATAGTCAGGATTATCTGCTACTCGTTTTCATACTATCGCAATATCTTGATCCTAAGTACTTTCGGTTGAAGATTCGGAGCTTGCACTTGATTGCACAAAGAGGATTATATACACTCAAATCATATCAGAACTAGAGCTTTGATGCTCATCATTCTTCTTCAACTCTTGCTTTATTTTAGTCTCCCTGAATCACTTGTATGTTTGATAGTGTGATGCAGGCTACCTCTACACCTCCTCATAACATGAACCTCGAAGAAAAGATATAATTACGACATGAGTTCTGTGAATAATATGTTCTTTATCTGTTTTAAAGATATATTATATACCTAGATACTAAAATATACTTAATCATTCCACTTCATTTGAAATATTAGAACTTGCTCCAAGATGAGATAGACAATAAATATATAAAGTTTTTTGAAAGGTGTTCAATAGATTCTTGCTCTCATAAAACAGTATGATTATGAATGCCTACAGCTATTTCATCAACAACCACTTCTGAAAAGCTACGAAATTCTCAAAACACAAAGTCATTCCTGAATTCCCAAAACCAGTCGATATGAACTCCTCCACTCGGTATCCGACATTCAGATACTGGCTGCTCGACAAACCCACCCAAAGCCACGATCACCACCAAAACTGACATCTTTTCTTCCGTATATCCTGAACCGTCCACCCATAAAGTCGAAATTGAAATAGAAAGTCGAAAACAGTCGGATATATGATCAAAATACTCTCCCCAACCCGATCCTAAAGGCGTTCAGCCGCAACTCTAGTCTCAAGTCTATTTCCATATTAATTCGACTTCTTCATCACAATCCCAGGTGTTAAAACACAAAAAGCTTACTGTGTCAATTTAGCTTTGAGCGCTGCGTTTTTCTCCTTCAATTTGATATTTTTTTCTGTGCCTCTTCGAGATCTGCTCTGAGAGCCTTCTTCTCGCCGTTTTTCGCGAATAATGCGAGCATTCTGTTAACGCAATCGAGGAAGAACCACTTTCCTATGAGGTTGTAGAGTGCTTAGCCGATGGTCATGGTCATGGGGATGATGTTGTGGGACAGAATCGAAACCAGGAGAAGGCAATAAAATTGTAGATGGATGGTAGGAAGTTGTTATGGCGAAGATAATTTTGGTTTGGAATCATGAAGACTGATGGCTTTGAAGTAGTTGGAAAAGTCGCTTTATTGATACTGTTCTCAATTTTCTAGCAACGTGGCTTTAGAGATAGAGTCACGAGAGTGAATGATTTAAATACAGTTTTCAGATGTTTTTTGATAAGACATTGTAGATATTCATTGAATTCTTAGCATCGTTGCGTCGCCGTGATCTGGTGATATATTTTCGTCTTAGATTGTTTTATTTACTTTGATATATAGAGGTATGGATGATGAATAGTACTAATAGTACTAACAGCATCAAAAATCGAAAGTCAAAATATTGTTCTTCTTATCTTTTCTTTTTTTGGCTACTCTTTTCGATTATCTTTTTTTCTAATATATATCCTCTTCTTATCTCTTTTTCCGTTTACTCTCTTTTCTCCTCTCTCCCCTTATGAAAAATAGAACTATTCAGAAATTTCTTCTTTCTAATCTCACTACTTGATACTGAAAAAAAAACAGAATTCTTGAAATTCCTCAAGAGAAAAGCTTACTGAGTTTGATCAAATCTAACTACTGTCTTTAACTTCTCAATATTTTGAATTTTAGGGTTTTAGGGGTTTGTCCACTTGATCATTGATACTATTGATCACATAATAGTAACAGCCTTCCTCGATTGTATCATATCTTGAATCATCCGAGACTTTCACGTCGAGTCCACTTACCATCAGATATTGTATACTATAAATGTCACAGAGTGAAGGCACCGAAGAACTGTAGGGATTGAATAGTTTCAATTGATGTTGTAAACTATGAAGAGAGAAGAGCTAAGCTAAGAAAGAAATCTGGATTGATCCCTCCTTAGCTTTAATCCCAGATACGTGCTACGTGCGTGTGCACCCCTGACAATAAAACATTCTTGTTACTGTCGATGAATGTTCTAAATCCCTAAGATACAGATTTCTGAAGGTCTCATAAAACTTCAAAATCCTCACCTGCCCCACTAACATTGAGTTTACCCTCTCCTGGGCCTCTTTCTAAAGGGTTCTTGATGAGAGCATCCAGAAGTTCCCTGTTTCTGAGTTTCATCTCCGCAAGCTCATCTTTATATCGATCTCTAATGACGGTTAGCAGGCAAATCCCTAAGAAGTTGTCATCGTTATTCATCAAGAATCCAATATCTTACCTTTCCGCGCAAACTGCCTCAAAATTGTACTTCGCTAATTTGAGAGCTTGCTCCGACTCCTCTTTTTTGAGATTCATAGCATGCTGTAGTTCCTTTTCTTTCATTTTGAAAAAGCCACCTAAAATCACTCCTGAGAGAAAGAGTAGCATCTTGACGGCTTCATAAGCTAAATATACTGCGACGATGTACAGAATAGTGCCCATTTTGATGAAGTAAGCTGTAAGAGGTGACGTGTTGGTAGAGCTTAGATTTGTCTGAGAGAAAATTATTTTTATTGCGATCCCTTATTGTTGAAGATTGATAATGGTTGAGAGAGATGGTGAGAAGGTATTGAATGGTTTTTGTAAAACTTTTTGGTGATGGGCGAGACGTTCTTTTGTATTCTACTTGTACTGTTGCCAACTTCCTGACGGCTCGCTTATTCTTGAACACTTAATCGTTACTTCGTGATTTCCAAATACCGTACTGCTTAAGCCGTACACGGTGTAATGAGTAGCTAATAGTAGTGTATAGATGATTAAGCTTTGTTTTGATTAGTCATTTAATCAAGAGAACGAAATTGACTAGCTGTACTACAGTGATTTTGAAAGATTCTCGGTCGCTGTCGAACCGTGGTGATATGTACCAATGATGGATGTTTAATCATTGCTAGGATCAAGTACGTAGTACAAGAGCTAGAGATGTGCAACATATCTTTTTGAGGGGCACTATTGATTGTTTGTGTGTGTGGGACCAGCTCAGTATCGGGAGAAAGATCGAGTTTAATCCATCTAACATCTAGTAACTTGAATTAGTAATGAGCATTTCATACTTACCAGAATGAAGCTTGTCATAAACACACTAAAGAAATGCAACATAAACCTTCAACACTCTTTTATTAACATTCATTCCCAAAATACTGATTTATTACCCGCAAGACACGAAACCAACCCCATGTAGTAGTATCGACGAATGGGGGCTATCTCATACTTACCACGATACAGTATGTAATGAAAATACTAGAGATATGTAACATAAACCTTCGGGAAGCTCTGATTGGCATTTCCTACGGGAGACTAATTTAGTATCGCGCGACGGATGAAATAAGTCGTACGCTAAGGAGAAAACTTATACTGATAGCATCGAGACTCCCAAAGTACATTGTTTTCTTCTAGATTGAACTGAATGTGAGGAATCATAGTGTCTAGTCGTAGAAATACTGAGTTGTTTGGTTCACAGTGGGGTAGACGTGGCTATTCGACGTCATTCTTAAGAGGATCGGCTGAGATCTGTGCAGGAAATTAATTAGCGAACAGTAGCCTCCCCATTATTGCATCTTTTTGCGTTCACTCATGATTCGTGTTCTGGATGAGAAGTTTGAAATATTTTGTAAGTTTTGTCTACTTAACTGGCAACTTTGATATGGCAAATGCTAACAACACTGATAAATCTGAAATTTATTCTCTAGATTTATTGAGATTTGTGTTTTGCCAGCTCAGATTATAGAGAATCTCCACATTCTTCCTCACAGTACAGAAATCTATAAGATCCCCAGTATATGTGTTCCAATGGCTCTTCGTCTCAAAGTCGTCAGATTGTTGAATCGGGATACAAAAGCTATCCAGCAAGCGCACACCAGTCGTAGAACAATTCGGAGAAAGGGTATTTCACATCAAGATTCCTTCATTCATCAAGCACATGTATATTTCGATTCGATCCCCTGCCATTCGAGTTAATGTTTGGCTCCGTATTATTTTCGAAGAAAGCGATCATCTTACTCATTCAGCTACTTAAACATCTGTTTAAGGTACCTAGACTTTGAAACCGGATCCATAGGTTTATTACTGTTCAAGTGCTCATAGTCTTCCTCTCCCGCCTCAAAAGCCTTTTCCCAAGCAGGTAATTGTGCAGGCGGACCAAGTGCCCTAGGATTCTCCCGATAGAACTCTTTCAACAAGTATGGCGAGGTTTTGAAGTCGGAGATAGGATACCATTCTGGATCTTCTTCACGATAGCCAACCCAAGACGCTCGAACGTATAAACTCTTCCACTTCTTTTTTACTTCGAGAATTTCTTTGACCTCCCATTCCTTGTTTTTGTAGTCTTTGGTTGATGCTCGCGCTTTGGTGGATTGGGTGCGAGCTCCCGCTGTGGAAGTATCGGCGGCTTGGGATCGTGCCATTGCGATAATAGTGAGTATGGATGAGGGGAAATGGTTTGCTGCGAGTAAAGTCGAGAAGGTGGCTGAAGATGGGTGGCGGTGTGTGGAGACAGGTGATTAATTACAAGTGGTTGAGAAGAGAATGGTGGTTTCCCGAATAATTTGCAGATGAACGCAGAGGGAGGTTTATTTGTCGATGTCGTAAATATTGTTATGAGGATGGCTAGATCGTAGCCTTACTAGTACCCTCTCGCTACTAGAGTAAAGGTGAACTATCATTTAAACTTCGTAATATAGACTTGTGAATTATGTAAGCAATGGTGTATCATTCTCACCTCATTACTCTTACAAGTGGATACATGCTAACGTCTTGTGGTGGAGGAGATCAGATGAGAGTATATCAAATCATGGTGATTTACATGGGCATGGCTCAAGCTGTGAAATCTTTATACAAAATGCAATTTGGAACGGAAAAATCAAGGTGGAAAGGGATAGGACTGGTCTATAAATAGTAGAATATATTATTCGACCATTGTGGGTGTGACTGAAGATGGTTGGTATTATTACGTCCAGTGTCTTAGAAATATGGAAGTTTTAAGAATGTACATCTGATAGAATCTCCTGAGATCAGATCCTAGCTTCGAAGATGTCGTCAACACTCTTGTTTCAGAACAAGAAGACGATTGCATGGAATTTGAGCACGTGTTGAATAGTACAATCTTCTGTCACAAAAGAGGGAAAGTCAAATATACATATAAGAAAGTTCTTTAAAAATGTTTTGCATAAAATTTTGATACTCCAGATGTGTGGTATCTGTAAGTATATTACATTGTATGAACCCTCCCTTAAGTCCTAACAGCCCAAACAGGCCGAATCTCACGAATTGAAGGCGAGTTGGTGATAAATTCAGGTTTCAATATCGACTGATTTCCTTAGTCAAAAGATGGATCTGATCATCCCCATTGTCTCCGTTCTCTTTCAGTTCAAATACCGACCTTTTGCTGTCTAAGAGAAAAGTACATGATGGCAAGTTCTCACACTCCCACCGCGACTGCACATGCAAATCATCATCGACAGAACGTAAGCCCAGTGGCGTATTGATAATGACATACAGTGCTTCGATGTTATAATAATCAGATAATCCGTCGAAGGTGGCCATGGCGAAGTAAACTCCAAGCATCGATTCTGGCACAGCAAGACGCTTAACTTCATTGAATGTTCCATGAGTTAGATTAATCATGTCTTCCTCAGCAGATCGATCATGGGGTTCAATGAAAAGCTCATCCCATTTATCAGCAGATACATAGAGTATATCCCGAACGGGGTTGAAAGGAAGAGATAAGCGTGGGACAAGTGGATCTCCGCATATTTCGATACCATGACTGCGTGCCCAACTGAGGGTGATCTTTCGAGCCTCATGATTCACAAATAAGAGAGGCGTCTGAACGTGAATATTATCAAGAAGATCGTAGCGGAATTCGAAGTTTCTGTTCAGATCTTCAGTGCTGAATTGTTCACTGACTTCATCGTAGTAACCTGGGTCAAATTCGGTGAAAATTCGGGGTTGCCAACATCCTTTTTTGTAGAAGTAGAGTGCTGGAGGAAATTCGGAGGGAAGAGATCCTTGCCATATTTGAGTGCGCAACTCAAGAGCGAGACTGGAGAAGAGGGAAAATGTGGAAGGTGAGGTTGTTGTTGCTGTCATGGTTGTTAGGTATCGTGATTCTATGATGGTCGCTGGTGTATGTGATGTGAAAGTTCTTGAGAGTCTCTGTAAAATTAATGGAATGATAGATGCCAAGTCTTGCGAAATCTCGAATGTCTTAGACGCTGTTGAATTTCTGCGATTGCGTTTGGCCCCAGTTTCGAAGTTCTGTTTGCTCCTTATTGTGGCGCGATTTTAGTTTATGAATAGTTCCCCTTATATTATTCCTATAAAGAGTGTCTGTTGCAGTGTGGAATCACAATAGATATCGTAGATTGAAAATCAGGAGCCAGTCCTCAAAATTATCTTGTGTTGATTAGGTGAAGAACTTGAATGATGTTGAACTTGAACCTTCTTCAGAGGCCCTGGTGGGGTAGGGAAAACAACGCTAACCCGAGCTAAGCTTTAGCTTCATATGCTATGGCTCTAACTGCTTTGAATACAAACTGCTTTCGGTAAGAAGAATTGCCTTCCTTTCCTATTCATTGATTTGCTATACTTATAGAGCCTCCGCTAGCCGCAATATCAAACACCGCTAATTTGGTATACTTGTGCCGCTGACGAACAACAACCACCAGTCAAATGAGAAGGATTGTAGACCTAACCGAAAATTCACTAAATTCGTACACTAAAATAGAGGGTATTTCCGATCAGTGTTTGACACCTACTTGCAATCTGTCACATGTTATAAATCACAAATTCGAGGTCATCTTTAGTCAAGTGGATAGAGAGGTCTCAAAGCAACAGATTAGCAACCATTTTGTACACATAAAATTATGAAAATTGGCTCTGACGAACTCTGCAAAGACGGAGGCACTGAAGGACGGCAAGCTGCACTGATCTCTTCGAAAATGCTCAGAAGCCTCTGTATCAGTTTCAATTGTTGTAATGCCAGATGGTATCATTGTCCAAATCCATACACATTTCATTCAAGGAGATAATTCTACCAAGTCTCAGTAAAATTAAAAGGTAGTATGAATCGCAGATAATTTCCGTATCTTATTTTGTTGGAAAGATCCCCTGCTAAGCTTTAAGCCATCAGAACTCGATGTATTTGTAGGAATGGAATAATGTGGAGTTTTTATGTTAATTGTTTAGACGAGGGGTTGCGATGAAAGTTATACCGAGCAAGCTGTGAAGCGAGAATCTCGTTCGAGGAGGGGTGTTGACTTCATTCTCAAGTCCCACGCCACAGTCTGACGATGGCATCCAGCCTTCTCTCCAAAACCTGTCACATTGCAAAATTAGTAGGAAATACCCCCCTTTTCAAAGATTCGCCTATCATCTGAATTAGTACCGTACAAAAAGAATCCTGGAATAACCGTAGCTGCACCCTCATTCAAACTACGACGTAGGGTATAGTCTACGGTACATTCATGCAAATTACGGTCGATAGCTATCTCATCTCTATCTCATCTCAAGATGGCCTTCTTTGCCAGAATCCACCGTAAAATGTTTATAGCATACCGTGCCTAGTTACGCTCCGAACTTGTAATTTAAGATATGCTTTTCGAGACAATTTTCTTTACTATGTTCGGTTTCATAAATTGGCGTGAACAGCGCGATCTTTGAAATCAATACGCACCGTACATGATTTGTGCGAATACACAGCACCTAGATGAAGATATAAGTGTCTTGCACCACCCAGTGCAAAAAAGATTCCTCTAATCTTTTACAAGAACATCATTGAACCAAGGTACATTGACGAAGCTCATTGACAACATACCAACCACTTCGATAGATCTTCAGAACAACTCTCATAACAAGCCACCGTTCGTCATCCATCAGCCTCACTCACACATTCTCTGCCAGTCTTCCTCCCAGAACCACTCATCCTCAAGAAACAGATCTCCAAGCTCTTCTTCCTCGCCTTCATCCTCTTTGCAATCAACGCTTTAGCCATGCGTCTAAACTACAGCGCCAAGTACGAAAACGGCACAGTTGCAACTTATACATCCAAGAGCGCCGGGAGAATCACTGACGCAGTCGGGGACAAGATCATTGCCAATATACACACATGGTCCGGTGGTAAATATACCGTCACTAGGAGAGAAGAACAAAATTTGATCACGGTCAAAAATGTAGTCCCAGCGGCGAATAAGTGGATCGGGAGTGATGAGATCAAGGAGATGCAGAGTATTGTTAACAAGAACATCAAGTAGAGGAACTGAGTGATAGGATGCTGTTTGGAAAGTCATACTGATGAATCCATCTGAGATCTCGCTTGCACTGCAATGGTCCAAGGATATTGTGTGCGCATCGATCGGGGAACTTCTGCCCCATATAATCGAAGTGGTTCCATTCTTGAATTGCGGATTTGGGATTTGAAAGGTCTTCCCGTATGGAGGGACATTGTTTGGTATCTCAAACTAAAAGTCATTCTAAGCAAAATTTGCTCTCCATCGAAAAATTGCGGAAGCCGTACTTATTGTTTGTATGAGAAGGATACGAAGACGCGGTACTCACACATAGTAGGTCCCAAATGTCTAATTGTATTCTATCTAAAGAGCTAGCTATTCTACAGAAGATAGTAGGCCTTAAATAAGGGCTACTAAAAGAGCTAGTCTCTTTTGGGCTTAGTACGGTTGCCATTGAATTGAAGTCATTCACCTATGTTCACACACTTATGGACATGTATCGCGAGATTGGCCTGATATACTTGATTAGTGTGTTCACACATTTTTTCTTATCTTAGCAGTAAATCAAGGTTGAACACAAGGAATAGTACGAAAGAAGGAGGTCGGGCGAGAAGTGTGATAGGTATAAATGAAAGTGGACTATGTACAAATGAAATAACAAAATAAAAATTGATCTATTGCATACTCGATCCCGTAGAGTAACTGTTGTGAGACCATATGCTCATTTTCCTCTAGCAGTGATCGCTATCATTTTGTCAAAGCCTCCATCTCAGTGACTGATAATCTTTCCCCCTTTACAACGCGAGCCCTCTTGATGAATCTCCCCGGATGAATAATCAGGAATATTAAAACCACCAAGAACATTGGCGCAGCATCAAATATATAGAGAAAGATTTCTTTGTCTCCAATTGTCTCCTTATGTTCTCCAGTATAGGTGAGAGTTCCATCATCATTCCTCGTAGCAAATTGAAATCCTCCACCACTTGCTTGCTGCGCATACTCAATTGCACGCACCAAGTTTCGAATGATGAGTAGTACGCTGACTGCGTACAAAGCTCGAAAATACTTCTTCCACCCCTTTTCGAGTTCCGGATAACGAAGGCTACTTGGATGATTTTCTTGACTTTTGTCGAAACGGGAACCGATACGCCAGGCCATGTATAGAAAGAAGAAAAATGCTACGATTTGGAATATGAGACCGCCGAGAATGACTTTGTTTCCAATAGATATGACTGTTGCATCACCAGAAGCTTGAACGCCTGCTCCCAGAAATTGACTAAAAAAACAAAGCACGTCGATCAGAACGTAAATCTTGGTCAACCAGCGTGGGCTAATCATCGAATACTCTTCTGCTCCTAGGGCTACGGTGAGGCGCGCGAGAGTCATATAGACACTAGCTGCAAGAAAGGTTGGAGCGCCGAGAATGAGGATCATTTGCAGGATCCAAGGACCAAGATTGCTGACATTGTCGTGGCATTTACTCCGTCCATAGTACCCAAATACTTCGCCTGTGGCTGTTAGCTTATTGAATACGAATATCTGACCCTTGGTAGAGAGACTCGAGTTGTCTGCATTTCTAGACATTAGTACTTACATAGGCCACCTAAGATAAAATTTATAAAGTACCATGACCGCAATGGAAACATGTAGATTATGTGTGCCAGAGTACATAATGCGAAGAGTGCCATAAACCCGTAGGCAGCGGATCCGGATGGGTTGTAAGTGAAATATATGGCGCCTGTGATGTTCCCCCCCGGACTCTGGATGAGAGTGATATCCATGACCTATTATTATTCAATTTGCTCTTTCTGAAAATTGGACAAAATATAAGTAATGTCGTGAAAATGGAATGAGATGTATGAAATTGGGAAAATTGCAAGCAAGATAGAAGTTGGAAAGAGAGAAAAATTATAAGGTGTTAGAGCAGAGATAAATATCTTGCTATTAAATATCAAATTGCCTTGGTGACGGCCCTCACTTACCATTGTGGTAAGCTTATACGCAGTACGAGAGTTGGTGATCCACTTGTATCCTGACATCTGGACCGGATACTCTAGCCCTACCAATATGAAGTGCCAGATAGCCAGTCAGGAGTCATGACTAGCAAGATTGATTTCCTTAAGATGATGACCAGCACGGAGACCTCATCGGCTTCTATTTTAGGACCTTTTGTTGTTATTGAATCATCGGCAGTTTGCAACGACAGGTTGACAGTTTGTAGGGTACCTCATCATGCAAGGAGTGGACCAAATTGAGACGATTCGAAGTGAAGCGTTGTGTCAACTGCCACTAAACAGAAGTCAGAGGTGAGAAATTGCGAAGCTACTCCAAACACACAACATACAGAGGTTGCCTGCTCGGCCACCCCCTTCTCGGAAAAAAGATAATTTTATAAAATCGATTCAGACTGTCTAACCCGAATCGACCAAGTCAGCGATTGCTAATCCATATTAGGAAGTCATGTACGAGTACGCTCGGGAATGCACAGACCCAAATGAACGCCAAACTCGCCTACTAGCCAAGAGATTCTGCACAGCGCCAGATGTGGGGCAACAAGCTGCAACCTTATTTTTCGTATGACATTTCCGAAAGCAGCCATATATACGTGTGTCCCGCTCCAAGATTCGACACAAGCTTGTCAAACAAACTGCAAGAGTAACGCAGGAAGGAAGAAAAGCCACATTAGCTTCCACATTTCAAGTATTCAATTGATCGTATTCAAGGCCCAAATAGTACTTGATAAACGGAAGGCGAAAACCACTGTCTCTGTTGTACCGTCTTCCGCATAGCGACGACTTCTCTGGGCATCTCTTCATTGGTTGGATTACCAGTGACCGAGGCCTAGTTGCGTATACACCTTTCCCGAGTCTGAGGTACGGCTTCACAGTTCGATAAAGACCGATGATCCGAAGACCTCACAAGAAGTCGCGCAATGGGTGTCATGGTTGCAAAAAGAGGCGAATCAAGGTATGTTTATAGCATTCTTTAACTATCTATTGTCCCCTTTTATTTTCCTCAAAGATTTGAATACAAAGTCAAGCATGTCGATTTTATCCACCCTGCGTCAATCACTGACATTATTTTGCTTCTCATCGAAGTGTGACGAGGAAAAGCCCCGCTGCCAGAGATGTGTCTCACGTGAGATCACATGTACTTACCCACGATTACAATCTCTAATCTGGGTTGATGGCCCATCTACGCCAGAAACAAACAGTAAAACATCAAAAGACAGTGGCCCATCACCTCCAGCTTACAGTTCGACCCCTCAAAATGAAGAAGCTTCAACTTCGGACACGAAAACTCCGTCCCTCAATCTTGAAAACTTAGATCTGATAATCCACTGGTTCACGAAAACTGTGTACACAGTAAATCCACCCAATAATGTCGATGCCATTCAAAAATCACAAACTTTCATCTTGCGTGAAGCAGTGGAACATCATTTCCTTCTCCACGGGCTCCTTGCGTTATCAGCACTTCATTACGCAGAATCCCATCCAAACCCTCAGAAATATATCGAGATCGCCACGGCACATCACACCCGAGGGCTTACTCTTTACCACTCCATCCTTTCAAATATGAACAATGGAAATGATGTTGCCAGTATTGCTTTCTCGAGTATTACTGCTATATTTGCTTTTGGTCTCGCGAGGCCCGACGCAAAGAAAGAGGCTTCAGTGGGATTGATTGACGACATGGTTCAAGCTATTTCCCTATCTAAAGGTTGGCAAACCATTATGCATGTGACACGGGGACTAGAGCCCCCTTCCCCTCAAAAATATCAGATCACTTTGTCACCGGATGCAGAAGCTGCTTTTGATCGACTATATGCTTTGAGCCAAGGCCAAAATGCAACACTCTATACAACAGCAATCACTTCTCTAAAATTCATTTTCAAGAAGACAGAAGATGGACAAAATGATAACCCGCATCTATCCTGTGAATGGGGAGGCTCATTACAAGAAGAATTCTTGAAGTTGCTCAGGGCTAAAGATACTGTTGCTCTAGTGATTGTGGCATTTTCTTGTGTGATGTTCGAAAAGGTTCCGCAAGTATGGTGGTTTCAGGGTTGGAGTAAGGGGCTTTTTGGGGTCGTTTGGAGGGAAGTTGGACACAATTATCACGAGGTTTTGGAATGGCCGAGGAGGATTGTTGGGTTTGAAATATAGATGCGAATGTATTTAAATCGCGGATTCTGGCGTTGGGAAGCATTGAAAAATTGAAATAATTTTTCAATATTCAGGGACAGCAAAGAATTCTAACGGTCGCAAGAATTCACAATCGGCCTTGATAATACGCAATAAATCTTTTAGTATAAATAGAACGCCTTCAATTTAAATGGCCATATATATTGCAACGATGTCAAAATCCCCATATTTGTTTCCAGAAATTCCCAACAATTTCTCGGCTCCAGTAGAGGCTCAAACAGCCAGCTATGGAAACCCCTTCTTCATTCTAATAATCTTGTTTGATCTGCCGGCCTCTTCTCAGAATAATATCTTACGAAATCGCCATAAAGCATTAGAGAATTGAAATGAATCTAAAATATTTTGTATTCAAAATATGCCCTTGCATTCTAAATCGGTCCCATCACTTAAGATAGAGACGCTGAATAAATTAAAGCGCGGGCTCTAAATACTACCATCAATAGTGAAGAATGAAGCTTTTGAGGTACTAACCCGAATTGGAATTTGCGTATGAGTTACGGGAAGGATCCGGTTGGACGGAGATTAGATGGTAAAGAAATGACAACGAATTTCATTCATTGATAATAGTACTCTAATATTTTTTGTGAGTCGCGAAGCCCGAAGAATACCATCAAACTGCCTCCGTTTTTAGCGATTATAAACAGATATGTGTAATTGAATACAAATACAAGTAGCTTTGGAAACTGCGAGGTAAAGTTCGAAACAAATTGCAGTCGTGATATCTCTATACAGATTGCTTACTGACGAGCTGTAAAAACCGGGCGAGTCAAAACAGTGTGTTTTAAGCTCTTTATATCATCTGGCCATTGCCATGAGGCGACGATGATAATGACAATAAGATTGCTAGGAAAAGAACCAAGCCCGGAAAACAACAACAAAAATCTACACCCCGAAACATCGACGGAATCTCAGTTGATATCTACCGACAGTATAGCCAATTACCAACTTCCATACCCTTGATGCTACTACATGTTACGCAAGAAAGGGCGCAAAGACTTCCTGGAATCTCATCTTCAAAATGTATGGCAAAATTATATTGATATCATATCCGTTTGAGACGTATTTATATAGCCAGCTTTCAATAACGTTCGGAATTGTCTGGAAGCGAATCATTCAAACCCCAGAACTTGAACCAGCTCTCCTTCTTCAGATACCCCACCCCTTTTCAAAGAAAAAACTGCCCTTAAACACATATAAACGCCATAATACACCTAATTTACTCATGATCGGCCGTTAACATCAGCTTTTCATACAACAGATGCATGATATAGGAGAATATTGTGCGACAATCAAGAATCAATAGTGAGAAGAGGGTGAGAAATTGAGATATTTATTTGCATATAGCATGTGCCAAGTGATTGTCTCTCATTCAGACGAGTATGTGTATGTATGTGGTAAATTTTGTAATGACGGCATAGATTGCTAGCGGTGAAAATGGTGTTATGAGATGAATACCTTAGTCATAGCAGGAATAAAGCGACAGCCAAGCGTAACGACAATTAAGCGAACAACAGTAATACTAAGTAAGATACCCACCAGCTTCAAATTCAAGCTCGAAATCACGAAACCTTATCAGGCTCTCATGATTTGTAACTTGATTTCTCACAGGGAAGATTCAACTACTGACCGGAGGCCACTCCCACCAAAAGCAAAGGTTCCAAAACGTATTTATACACCCCTTAATCTCAATTCTCGGCAAATTTTTCTCGCGACCACTCAAAGCGCATCGTCCAGGATGGAGAATGTCCATAATCTCCGGAATTCCCACCATTGCCCTCGTCGTCGTCCCCCACCTCTCTTCACAGCAAAACAAACAGCAAAAAAGCAAAAATAACATACAACAGTGGGGATTCGCTGGTGGTCACCCACCCAACTACTAATCCACCGATCTGAAGCTTGTGTATGGCAGAGCGGACGGGATGCCCAATTCTCTTCAGTCTATGGTCGTATGTGACAGAATTTTGCATAAACAAAGATATATTTCTCAACACTGTGTGGCAGCCCAGACATATGGTTCTGAGAAACATCAGATGATTCAAAACTATATCAGACGGTCTGGTTTCAATTGGACAGGTACTCTAGTATATTTCAACATTCAGAACATTCTCAAAAATGGCATCCAAACATTTTGAACTTCCACCCGCATTATCAAGTTAAAGAGCAAAACAAATAATATTCTTTCAATTTAGTAAAGTCAATCTGACCTTTTTAGTCTGTCATCTTTTCGTTCTTTTGGTCACTGGGTTACAATCTCTAGTCTTCAGCCACTGAGATTACAGCGGTACTTATGTAGCATATCGCTACTGAGGATACAGTATCACTAACATGTATGAATTACATCCCTCCTCTTACCCCAGTAAGAAATACACGACTTCATCGCTATTCTCCTATCCTTAGCGCCGGGATGTCGATCCACCAGTGCGTGATAAAGATGGAACAGATTGAGCAGCTGGTTTCCTACTTCCACTACTTGATTGCTTTGCTGGCGGTTTTGCTTCTGCTCTGCTAACACTCTCTCGTGGGTGTGGTTTAGCTCTTGTTTGTGAATGTCCTGGCGGATGTGTTTTTACTTTGTCACTACTTTCTAATTTCTTTGCTGGTGGTTTTGATTCTGCTCTCTTATCACTCTCTCGGTGTTGTTGTTGTCCATGACTCCCAGTTCTTGTTTTCGAGCTTCCACGATCACGACTATTTTGTGTTGGTGGTCTTTCTTTTACTTCAGTTCGTTCTTTTCGAGACATATCATGCAATTTGCCTCTTTCTCTATTCTTTTCTGCATATTTTGATACAGAATTTGACAAAGATTCGGGGCTGCTTGTATGAGTTGTAGCGGGTACAATTCCATACATTCTAACTGCGGACAGGGACTCGGAGTTGTAAATCAAATTACCATCTGTTCTGGGTTTGTACCCCACCATCATCTTAGTCAAATGTAGAATGCTGCCAGCCATATCTGCTGGTTGCCAGAAGTTCTCGAACTTTTGCCAGCCGCGTGCATAAGAGAACTTGCCGAAATCAGTCGCATTGGCCTTCACTAACCTATCACTCTGTCTAACAAACTCAGTACGCATGAGTCTCCGCTTTTGCGCAAGCTTTCCCCCTGTCCAGAGCCTATCGAGATTGATGTAGATGTCGTCGATGCTACTGCATTCTTCTATAGTCTCAGACGTTACAGCTGCAATTCGCTTGCGAAACTGCAGGCCTGTCCATTGTTCACCGAACCGTTCTTCGTCCCCTTCCAGCTCATCGACTTGATTTTGCTCTAAAAATGCGAGGTTGACCAGCCCTGGGTAAAAAATTATGAACTTTGGTTGCAAATATGCCAAGAACCGCTCATTTTCATATGCTGAGCTATTTCCGTCCCATAGAAGTTTGTTAGGACAAACATTGACAGTACTCCAGGCGCGATATGTCAGCCCTGTGGAACCTTTCCATTTTCTTTTCTCCACACAGTGCTCAAAGTTGTTGCGGAACATATCTAAAGCGCCACGCACCGTGGGCCATCGCGTCCCAAACTTTTCTATAAGTTGCTTTTCATCGGGTGTGAAGGGCTTATCTACTTCACTACTGTATGGCCAATCAGACGGATCTGCAGCAGTTCTCATCTGCTCCGTAAGATATTTCTGAGTTTGCAATCCTCGTTTTACATAATAGTAGACAGTATCTAATGTTTTTCGAACCTCCTGGGGATTTTTGTGGATTGTACCGTTTAGGAACTCTATGATGTCGGTTTGCCCAAGCGAGATGAAGAGTCGTAAGACCCTGAGAACTTCGGGATCCTTGATACGCCTCTCAACATCTGGAGATAATGAGATGGGGCTTCGGTGCTTCATTGTTCGTATTAAAAGTGTTACTCAATGGTACATTCGGTTTTTATTCAACGTTCTCGCACGTCTTAATGATATCTCTTAACGTTGGAACTTGTTGAATGGAGACCAAGTAATTTGATGAGACTATTGTTACACTACGTATACTAGTTATACTTATACCACCCACCAATATTGGTTTACAGATCTGGCAGAATCACAACAATATTCACTGTTGCCTACAAATCCAAAGGAGGAGTTTACAGCCGTGTACCAGTATGGCCTCCGCTACGACATGCTCTCCAACCAAAAGTTCTATTTTCTAACGATCTCTTCTTGTACGTTCAAATTCTTCGATGACTCGATTAGGCTACTCAGAAATTATCTTACTTACGAGTAATCTGCAGACAATGTTCTCTGTAGGTTATCGACAAGATCTACTACATACTCTGCAGAATAATTCTTGTATAAAAGTAGTATAACACCAGGATAAATTCAAGCTTCGATTGTCAACATGCCTTGAAGTTACCCCCAGATTATCTGGTTGGACTTCTCAATTATCTGCTCTGTAGGCAGACAATCTGCACATTATTTGCGAGGCTCATTACCTGCTCCGCAGGTATCCATTGAGCAGCCTGAACTCGATCAAACTTATAATGGATATTATCAATTTGACGACCGTTTATCAGGCCTTTTCTAAATACTGTAACCGGTTGTCTGACCCTCTCTGAATGCAGAGCTATCCATGATCAGGCAGCAGTGATATAATAGGCAAGGTATCCGGAAGTCCGCGTCTATCAAAATATAAGATTAAATACAGATCATTATCAGTATGATGTTGAAAGACCACAGCCCAATTTTCTCTAGTCTTTGGCTGTATGTAATAGGTGACGCTTTACTAGTGAATATACAAGCCAAGGGAAACAAGCTTAGAAGCAAATTGAGGTTGAACAAAATCTTTTCTACCCTGTGGTGGCAGAATCCGTGGTTGACGAAGTGATCCTTTCGTAATTGCCATAAATTCTACAATACCTTCATTATGTATTGAATAAATCGTTTTTAAAGTATTAATATAATTAATCTGATCGTCGTATGTGACGAAAGTTTTTTATTTTAAAGGTACTTCGTCGTTTTCGATGGAATTTATCGCCCCTTTTTATATTCAAATTCAAATATCATTATTTTTTATCACATCTGAAACATATATTCATACACAGATCGGTTATCACATTTTGAACCATACATTTATATAAAAATTTGAGAGTGTATAAATTAAGACCTTATATGAATCGCAAGATTACAAGTAAAAAACACGTAAAAATAGTACTATAAGTTCTGCAACCAGCTCATCCCTATTTCTCCTTATTCCTTTTTATCTCTGAGATTGCGATGCCTCCATCATCAAGTTTCTAGATCGTGCATCTGCTCGATTTCTTTCCCGTATTCCAACACGATCACTCCTCCTTTGTTTGATATCTGGGATTGTCAGAGCATCCTTTTGAATCTCCTTATTCTTTTGAGTCGAACTTCTGCCTCGACTATTTCGATCAAGTGCTCTAGGTAGAGAAAGCTCCAATGCATCATAGCTCTCTTCTATCGCATCACAGCAACGAGAGCACATCATCCTCCAACCTCTCCCCGCCCTTTTCAAGCGCAAATTATTACATCCCCTTTGTGTACATTTCCCTCCATTTTCAAGAGGCTCTTCATCAATACTATCTTGTCCACCAATACTCTCTTGTCCATCAATACTATCCTGTCCATCAATACTAAATTGTCCACCAATACTCTCTCGTCCATCAATACTTTCTTGCCTCTCGATATCTGACGGATCCTCGGTTTCCAGACTGCTCCCCTCGAGATCGTGGATGGGTTGGGGTTGTGATAGCAAAGTCCTCGATAAGGTTGGTACCGCTCTCACTGGGCTTGGTATCATACTTGATCCTTGAATATTCATATCGTCAGCATCAAAAAGAGGCGACAACTCCGCTTCAGCAGAATGCGTGACATTTCTCCGAATACCTCGATGTCGTTGACCTTTGAAACCAGGTATTAAACCTCTATTCTGCTCAGGTGCTCCTATGGGACATTAGATTAAATAAAACCCGATCTCTCTTAGTACAAAACTTACTCCTTGAGAAGCTCATAGAGCCTTGATTTCGATGTCTTCTTTCCTTCAGTATTGCAAGTCTCTTCTCATTGCTTTGTCTATTCTGCATGATAGCAGTACAAACAGCGTCCACAAGCCATAAATTCTCGAAGTCATTCAAATTGGGGAACTCATTTAGAGCATCGTCTCGAATGTGCTGTCGAAGAGTAGGTGGTAATGCTTTCCAATTGCGGGAATCGTCTTGCTCTCGCACACACTTCAATTGATTTTGCATATGAATCCAGAAGTGCATAAACATACTAGAATCATAGCTATCTTTGAAACGCCAAGCTAGACATCCCTCCACTGTATCAAAAATCGCCTTGAAATCCATTATTGTTCTTTTCCTGTATCCAGATACCGCTGTACTCGATATCAAAGCAACAGGTGATCTACCAATGGTGGTTGTATAAGTCGAAGGACTTCGCTGCCCAAATTGACCCCTTCGAATTGGGGTTTGAGGCAGGATTCCATTACGCCTTACTGAGGCAGCAGAAAACCGTGGCATATTGAATATAACTTCGTTTGATAATCTTTGAATGGATTGATGATATAAGTAATATCAAACTGTTATTTGGGGGGGTATCTAATACTTTTAAATATACTTGGGGTTATCATCATTCCGTATCCATATCCTAACGCCTATCCCAATCTCATTAATACTCTCTTAATGACGCTTTTGCTCATATTTAGCGCTCCCAACTCGCAAAAATAAGCGAATGAAAACAAGTAAAAACAAGTAAAAACAAGTAAAAACAAGTAAAAGCGAGTTTAAAAAAAATCAGTTTTTGTACCCTCGGAAACCTTCTTGTGTTGTGGCAAGACCAATATCGTCAATTCCTACAGCTTTTTTTAACGTTCGTTGCAATAACCCAGCGTCCCTCCCCATAATAGTGGTTCGTTTCGCGTGTCGTGCCATGTCCTGTAGAACTATATATTTTAGTATATATTTATACGAAAGGAATAAAGACCTACTATCAAAACGAACAGCTAACATCATCTCTGCAGCCTCTTGTAGCGCCTCGATTGCTGAGGATTGAAATCGGAGGTCTGTTCTAATCGTTTGAGCTACTTGTCGTATAAGCCTCGCAAACGCTGCTCGGGGTATAAGATTTGCCCAAGTGTTGGTATAAAACTTAATCTCTCTCGACAAAAGCTCTATATAGAGTTAATTTGATGATTCGACGTCTAAATTTGATGAACGATTTCTACTCACTCAGATCACGAACTCTCTTTCCATTGGATAAAACCCTTCTTGGCTTGTGTTTGAAAATGGGTATTTTAGACTTCTTAATGCTCTTCTTAGCCTTAGGCTTTCTACCAATGATAGACTTTCTTGCTCCAGTGTTTTTGACTGTTTTGCCGCTATATTGGCCCCTTGTATTGTTTGTACGATCTTCAGGTTCAATAGAGGGGGAAGATGGAGCGGGGGAGTTTTGATGAGATGGAGCGGGGGAGTCTTGATGAGATGGAGCAGGAGATTGCTCTTGAGAACGTCTTGGAGAGTGAAGGGGGGAAGGATCCGGCCTGTGGGTCGGAGCATTCTGAAGTCCTTGTGAAGCTCCTTGATTTGCCATACTCCCTGATCGCCTAGCGGTCTCTGCCCTTTTTAGTCTAGCAAGCTCCCGTAAATGCTGTCTTTGTGTTGGCATTACGAGATCCCTCACACTATTCAAAAAGGTTGAAACACTTTGCATGTAATCTTGAGCCTTTCAATAAATAAAAATGTTAGTAGCACTACTACAACAGAGTAGGGAGTCATACATACCAAAGAAAGTGATTATAATTACAATCTTTTTATTGTAATATCGTTTCAAATCAGAAAAGGGAAGCGTTTGTATGAAGGATTCCAAAATTCCGTTTGTAGAGCGAATGAAGCAAACATGATCATGTGACTCGGCATATCGTCTGTGCCCCCTTTGCTTTTTAATATTGATCGAGATTGGTGCCTACAACCAACCACCACTTCTCGAGCCTCTTTGCAGCGAAGACTCATTCTTCCTTTTAGTTTAACTTATGTTTCAAATATTAATTCAATTGAATCAAAACAATTGAAAGACACTTACGTTTCCCATCTAAGGTTGTATCTTTTAGAAGATTAAAGATGTCGCAACAATCAAAAAGCGTTGGTAGCGGAGCTCCTGGTAAACGTCGCAAAAGCGTAAATGAATATTCGTCCAATCCCCATTCTATTTACGAGCGAAAAAGGCAACAGAATCTTCCCCCTGACGTGCGCGCAGCGTATAAAGCCAAAGAGAATGCGAGAGTTAAAGTCATTTATCATATTAACAAGCTAAAAAAATCTCCATTGTATCAAAGCGCAAATGAAGATGATCGAAAAGTGTTGGAAGAGAAAAAGAAGAGAGAAATTCTTGATTCAATAAAAGTGGAAAAGTAGGTATCAGATCGTAATATTCACTAATTTACTCACTAACTTTTAATGGTTTTAGGCCTGATTCGGGGGCGAATGAGCTTATCCTAGGTGGGGCTGATTCGTTCAATCCTTTGATTGAAATCGGTAGTGATACCGATTCGCAGTCTGAAATGAGTGAGCAGGAGGAAGACGACGATCTTTTTGATTTTGAGGCTATTAGTGATAATGATGGGGATGAGCTCAGTGATAACAGCTGCCTAAGTGAGAAAGAGGGAGAGGAAGAGATAGATGAAGAGGAGGAAGGAGAAGAAGATAGTGAAATGGAAATGGATATCGATGACTTCGATGAAGAGGAGGTAAAACGATTAGAGGAAGAAATGGGACTCGAGATCTCTGATGAATGGAAAGAGCGTGTCGATAATGGCATTTGGGGGAGGCCAAGTGAGGTAGATCATCTCTCCATGGGTTTTTAAGCTTTAACAATCTAAACTAACAGTAAAATAGGCTATAGCGTGGATTCATAACCTTCCACGTTGGAAGGATTATTGGAGCAAAGCATATTACAGATTGGAAGCTACTTTACAGGCTTTGACCTTCGGTGTACCATCATTGGGTTATGACTGGGTGGTTTGTCAAGGGGCAAGGTCAGTTGTTAATGATAATTTTTGCTTTTAGGCTTGACGATCTTTTTTACTTGCGCTTTTTACTTGCGTTTTTTACTTGCGTTTTTTACTTGCGTTTTTTACTTGCGTTTTTTACTTGCGTTTTTTTACCTACCGGGCAGGTGTTTTGGAATCCTCGTTAACACGCTTAGGTACCCCAAGAAATTACCACATCAATTGTTCGATTGCTCGCAAAGAGCTATTTGGCGGAATCTCTCTGTATGGGCCCCAGAAAAGTTAAATCGATTAATGAACCGGCCGAGTTCTGATCGTCTTTCCCTTCCTGGCCCGTGTGGATGGTGGGTCTATTTGTGGAAAGAGCACAAATATAGCGCAAAACGACACGGGTTCTGGCAACCAAAGCAAGCTATGATCCAGAGGAGTAAGGACGCATGGAATTTACTTTTTTTCCCGGAGGAGGGTGAGGATTCTGAAGAGTACGCTGAGCTTCTATACATTTTTTCAAAGCATGATGTAAAGAAGCCGAACGATTGTTTTTATTTGTAATTTTCAAAATAAGAGGGATATGCAGCAACAACAGCAACAACAGCAACAACAGCAACAACGCCACCGCCGATCACAACATAGATTCGAAAATTGTCCATGCAGGCATTGTTGCGGTAAAGCGCAACCTTTGAGGACTATCAAAAAACATATCAATAAAGAGCATCGCATTGATACACAAGTGAACGAAAATAGTCGAAATACTTACCTCTCTGGATCGAAGAAAGTATGTAGTTGTTGGAGACACCCAGCTGGCAAATTAGTTGATCGAGCTACCTTTTATAGACACAATCGAAAGGAGCAGCCTCTCAGCACTTACACTATCAGCAGCAATAATCGATATTCAAGAGAGGTATCTAGTTTTAATACAAATAATGAAGAAGACGATGATACCATTTGGGGGTACGCAGAGGACGAAGTCAGGAGAACACTGGATGAAACCCAGGCAATGGAGGACTTTTTAGACGAGGGGGAGGGGGGAGATACGAGAGGGCAGCAGATTGAGCTGGATGCAGATCTAGAGTTTACAATTCGAGAGCTAAATCGTATACAATATGATTCAAATGAGGGCCTGGATAGTGATAATATGGATGGTAGTGACGGATCTGATAGCAGCAGTGAATCGGATCAAATAGACTGGAGTAATCTAAGTATTTCTATTCTATTTAATAATGAACTAACCTTCAATAGATACCGAAATGCTAGTTGATTGGATTACACTCGAAACGCAAACTACACGCATTGGACAGCAAAAGATGATTGAATTTATTACGAAATATAGGGATTATATTGCCAACGCCTCCAATCCCCTTCCAAGTGTTTGGAGGAAGAATACACAGCTCCGAAACAAGACGGGTTTACAACCTGAGTGGATTGATTGCTGTATTAGAAGCTGTATGGCCTACACTGGGAGCAAGAGTGCGGACGATTCCTGTAGCTATGGGTCGTGTAGGGAACCCAGATGGCATAAAGGAACGAATAAGAGAGGAGAAAAACGTCCAAGAAAGCAATATCTCTTCTTTCCTCTGAAGGGGAGATTAAGTGCACAATTCAGGTCTTCTAAGGCTGAGTGTCTAACAACTTATAGGGCCAGTTTTGATAGAATCGAAGATCGAGATGGGAATAAAGAGTGGGGGGATGTCTTTGATGGCGATTTATATCAGAATTACCATAGGAAGAAGCTTGGTCTGTTTCAGAAATAAGACGCCCCTACATTCTGTCTTTGTAGATTAATACTAATTAGAAGTACAGCAGAAGATATAGCTCTAGCGCTATTACAAGATGGTGCCCAGATAACCAGAATCAACAATCATCATATATGCCCTGTTATTCTACTCAATCTCAATCTTCCTCCAAACGAGCGAGTGAAGAAGCAGAACTTTTTATTGTCTTGCTTGATACCAGGACCAAGAAAGGTTGGTGATTTAGATTCTTTTCTGCAACCTATGGTAGATGAGATGCTGGTTTTAGGTAAGGGTATTCATAGTCTAGATGAATATAATGGTTCTAAGCATCGGCTATACAACTCCTTTACAAAAAAGCCGTTTATACTACGCGCATGGATTATTATTGTATCTGGGGATGGTCCTGGGAGAGCTGAGGCTATGGGATTAAAGGAGCCCGGTAATGCGTATCGCCCATGTCATTATTGTATGATCTGTGGTATTCGCAAATCTAATGGTGGTTCTTATTACATCCCACACACTGCAGCTCAATTACGAGATGGGGGTCTAGAACTAAGGAATAATGTTCGATTTCAATTGAGAGAATGGGAAGGAATGCGAGTGGATAAGATAGCAAAAGGTAAATATTGGGGGTTCGCACGCAGTTCTATATTACTCAAACTCGAGTCAATTCATTTCACAAAGAGTACTGGGATTGATATAATGCATTGTATCTTACAGAATGTAGTACAGGATCTTCATCTTCTGTGGGGAGGCAGACGGTTCAATCTGGATGACGAGAAATTCTATAAGAAGAGGGTTAAAGAGTTAAAAAAGAAGCGGAAACAACAAGAAGACAAGGCATTGTTATCAACATTAAGGGGAGGAAATCCTTCGCTGTATAGAGTAAGGAATGCGACCACGTCACAGGTATCAGATTCAGAAGATATTGAACGCGATTTAGAGGATCGAAGGGAGGATGGATTGGATGAGGAAGTGTTTTTGGCACCGTATGTTGTACCAGAAAAAGAATGGCGCCGATTAGGTACTATTCAAGAAGAGGCAAGATATACAATTCCCTCGCAGCTTGGACAAGGTGCTAGACGTATAGATAAATATTGGAAGGGATATAAAGCTGCAGAATGGGAGGAGTTCCTGGTACGGGATGGAACCATTCTTTTAGCAAATCTACCAGGGTTTGAACCCTATTTGGAGAACTTCACTCTGCTAAGAGATATATATGTTTTATGTCGCAAAAGGTCGATATCGAAGGAAGACATAGACAATCTCGAACAGAAATCAAGGGAATTCGTACGAACGTTTCAAGAGTTATATTATCAGGGCAAAGAAGATCGCATAAAAGTGTGTAAGATCAATCAGCACTCTTTGCTTCATTTGGGTATGAAAATCCAATCTCTCGAATTTTTACTTGTATACAAGTAGAAAAATTCTAACGCGGAATAGCAACGCAAATTAGAGATTTAGGCCCAGGATGGGTGTTTTGGGCATGGCCAATAGAAAGATACATTGGTATTTGTAAGAGTATGGTGGTTAATATGGTCAATATGGATAAGGCTCTGTCGAATCGATTGATACAAATGGAACACATGAATCACTTACCAGAATCCAAGAGTCGCTATGGACAGAAGAAGAGCTATCTGGAGCAAGGCCTAGAGTTCCCAATAACATTCAGGGCATCTCTTGACACGAACCTAAGTCGTGTGCAACTCAGTCTAATTAAACAGCATTTTAGAGGGGAAGATTTAAAACAATGGCCAATCAATGAGGATTCTACAAAGCTCTTCAAAAAAGCGAGGATTGATATCGATATAACGATAGGGACGAAAATTGGGCAAGGCATTTCGACAAAGAATCGCGATGATTCGTATGTGCGGTGGTGTTTAGAAGGAGAAACCAGGGAGCGATATGGGAGGGTACAAATTATTACACAAAACTACGATTGGGAAGAGATTGCAATAGTGCAGGAGTTTCGCTCTGTGCGAAAACATAGGAAATGGGACTTTTTAATAGTTGATGGATCTGCTAATGAGAGATTTGGTAGATTGAAGACTATAAAATTGAGAGAAATAAGGGACGTCGTCGGGAGGATAGAAGTGACGGGGGATCGTGAAAGTCATCGGGATGGGTTTATGGCGTTGATTTTACGGAATGGGCTTTATTTTGATTAGAAAATAGAAAATACCTTACATTGCAATAGTATTACTTTTATGTTTGTTTATAATTGGATTCCAAAACAATCAACTTTATAACTATATTTTCATTTTTTCCATCAAAATTCAATAATAAACGGGTCGCAAAAAGAACCGATTTGATTCGTCAGTGACGAAGAGCTCTATTCATCATTGACGAATATATATATCAATATCGTAATGTACGAAATATAAATTTGTATGGGGGTTTATATTGAATTTCTCTTCGTCCGGAATATTAACTTTGCCACCACAGGGCTATCTGTACGCCGATCAGAAATAGACCAGCCTTACCCCCAAGTGCCCAAGTGTTACTCCACTAGAGTGAACATGATAGTTCGATTCCTGGAGTCTCTTTACCTGTGATTGTCTGCGGGAGAACAGCTTGATTGAGAATGTATTCGAGATGAAATGAGATGAGATGTGGGCTCCAGCCATCTCAACTGCGTCCCATATAAATTCATTCGATCTGATTTTCAATTCAGTAGACTAATAACTGAGAGTACACTAACCGAAAAATAGTACAACACAATAAATCCAACAAAACAAACACCACCCGCAACAAACCTCCCCCACAACAACAAAACCAACGCAATCAACCAGTAAATCAACACAAATAGGCATCGGGTCTTCAAAAGGGCCTACCATACCGGGGTAGGGATACGATTCCAACGAGCCGGGCAACATTAACGCCTCGACTAAAAACCCTGCTAGGCCCGGTCTCGATCCCGGTCCTCGGGAACTGATACAGGTTCCAAGCGATTGGATATTAATCCATATCACATAAGAGAAATTTATAACTACCTAGGTAATATATAAAAGAACTGACAGATCAGGAAGACACTCGATATTTGAGATTGCTAGACCGGATCCTCATCATAGAAAATGGTAATACTAACACACTGTAGGAGAATAACGATGCGATCTAGTCGTAATGTGTGTACCAATCGACTCGGAAAGAAACACGAGAAATTGGCTCGTTTGAAGTGAAATGAGACATGATCAACGAAAATTAAATAATCATTTTGCACTCGCAAACCTGGTTACAAACATATTATTATTATTAAGTTGTTATGTGTAATTAGAGGTAAATCAAGCCCAGTACAAAGTGTATACAGCAAGGTATCTTAATGCTAAGACGCCAGAATCCGCAATCAAGTCCCAAGCACTGGACCAAAACCCAAGGTATCAATGCTATCCCAAACGCCGTGCCTTAATAGTCGCAACCCATTCTTCATATGTTTCTCCCACAGGCTACTCCTTCGCTATTCCTCTTCCCCCTTCCATCTTCTCTTTCCTCATCTCCTCCAGCTCCCTCTCTAACGTCTTTTGCAACCTTTCCAGTACCCATTCACTCTCCTCCTTATTCCCCATTAATGGACTTCTATGCCCCACCCAACTCCACTTCTCCTCTTTATCATCGCATTCACCCTTTGAACCACCTAAATTTTTCCGACCCTTTGGTTTTATAATCGCTTCTCTATGGGTTTCAGTCTCGCTCTCATCATCTCCTGACAATTTAAGATACCATGCCCATTCGTCGAATGTGTATTTTCTTGGTGGAGAATTGTTCAGGTGTTTCATCACTTCTCCAATTTCCTTGATAAGGATGCAATGATAATGATGTCGATCTTTGGGCAGTGGATCATTCTCCTCTGTTTGTTCTTCGCCGCGTCGAGTCTGAATATGTTCCCGTTCATTTTGCAAGGTGCCAAGACCAGTAGTCTTGCCAGAATCGCGTGGAGCTGCAGTGCCTTCAGCATCGGGAGGTAGTTCTGATATCTTGAACAATTTCCCAAATGTCATCTTGTTTGTTGTTTCTTTGATAGAATGCCTCACTCCTTTCTCGCCAGGTAAGATAGTAGAATTTCCAATCCAAAGAGTAATATCACGAATTCCCTTAACGATTGTGTCTCCCATGTTACTGATAAGGATTGTAAGGGAGGGAACGGCGAGCAGAGACCAGAAAACGAAAAATGGTTTTCCCGAATTGGATTGTGGGTAATAATCCCCATATCCAATGGTCAAGAGCGAGGTGTAGGAAAAGTAGAGAGACTCAAAGTAACTCCAGCTTTGTGTATACTCTGTGACACGAAATATTGCTGCCCCAACAAACCAAAGTAAAAGCCATGTAGTTCCAGAAATTATCAGAGAAGTCCAACGACGCTTAGTAGCCGCTTCTTCTTGAATACGTCTCATTAAATCGAACTCTTGTTGACGTCTTTCTCTTTCCGTTAAACCGTCACCATTGACAAGTGTGCTATTGGATTCGGGGGATGACTCTCCTGTCGCAATAGGCTTCAGTACTTCGACATTCTTCTTTTGAGTTTTCCTTAAGATACGCCTTCGTTCTTTTTCGACCATTCTAGCCCCCAGCTTAACTTTTCCACGTTCCAAAACCAACGATCGAATCGAACCGATAACCAGACCGAGAATAATTATTCCGCCGATGGCAAATGGGAATAATAAGCTCCTTCCCAAATGTGTCATTGGTGCATAGTCTCCGATGCCAACTGTTAAAAGTGTAAAATCACACCAATAAAGAGCGTCAAGATACTGCCATGACTCGACATGGGAAAACACTGCCGCACCAGCAAGCAGATATACCAGAAAACTGATCGTTTGTAACATCAGAGTTCTTTGACTCATAGTCAATTTGAACTCTTTTGGGTAATGCCCTTTATGTGCTCCGTATACCGTAACCACCATCAAACTGGCCACCAGGAAGTATAGACCAGCAGAGAACAGAGCATAGTAGAATGCTTGCGTATAAGCATGGTCCGGCGGGGATGGAAGAATCAAAGGCCCAGATGCGCAAGCCGTTAATCCGATTAAAGCTAAAGAAGACAGATACCAGCCAATAATCGTGATGGGTTGCGCGATCGAGAATCGAACTCTTTCTGCCATATTCAATAGTAGGAACAGATTCGAAATAAGGGCTATTGCCAATTGTGCAGCGTTTATACCGATCAACCTATTCCAATGTGTCAACGTAATGATTTCCCAGTAGTTCTCGAAGGGCGTACCATTTCGGATCGTCAATATATATTCCATGTTCCTCCACTCCACCGGGTGGTATTGAGACCCTCCAATGTACAACTAATGCGCAGATACTGAAGGCCGATGCCATCGGTCCAAAGGTGCCGGCGACGAGGGGAAATGCAGTACTAGCAAACCACCAACGACTGAAGCAATTATTTGTTAGCAGAGTCTTCAATTTGAAGGACGAGATATCAGCAGAATCTCCCCTCTTATGTACCTCGGCTCAAGGAAAGCTTCCTCATCTTCCTTAGTTTCATCCCTCTCATCGCGTTGTTGATTCTCTACATCGTCAGCGTCGTTGGAGATGGGTTCGTCAAGACCTGGATCATTCATTGTGAAGGAGATAAGACAAGATTAAATTTTCGGCAGAAATGAAATGACAGATGAAATTCTCGAATCAGAACATAATGAAGAAACAATCCTTGGTTGAGATTCAATAAATGTATTCATTTATTTGTTGTATCAAACAGTTCTATCATGCGACTAAAAATTACATTAATTTTTCCAAAACAGAAAATCTGGTGTCAATCTCCCGTTGTCTGGCAGATGGCCAGGCCCGCCTACAGTATGACGTCGGTCGAAAACATGGGTTGCAAGGACGGAAAGAATCAAACCCTGCTTGAGGAATCAAGAACCTGGTTGTCGAACCAAGGAAAGCGGTTGGGAAGATATATCTGCTGGGTAATGCTTGACCAAAACCATGAGAATACATTTGAAACCTCGAAGTTGAAGTTGAAGAAGAAGAATATTGAGTCTGTTTGGATGGATGTGGAGAAGGACGCTATTGTAATCTTAGTTTCCTCCGCATTTTGGCTCTTGGCTCTTGGCTTTGAGATCAATGAAGGGATTTGGCAGGGTATAGATACGGCTCACTGGTACTATATACTATATGTTCGGAAGTATATCTTCAGCTCGCCGGTGATGGGATTCCAAAGTGTAAAATCGTTTGGAAAAAGCTCACCGGGAATGAATTGTACTTGGTACATTGATGTCAACGTGGGCAAGGAAATTGTCGCGTCGCGTGTTTTGTGACCAACTCAATCAAGCTAGCGTGCACTTCTTTTTTCTGCCTGAGGAACCTTGCACCCTGCGGTACCATATGTTTTCTTTTCGAGCAAATGCGCATAGGAACTGGTGCTTTTCCCTGAATAAATAGCACACCCGTCAGAGCGATGACGGTTTGTTGCAAGTCTCATGTGGGGAAGAATCACAGCGCTTTTGTTGCATATCTAATTTGGGAATTACCCCCAGATGTGCGGGAAATCTCCTTTGGATATCTGATCTGGACATCTGATCTGGACACCTCTGACTTAGACTGGTAGTTGATCCTCCTTTTGGATCTGATATCACTCCAGTATCTTTCGTTTGTGCTTTAGTTTTCTGCGCTATCACATGATTATATCGAGGTCAAGGTAGCATGCATCTTTGTTTCCACGAACAGTATAAAACTCTAACATATTACATGCAGACCCTGAAAGTGGGTTCGCACCCAAAGTGCCAAACCAGCGCTTAATACAGTGGGAATGATAGGATGGAGTGCTGCCAAGAAATCTATTCCTTCATCTCATTTGTTGCTTCAGTTTGATCATTCCTTTTTTCGTCCATTGAAAATATAATCCTGGCTGTATTTTGGGGTACTGGTTTTCTATTCGTTATGCCGTTGCGATAGGATTGCTGCGCCGTGTGCATGCAACTGCATGGCCACCACCACACATTTTCTTACCACTCCTCAGCTCGTATTCAAATCTAAGATAGGTATAATATAATGTTTACTTGCGCTGTCAAATCGGCTTTTTATCTTCGCAAATGAAATCGTTCAACAAATAAATCAGCATGTTGTCGGGTGATAAGCAAGCCGAGGGATGGAATTGTACATCCTACCCGGCCTTGGTAGCAAACCCTGATATTGGAGGCATCGGAGTATGATCAAATGAATTTCTTTGGTCGTCACTTTAGTCTATTGTGCAATTCACTAACAAATATTGCAGACCATATTGACATTTGTTATTTCAGTATACCTTACTCTAATATGTTGTGTGGCCAAGGCTAGAATCGACCATATTCGTTCTCCAGATAAAAATACACCCAAATTGGATCTTTGGTCATTTGCCCTGGGAAATGTGATTCTAAATTTCAGCGACCAACAGGTCGTTTTAGGAATCGCGGTCCTCGTAGCAGGAGTATCTCAATTATCTTCGGGACTTGATTCTTATCACTGGCAAACGGTATTAAATCTTGCTTGGTTTTCAAGCTTTACACATATATTGACTCTTACAGGTAAGACTAACATGATTAGTCAGGTCTCATTGTGTAAGGACTAACGTTAATAGCTTTAAGGGCAGAAAACCGCTCTAATAATAAGATCAAAGTCATTCGTGTAGTTGCTATGGGGGTTCTAGCTGTTATACTAATGTGTATGGTGTATACTGCTGGATGGGTCAGTGGGACCGTAATGAAAGTATCTTCAGAGGATTCCAAAAATAGTCCCCCAATGAGTTTCCCAGCATGGTGTCTTTTTCGGCCAAACATTCCATGGATGTGGCAGGATCATCTACTAGACATCCAATACAACTGGACTTATGTTGTACTCGCTTTTATCATCCTAGTTTTCAGTTACTCCACAAGGGCATTGTTGTTATACTTTGAAAGTATTGGTCAAGTGATGAAAATGATGGCCAAATTCCTATGGCTTGATAAGTTAGCCGGCCTCTTCGGGATCACACATACGAAATCAATAGGATCAAGATTAAATGGGATGGGAAGACGAAAGTGGAGCTATAGACTTCTACGATCTCTGTATGCAATATTTCTTGCCTGTAGGCAGACCTTTGACTCAACGATATGGGAGGTACGAAACACTTGATACTCTCTGACGGCACTTTACTAAAATCTTTAGCTGGGATGGCTCTCTTTTGCCCTTGCTTGGGGCACAGTTCGTATCTTCACTATTCGGGATCTCCCCAATTCTCAAGACAATCTGGATTCGTCCGAATCAATGTCTGCTATACTTTCGGAAGAGAATGATTGGGGATTTGGACAAGTACTTGGCTTATCACTTATGATCTTACCGCTATTGAGTTTCTATGGCAAGTATACAATGATGCCCATACTCAGATACAAACTAATATCCCGAAAGAAGCATACTCGTCTCCTCCGGATGCGATGTCTCTACGAAAGAAGTCTTTCACCGATGCACACACATCTCCTGATACCTCTAGTGATTACGACAGATTGCCGTCATCTATTGATCTATCCCAGAGTTACAACATAACCTCAACCAATCTGCAGAAGAGTCAAGTCAAGGTTGAAATCGAAAATGAAGTTTGGTTCAAAAAATTAATTTACATCATTTATCTCCTCTCAGTCATTACTGGAGGAATCACAATCTTTATAGGCCTATTCGAACCACCATCCTTTCTAGGCTTAGGAATCTTCATAGTATATGTCGAGTGGATATTTGTCGATCTTTTCGTATTGTGGTTGGCGACATTAATATTCATAGATCATGATATTCAAAGATTTTGGACAAAGAGCTGGATGGGGAAAGTAACGAACAAGATGCCCTGGTTTTGGTGGTGCCTTTTTGTACTTTTCTTGATTACATTTTGTTTTGTCGCTTGGCTTGGGAGCATTTTTGTGCTCATAAAAGGATTGGAGTTGATTTCACATAAAGGTTAGGAGCCCCATTCGAGGAAATTGAGCGGGTGTAAATGACTAGTAGAGAAATGTACATACAAGATAATCATCCGGAAAATCACATCAACAAACATGGATATTCTGGAATGGCCGCTATAAGATGGCTTCGAATTGTATACTTTGTTTTGATGTAAATTCTGCTCTGATAGAATTTAGTATATAAGACACATACATGTATATTCTCACTATACACATAGTGGCAGGCGGGAAAGACAATTCTGTATTTCGTATCTATAGTAGTAGCGGAGAACGTAGTCTGGTAAAGGTGAATCGAGGAACTACCAGTGGGTACATTGTATTCCAGATGTACTCTCTACCCCAGTAAATCAAGAAAGAAATAATATCGCATGAATATCATCTCACGAATCGTACCTAGATACAATCAATATTCAAGATGGTTTACTACTTCCTCAGTTGCTCCGTACTTTACTACCTCATCAATTTCCGATTTAAAAAATTTCTGTTAGCGCAGATAACATCTCAACAACCCATTCGATTCATAACCGGAACCCCTAATACCAAATCTAACCCATCCAAAGATTTCCCTTATTGTTATTGATATATATACACAAAATTCCTCGACTCTTCCATCAAACAATCATAACAAGCAGCTTTGGCCGAGCGGTCTAAGGCGATGGTCTTAAGTTTCTTGAGTACACCATTATCGAAAGATGCGTGGGTTCGAACCCCACAGGCTGCAAGATGTTCTTTTTGGGGAATGCAATATTTTTATGGTGGGATTGTATGAGGGGAGGTTTGGGGGGGAGGAAGTTTTGGGTTGCGGATTTCTGGATGGTGTTTTTTAATTGTTTATTTACCCCACGTAGAGGGATCCGCTGAGGTGGGGTATTGATTCGGTTATGTGGGGGTTGTGGCTTGTGGTTATTACACCCCTGTAATTTTGGCGAGTGTGAATTTTGGTTTGGGTACGGAGTCGAGGGAGTATAAAAATGGGTGATGGTGGGAAAAGTTGTGGTCATTGAGGGGAGTAATTGCTGTGTAAGCAAAAGCCAAGGTTTTTGTTTTGTTGGAAATATCTTGTTCGATTTTGGATTGGTATCTGTGATTGATTGTAATTGAGAATTTTTATTGCCTATCTTTTGGTAGGTCTGAAGACGTTTCTGAACGATAGTCTAATTAATATCATTGCCAAACCGGGTGATATAGCAATAGCAACATGATCTTGTGGATGTTTTACTCCAAAAAATACTAACAAAATTTCGGTTTGCAAATATCGAAGAACGAAGATAATACAAATATGAGAATGACAGCGACAACTCAAAGCTCAACGTGCATCTAGTTTTGAAATGGAGTAGATTCCGACTCTGGTTGATACAGCAATAGGCTATCACTTCCTTGGATGTTAACTACAAAGACTCGATAGAGATCCATCTTGCTGCACTCCCCTTATGTTGAACATCTTTAATTTTCTTTCCCTTTGGATAGCGTAAAATCTATATTTGGTGGCTCTTATATATAAACGATGACTGATCTACATAGTACAAAACGTGAGTCACATCGACCATCCCGATCTGAGAAAGAGGGGTATAGTAGATTTTTAAGGAGTGAATGGAGACCCTCATAGTCATGATAATATCAAAACTAGCTCACGGGCACTGAATGCCTCTCATCCGCCGCGTCAAAACTCACACACTATAAAAGGCCTTGTTTATGCATCCTGGCTCTCTCAATTATCCATTCCAACCGAACTATACCCTTGGACAATATGCATCTACTACTGTAAACTCATCATTCAGATCTGATTTTGCATAACTTATAGCAGAATGGTATCTAGTGCTCATATGCTTGTTCTTTTCCGTAGACATCTGAATGTGAGAATATAAATGACAGTGAAGATTAGAAAACTGACAATCACTAGATGTTTTATGGAGAATGAGATACTTGAGATGAAAACCGAACTTAAGTCTTCAGTTGTGCACGCTAGTATGACAGCCCAGGTACTATATCATCGTCTCACTTATTGAACAGTGGCATTATCAGTACTCCCTTTGCGATCATCCCTTCTAGTGGCCTCAAGCATGAAGAAAGGGTTAGCTATACCAAGCGCCACTCTCGTATGCCCAAACTTCAACAACCCCGCAGAAAACAGAAAGTGAATTCGCTTCTCCCCAATTTATCACCCTTGTGAAGAGGAAACTTCATTGTTTTATTACCCTAGTCTATCTCGCTCTTTACCAGAACAACTAAATCTCAAAGTATATAATGTGTAGAAGTCGTCTTGATTTATCTCTATATGAACAAAATGAGCTAGCAGAAGCGTCTATGGCTGTTTCTTCTCTGACGTAATGGAATCCTTCCGTGCAGCTGACGTGGATGAGTTTTTGAAGCTTGAGTTTCGAGTAGATTTGAGAGAATGGATCGAAACAACAGTACTTGCAGAAAATGACAATAAATAGGGGATTTCAGATGATAGTGATTGTTAATTGTGGTAACATCGAGAGAAGACAGCTAAGATCAAGGCGGGATTCAGAAAGTGACCGGGTGCGACAGTGGAGATGGCAGGCAATATCCTTCGTTGAAAATTGATACCGGCGATTGCTTCCCAAATGATTGCTTGATTCTAGTGTCGAGATATTCAAATATAATCACTTATCGAGTACAAGGGCTGAACCCGGTCTAGTCCGTACAGGGCTTCGCAGGTCCAGGGACTGTCATGTGTTTTCTGCATGCTTTTCAGACTCAAAAGATGGAGAAATTTAACGATAATGAATTAATGAGAATATGGTCCATGTAGCGACAATGAAAAGTCAAGAAAGACAACAAGCGTCAGATTCAGACTGATGAAACCAGAGGAAGGTAATAACTTTCTGATAGAGGTATGAAAAATTGGACGGAAGTCTCTTTCCATCGGAGAGGTGACCACTATAACTTTGTACAGTGTAAGGTAATAGTCGAAAGTGAATTATTGCCCAACGAGTTTAGCAAATTCGATAGGGGATTTAATTGCCCGAAGGACCTTATGGGGTCTCGTATTTTGATAATATGTGCTGGGCCGGCACGGCACTCTGTGGAGAAGTGTAAAGATATCAGCTCCGAGTGAAGGTCTTTCGGTATGAGTGTAACAAGTCTCTGTAATCTGTGTGCTTTAGAGGCTAATGTGAACCTGCCTCAGAAGATCACTGGAGGGGGTTGCCCTTCCCTTGCCCCCCTTCCTGTTTCTAAGCTCATAGCAGACGAGTCCTCACCGGCTTCTGATAACGCCATTGCGGGAGCAAAGAATGAAATAATATCACGAAATAAATCGCTCGAGTGTATAAATAATATACTATCGATAGGATATGCTACCTGTCAAACATACTTCTGCCTGTCCAGATACTTTAAATAAGTTAAATGAATACAAGAGAAAAAATCCATTACTATAAACCATCGTATAGACATAATAATCAAAGACTTTCAATTTAATTATTCAATTTTCATTAAACCAGCCTTAGATCATCCCTTACTATAATTCTTTTCCAAATACAGACATAAACTAAATATCCTTCGCCTCCCCCACCCCCCCAAAAGCTTGATTCTAATACTTGTCGGCTATTCATAACACGCCCAATCACTCGTCTATGTCAGGGTCACTACAGGTGAGAATTGATGCCACCGACCACGACCACCTAGGGTGGTTGGCAGAATTTTTCTAATAACCAGCAAGTACCCGCATTCTTAAGATAATTCCAACAACTCCAATCATCATTACCACATAGCGGAAATCTCTCAACTTGATCCGTATCAAACCATGAATGCTTTTCACATTATTATCACCTGACATGTTCCCTACTTATGATGTTGAACCCTGACAAATAACAACCAACCGTTGCTTTTCATATCCATATTACTACTCCCCTGTAAGTTCATATTACTATTTACTATTAGTAGTATATACTATACCACTGAGAAATTCCCTAGAAGAATCATCAAAAATATAATTACAGGAAGGAATTCAATCACATTGGCATTACGATACTCTAGGTCTGATTTCCGGTCCTTAAGGTCCGCGGAATCAATATGTTGGACTTCGGCCTCGAGATCAAACTAGCACTATCTATGATGGAGTCCACGTGACTCCACTTTTAATGCTATATAAAGCGTACATTAATCACCTTATTGAACATATTCAGATCTCCGTCATCATCATCATCATCATCATATTGCACTAAAAGTTCAATCACGAACTTTTCTCTCACATATTCACACTCAATCCGATCAGAAATAAAGGAAGATAATTTCCTACATTCTGTTCCATACATACATCTCTATCAATCCAAGAAAACAGTTCAAATTCATTCACATTTCTATACATCATGAGTAATAACACATCCAAAGGGTCCAAAGTGGACAGGAGCGCAGAAGGCCAACGTCGAAGCAACTCCCGTGGACCACAACCACAAAGATCACGCAGTGATAAACAGGAAACAGCCCCTGTCTCAGAGAACCGTGCTACTCGCAACGAAATGCATAAACTGGACAAACAATTGAAAGATGCTAAAAAAGATTGCGCAAAATCTGCAGAAATCCTACGGAATGATGATATATGCACAGCAAAATGCGTGATAGCTGATGCCAATTGTGAATTACAAAAATTGGAATTATATTACCAAGACAAGAAGAGGAAGTTGGTAGCCGTTAGAGAAAGTGGAGAGAAAATCTTGCGGCCAGGCTATGATGGGTGGACCAAAAGACCGTCTGAGATCAACGATGTATTGAAGTTAGAGAAAGAGGCACAGAATCTCAAAATAGATGATGTGAAAACCCGGGGTACTGTTGTGAACCTTACGACGATTTTACACAAAGCTACTGGGGAAGCAAGAACTTATAGGGAAGAAGCTGACATCTCCAAACATGGTAACAACTACAAGGACAAGAAAAGGTCAATAGCAAAGCTAGAGAGAAGATTGGAAGAGCTTAGCCGTATATGATAGTCATGAGAAGACCGAAATCATATCTGATTCTACTTTAGACAAGTCAAACCAGAAGTTATAATATGAGGTTTTCCATTTGAACAAGCGAGGGGTTACACTCTAACTGGAAGAATTATTATATCAAACTAGATAGAATAAACAAGATTAGATGGAGAGCAAAATCGCACATGAAAATCCATGTGTAATATCTTTTAACACCTTACACACGACTATTGTATGCAAGAAAGATCTTTTTCTAGGGAATCAATGAATTGCGCAAGGAAGAGATGAGACGAATAAGAGTTTATTTTGAAGATGAGATGAGAATTTAAAATGAATGTTTATTAAATCTCACTGGAGATATCTAACAACACCAACAAGTGGTACTTGGCAGTTCCTGAATATTACAATTGATATTATACTATATTCGACTATATAACTCCAAAGATCTAAACCATTTGGATCCATATACCTGCCAACCCATTCCAAACACCATATTCGACCCAATCCAGCCCAGCCCAGACCAACCTCATCCGATTCATACATCATTTATTCAGTCATTCTCTTTTAGCCCTTCACCCTTACGGTATACTCTCCAGAACATCACTCTTCTCCGGTCTCTGTAGAAAATCCGGTGGTCCACCCGCAGGCAATTGTCTTTCCTCTGCCCATTGTCTTATGGCATCAAAGTTTTTGCATTGATGTTCGGTGTTGAAATCTACGAATGCTTGTGGTTTGGATTTATCCCACCATACTTGGCCGAGGACGCCGGTGTCGACTTGGCACATGAGTTGTTGGCGGATGATATCTAGACAGTGGGCTGGAGGATGTTAGTATATGTTGTGATTGAGGCATTTGTGGAGATGGATCGGAATGGGTTGTAATGAAGTAGTAGATTTAAGACAAACTTACAGACGTGGTATTGAACGATGTTATCATCATTCACAAATGCACCTTTCCCTTGATCGTGATAATAATCGTAGTTGTAGTATAGAGATTGTCTCACAAGGTTAAGACAATGTAAATGGTGTAATCCTTCCAAATTGACCGGGAATCCTCCACCGTATTTCTCGTTGATTTGAACATGTGCAGATGTCAACCCGGATTTCTCTGCTTCGCTCGCTGGTAATGCGAAACTTCGGTCTATGGATAATTAGCTTTGGTCGAGTCAAGTGATCCATATATACAATGGTACTTACAATGTACTCCCAAGCTTCCCCATGCTGCATCCACTTCCGGGCCTGCTTTTAATCGGAACGCATTTTCTTTCATGAATGATCCATTGAACATCACTGGCTGATATGATGTATCGATATCATTCAGAATAGGAGCTATTTTCACATTAGAACAAGAGATGAGAGAGTTGAATGCTGGGTCATACAGTAATGTTGCACATAACTAGGACATAATTTCGCGGGATCCGCTACAAATCGAGAACCAATCCATATACCAAACCCAACTGACAACAACGATACGACCGGGAGTGATAATATATACCAAATGGTGCCATTTCGTCTGGATGCTGGCTTATACGTTGGCTCGGGATTCGAAAGTAAACCTTCGCCATCTTCTGATTGAGGTACTTGATTGTACTTGTCTGAAAATGGAGAATAAGACATATCGACAAATGGATATGGTGGGGTACAATTCAAAGTTCAAGAGGAAGGAAATCTTGGACAGCAATCAATCATTCGACAGTGTAAAGTATCCGACGATGGCAGATGAAAATACAAATGAACTTTGCAAGAAAAAGAGGAGATGAATGAAGTGAGGTTAGGAAAAGGGTTCGTTCGTTCGACTTGATCAGCGACTTCGCCATCCAAGTATCTATCTAGGTCGTTCACATATTTTTAGTAGCAATTATCTAGTCAAACTCAATTGAACCCTAGACTATCGAATTGAAGTAATGATCCGATTTGATAAGAAGAAAACATGACACCAGATTGGAGAGACTCATGACGCATGTTCCAAGACTTATTAATGGGCTCAACTTGTGTTGTGCTGTACGAGGTTGGTTTGGTGGTTGAAATGGAACTAATGTATGGATGTGGGAAAAACCGATGAAGGCTTAGAAATACCGGTATGGGTGAGATATGGTGAGAGGTGAAAGGTAAGAAAGAGATAGAAGGAAGCAAGCACGTTGGGAACTTGAGGTGACCCTCCACCCCGGTAAATTGATCGACAAATCACTATTTAGTGGGCTCGGTGGGGAACTCTGCAGGCTGCGGGTATCTTTCAGGGATCACATTTATACCCAGGTAGGGTACACATCGCTTAATGATTTAGTGTCGGATATGCTGGAAAAAAAGGGAAAAGGGAAAATAGGGTCCGACAGCCAACCCTCTTTTACATTGTGTTGTCAATTTTACTTGGCGCTGTTGTTTCTTGTTTCTAAATATACTTCTTCAGTTCACTTCACCAACTTCACTTCCAAGGTTTATGACTAGAGAAGCTAACAAGTCAAACGAGCTTTGCACCAGTTCTCACGACTTTTCACGTCAACATAAGGTTTTTTGACAACACCACCCTTTTTCGTATTCTTCACTAGAACTACCCTAAACTAGATACCATCAATACCCTCCGTGCCTCCATACCCTCGACATCCTCGATACCATGAGAGGTCAGAATAATAAGCATTTCACTATATCTGATCTTATTTTTTCTTTCTCCGCAATCGAAAAGATGTCCAATTACCCGGTCGTTCCAGAATGCCAAGATCAGAGAGAATGGATCTTCGTGCGTTCTCGTATCAATCACCTGAACGTAGATCATCAAAGATACGAGCCACCCAACACGAGTTTAAACTGTTAGACCCCGCAATTTCTATGCAACCTTGGTCTATTACACCATATTCCAACCTCACATAAGCCTTTCATTGATGACACTTTGTGAATATTCGCTGCGGCGACATTATTTTCCGCAACACCCAAATGTACAATTAGCCAAGTGGCTATGCAGATACGAATTAAGCGATGCCGCGATAATAATACGTAGGTATTCAGAAGCTGAGTTGGTGAGCTGATGTTCCCCATACGTACAATGTGCGGGATGGGATGTATCTACTTGGTCTCGTACTCCTTACTTCCGAGTTCTATCACGTCTTTAGGTTGCTATATCGCTGAACAGCCATCAATATCAATGTCGGTGTGTTAGCCCGAGTGGGAATTTCACAAGTATCATGACGTGGGAGTGATATCGTGCCTATCAAGATAGTTACAACTTGACCGATTGAATGTCATGTTGCCAAGAATAGATACATTCAATGTTTTTCTTACGTGGGTGAGAGTATCGCCTGTTTCGGTAAGATGTATCCAGATGGATATTTTTGACAATACATTGAGGCGGATGTCTAGACTCTAGGCGGATGGTAGTATCCTGAAGTTATTTAAGATCTATCACCCCACGATACTTGATCATTATTCACATCAATCATCATCTCTCTTCTCCTATTACTCATCTCTCTGTATCATTCCCAATCCATTTACTACAATCAAATTACATTCAATATGCTTTTCTCAAGAGACTTCATCATGCTTTTGGCATTCGCCGCTGTTGGCGCTGTCGCTGCACCTGTTGCAGAACCTCAACCAGAAGCCAAAGCTGATGCTTCTCCAGCGGACTATGGTGACTACGGTGACTGTAAGACTACCTCCATGATGGCCTTGGAGTAGAGTGCTAATACATATTTCTAGATGGTGATTACGGAAACTATGGAACATACGAGAAATACCCATCCTCTTCCTCCGTCACACCTACACCAACACCAACACCAACTGGATATGGTAGCTATGCCAACTGTAAGCGGACACATCAATCATATCTTTTGAGTCTACATGGCTAATGATTTCGTAGACGGTACCTACAAGAACAAGAAAGTCAGAGAAGCCGCACCAGAGCCTGCTCCAGTAGCAAAGCGTGCTGACTATGGAAACTATGGTGACTGTAAGTCAATTAAATCCAATACATTTCATAGGAATCATGTTCAGATCAATTTATTCTCTGGAATCTTGGATTTATGACTATGAAATGCTGACCCAACCTCCTATAGATGGTGATTACGGAAACTGTTCGTACATCAGGAGCCATTTTAATACAGTACTGACATCATGATTCTAGATGGTAACTACGAAAACTACCCTTCCGCTACCTCTTCCGCCACCCCTTCAAGCTCCTCATCAAGCTCCTCGTCAGCAACACCAACTCCAACCGGTTATGGCTCATACGCGAACTGTAAGTAACACGCATCATACAAATTACCATCGACTAATTATTTTTCTCAGACGGAACATACAAGAACAAGAAAGCACGTGCTCCAGAAGCCAACCCAGAAGACTATGGAAACTATGGTGACTACGGTGACTGTAAGTCCACTCTCGATCTCTCTTTCCTTAAGCCATGCTCGCACTCTCATATGTCCTCAATTGTCTCACGGGTTCTCCTGAGCAATGCTGACTTTGCGCTCTGTTCATTCAGATGGTGATTACGGCAACTGTCCGTGAACTTCCTCGCTACATCACTATCCCATCCCTCCCTCCCACCACATCTTATCCACCCAATCCCATTCCCATATACATAACTAACCATTCCTTCTTCCCAAAATAGACGGCAACTACGAAAACTACCCCTCCGCCTCCACCTCCTCCACCTCCTCCACCATCGTCACCCCAACCCCAACTCCCACCCCAACCGGCTACACAAACTACGGTTCCTACGGTACCTACGACAACTACAAGCGCGAAGCCAATGACGCCCAAGCTTAAGCCGATGATCTTTTGACGAATTTTATTTTGTAATTACTACGTGAGTTGCATTTCCCTACTTCTCAGTCTCAAATTGATCAGAATCACATACTAACAACTGAATGATCAGACTCCTTTATGACTGAATGATATACGCCCCTTTCTAAATAAATAATGATTATTATAATGACACGAGACGCTATGGTATGAAACTGCTCCTACAGCAAGCATGGATTTGGGAACGAGGAATAGGAATCTGAGAAGATAGATGGATGGAAGGATTGAATGGTTTAGCTTGAGCAATCGAAAGAGACTTTGATCCTGTACCTTTCCTTTTCTTTGAATTATGAATCACCAAATCGTGAAAATTACTGTGATTGCTTCACAACATAAATATTGACAACGACGTATACATCGGTACTCCTACCTAAGAAGTACCTAATATTCCCCTCCACCAAAAGGGGCGTGCACGGAGTAATCTTTCACTTCACACCACCCCACCACCACCACCAGAATCACAACCATCCGAGTCGCACTAACCCCAAACCACTCTAGCGCATTTCCAATTTTTCCATCATATATTTATTTCTTCAAAGCTCAAGCTTCTTCTCTACGCAATCCTTTTTTCTTCACGAACCATAGGTATATACCAACCTACCCAATCATGGCAACGAAGCAGTTTGCGCTTTATCGCTTTGATTGTTCGATACATGATTGAGGGTTGATGGTTTATGGTTAAGAGTCAGTGAGTGGTTAACGATCAATGATCAATGAATGATCAAAAGCTCAATCGAAAGCACAATCAATTCGGGCACACTGGAGTACAGCGCAAAGCACACTCTTCTACATTCATCCATTCGCCAACCCCCGCAGAATCTGCGCGCGAAACTACTACCTACTACTACAACTAACCACAGCTTTATACCCAAATACCAGCATTCCAAACAAACCACAATCGTACGTTCTCTCTCTCTCTCTCTCTCTCTCTCTCTCTCTCTCTCATTCTCCCCATCCTCCAACCCTCGAACCCCCCAACCCAAAAAATAAAATGATGATCAACACATACGTTATACCCAGCTCACTCAGAGACACAAGTTGTCATTGCTGAGAACGCGTTCAGCTTCTGATTTATTTTTTACTCTTTTCTCTCATTACGATGAATTTTCTTGAATGATGTAAAGAGTATGGAGACTAATTTGGTTTCTTTATAGGATATGAAGTTTTACATGAGGTTGTTGGTTTGATGGAGGTGGGATGGTTTGGGGCTGGAGAATGGTATGGAATGAGACTAAGAGAGGTGCACAATGTGCGGGAGTGAGTGGTATATATGGTGTTTGTCTTGAGTTTACTCTAGCTGCTGGCAGGTTCTCTGGCTCAAAATATCATATCTCCGCCCACTTCTTGGCAGATTATAGCCTAATCAATATGTTCTATAATACTTCTATCTATCTGTCTGTCTATCATACCACTCTGTTTCGGTCCATTATCTATCATACACGCAATTGATGAATCTCAGACATACCCTCACATGAATCATCCATCCATCATATCTTTCAACTTCATACCAAATGCTATGTGTTATCCCAATACCAAAATGCTCAACGTAATTAACGCCTGATGCCCTCACACCAATACCATATTCTTCACCACCTTGACCTTCCTGTATGTATTTCTCTCACAGATTTCACAAAGTCATTAGACACGAAAGATTACCTTCCCTTCCTCTCAAACTCGAATTATTCCCCGAAACCGACTCCAACCCGTCGCCGTAACTCCCTCTTTCCTCTCATTCCCAGCATATTCTCTCTCTCCCTGTCTCTCCACCTCAATCTCACTCATACTCCTCTCCCCATTCCTATTTTCATTCTCCGCGATTCCAT